TCTAAGCTAGACAGCGTTGTCATTATGCAAGCTCTGATACACAGACCCCGAGAGCAGGTTATTGAGACATTGAATGTCATCTGCGAGCTCCTTCCTGGCGTACCGCAAGACCTGCCCTCGTTCATGGATGATGCATTCGAGATTGCAATTGCCTCTGAGCCATCGAGCACGTCGTCGCGGAAGAAGTCGCTGAACGAGAAGCGAATCGAGCTCCTTGAAGGCTGCAAGGAGGAACTGAAGCGCTTTGCTGTCATCCTGTTCCCCACGCTTACAGATGCGTTCTCGAGCACGGTTAACCTCAGTGTTCGCCAGAAGGTTCTCACGGCACAGTTGAAGATGTTGTCTACGCTGGATAGGGATATTATTATGGAGGCCCTTCGAACCTTGCCATACGCATCGTTCTTGGCCGCTATATTGTCTCAGCAGGATCACCCAACTCTGGTAAACTCGGCGCTTCAAGCTGCAGAGTTACTCCTGACCCGTCTGGATGATGTGTATCGCTATCAGTTCTACCGCGAGGGTGTCATCACTGAGATCACCAAACTCGCTCAGTCTGCAGAGCCCGTAGAGGAAGAGGGTAAGAAGCCCGAGTCAGGTGAAGCTACTGAGAATGCCGAGGCGAAAGCTACAGAGGTAACTGTGGGCAATGCTACGGCCGAACCGGCAGTCGCAAATGATAGAGATGAGGAAGATAACTCCTCAGACGGCGACAACGATGATGAGAATGACGTTGACATGGATGATCCCCAAGATGACAGATCGGTGAGCGATGGGAGCTCTCGGACGTCTAGTGTGTCGTTGGACGGCCAGCGCCATTCATTGCCTGAGGGGGTGACGACAATGCAGCAGCTTATTGTGCAGCGAGCCAAGAAGTTCCTCGAAATCCACGAGAACGAGAAGAACAGCAAGATTATGAAGAAGAAGGCGACGAAGATACTTTCGAACTTGCAGGATTTGGCGGTGAAGATTGAGGATTTCTATCTCCGCCAACAATTCGGGGATGGCGTAGAGCTGTTTGACCAACTGGCTGCGTACTTCGACGGTGATGTGCTGGAGAGTGTTACTAGCGCAGAGCTGTTGAACTCCGAAGTCGTTCGTGTGCTTTTGGAGGTCTTCAACAACCCCGATGAAGAACTTGCCAATGATGCGCGATCGGCGTTCCTTGAGGTGTTTATGGGCCGCACTGTTAACAGAAAGCCAAAGACGGCGACTGCAGACTCTCCAGCCACGCCATTCAGTGTTCTCATTCACAAGCTGCAAGATTTGCTTAGCCGTACTGAGCACTTCGAGGTTGTCACTGTTCACCAGAATACTTTCGATGGCAATAGGAGCAGTGCCGCATCTATGCTTGCGAAACAAATTCGCTTGAAGCTTGTTGCAGATGATGACTCCGATATCCCTCGTGCGTACCGAAACATTATGGTGTCTATCCATGCAATTGCAACCTTCAAGGCCCTTGACGACTATTTACGCCCTCGCATCAGTATTTCTGAGCGCTCAAGAAGCTCCAGGCATCGTGATGGACTGAGCGGTGCGCTTGCAGCTCTTGCAGCGGCAGGCATGGCCAACCCTTACGGACCTCCTAGCGCGGCCTCGAGACTGGCAGAACGTCAATTTGCCGCTGCTATGGCTGGACACGCTGCCCCTCCTCCACCCCCCTCCGCTCCAAGAAGCTCGCGTAGGCACAAGTCGAAGACTGCGCCAACTCCAGCATCGGCCACGGAATCAACAACTGGAACCCCGCAAGAAAAGCCTGCCCGCCGCTCTAGTCGCCGTCGACAGGCTCAGTCGGATCAAATCCCTCCTCCGCCACCACCACCTCAGCAGGATGATGATAGCTTGCAGGGCGCCCTTGAGTGTGCTGATGAGAGAATGCTCTCAGAAGATGATGAGATGGATGATAGCGCTGCACTTGATACGATTGTTGGGGAGCTCAATGAAGAGATGGAGGAGGACAATGGCGAGGATCCTGGAGCTGTTAACCTCGAGGTTGCAGTGGGTGGAAAGATTACAGCCAGAAAAGAGGATGGAACTAAAGTAGCCACTCCAGCACAAGCGCCGCCAGGCTCAGTAGCTGCACACGGCCCACCCTCTGCGCAGCCAGCTACATCTGCACCGCCTGCCGCTGCCACTCCGACTCAGCCAAACAGGCCGATGTCTTATGCGGCGGCAATCCAAGCCACCCCTCAGGACTGGCATATTGAGTTTAGTCTCGACGACAAGCCTATCTCTAACGAGATTACAATCTACAGAGCTGTCCACAGCACCACGGGACAGATTGATGAGCAGACAGGCCGCAACGTCTGGTCGGGTGTCCACGCGATCAAGTTCAAGCGGGTTACAGGACCTCCCCCAGCTGAGCCAAGCTCCTTCACACAGGCAAACGAGGCGGCTGAGACAACCGCGTCTGGCATTCCAGCTTCATTAGACAAGCACCCAGCCACATCCTCGATTCTGAGACTGTTGAACATTCTTCATGCTCTCAACGCCAATATCGATGATGTTTTGGCCGAGAACAAGGACACGCTGAAGCTCAATGTCGAGCCCCTGTCTCAATTTGTTAACACGAAGCTGACCGCGAAGCTCAATCGCCAGCTCGAAGAGCCACTCATTGTAGCGAGCAATTGTCTGCCTAGCTGGAGCGAAGATCTGGCTCATTTGTACCCGTTCCTCTTCCCATTCGAGACGAGGCATCTGTTCCTTCAATCGACGTCGTTTGGGTACGCTCGATCGATGACTCGCTGGCAAAATGCCCAGTCCGCGGATGAATCACGCCGCGATCGCCATAGAGACGAGAGGCCATTCCTTGGACGTCTCCAGCGCCAGAAGGTTCGCATCTCGCGTTCCAAGATTCTCGAGTCTGCCTTGAAGGTTATGGAGCTCTATGGTGCCTCCCAGAGCATGCTGGAGGTCGAATACTTCGACGAGGTAGGAACAGGACTTGGGCCTACGCTGGAGTTTTATTCAACGGTGTCCAAGGAGTTCTCTAAGAAGAAGCTCAAGTTGTGGCGTGAGACGGAGGGCAACGACAGTGACGAGTATGCCTTTGGTCTACGCGGTCTCTTCCCAGCGCCCATGTCTGAGGAGCAGGCGCAACATGAGAACGGCAAGAAGATCCTGCACCTGTTTAAGATGCTTGGCAAGTTTGTGGCTAGGTCCATGATTGATTCTCGTATTATTGATGTTTCATTCAATCCTACCTTTTTCAGAATCGGGGATGAGTCGACAACCGTCACGCCTAGTCTCGGAGCTGTCAAGACCGTTGATGCGCAGTTGGCGGCTTCGCTCAAGCTGATCAAGAAGTTTGTGCTAGCGAAGAAGGCTGTTGATGAGAATGGTAGCTTTACTGCGGCTGAGAAGGTCGCTGCTGCTGAGAATATCCTGGTCGCTGGTGTGCGCATTGACGAGCTTGGACTGGATTTCACAATGCCTGGGTACTCGTCTATCGAGCTCATTCACAATGGATCCCATACCGCAGTCACTATCGACAATGTAGACCTATATCTCGAGAAGGTCATTGATATGACTCTCGGCAGCGGTGTACAGAGACAGGTCGACGCGTTCCGCACTGGATTCACGCAGGTGTTCCCGTACTCGGCATTGAGCGCGTTCACCCCAAACGAGCTGGTCATGCTATTTGGTCGTGTAGATGAGGATTGGTCTTTGGAGAGTATGTTTTACCCCTATTGCATGATTATTGTTTATATACTAATTACAATCGCAGCATTGATGGATTCGATCAAGGCCGACCACGGCTTCAATATGGACAGCAAGAGTGTAAAGAACCTGCTTCAAACTATGAGCGAGTTGAGCGCCACCCAGCGTCGTGATTTCTTGCAGTTCACTACGGGAAGCCCGAAGCTTCCTATTGGGGGTACGTATTTTCACACATGTATATCCCTTTTCATTGCTGACAGAAAGCACAGGCTTTAAAAACCTCACGCCGTTGTTCACCGTAGTCTGCAAGCCGAGCGAACCACCCTACACCTCCGACGACTATCTCCCCAGCGTCATGACCTGCGTGAACTATCTTAAGCTGCCAGATTATACCGATCTGGAAGTCATGAAGCGCCGCATGGACACTGCTATTAAGGAGGGACAGGGTGCCTTCCATTTGTCTTAAACAAACAAAAAAGTAGTGACGAATTTTGGGCCCCCTCTGAGTTGGGGATCTAATTAATTTTACCAGCTTTCTACGATGCGCCCCTTTCTAAGCGGACATCCCACTAAAAAAAGAGAATGTGCATAAATCGTTGAGGTGTGGCTACGTCTTTTATCTTCGTTATTTCCTTTTTTTATGTTTTTTTTTTCCCGAAATGAATGGGAAATATGTATTTATCGAGCTCTTTTGCAACCCTTTCCCCAGATATGATAGGCATGAGATATGGGTCCCGTTTTTTAGGAGGATGGGACGTGAAGAAAGATAGCATCACAAGGGAAGTTTCAGGCGTTGGGGATGGATGGGGGGAGGGGAGGATGGGAGTTGATGTACTGATTGATGGACGCTGGTTTGTTGGGATGGTTTAGCTTAGATAGAGGAATTGATTGGTTTTTGATGTGAGTGTTGTTTGAGATATGGTGGGAATGTTTGATGCTGTGTAGGAGGGGGGGTGTGTGTAGTGAATCATTCCCCTTGTTGTATAACCGTACCATCCCCAGATTCAAACATCCAGTGTCTACCTCATCTTTACACAACTCTGAATCCGGCTCAGCCGCCTTCTTAATGGCTAGTCGGATTTCGGCGCATTCTGTAACAACTCATTTCGCCGGACAAAGGATGTAGTATTTGCTGAACCGAGAAACCCGTCTTCTCAACGACTCCGACGGGATGTTTTGCCGCGGATTAATGTCTCGGTACTCAGGCCTGCGTATAATCAGTATCAGTCATTGGAGTTGTCTGGACAGAGTAGGTTAGCGTATTTCCCCTCCAGCTAACAAGGGTCATTTTTAGCGTTGGCCATTAAAATATCATAATGCGGGCGCATCTCCCAAACCCCCACCAATGACTCTCCCAGAATAAACAAATACATGAAGATGGAAAGCCTGATCTACGAAGACCGCACATACGCATACGAATCTCCACTCTCACTTCCATTTGACTAGATATGCGAGTTTAATATTCTGATATCCATTCATAATCTTGCTGTATTTTCTGGAAATATGGCGCCGGAGAGCTATAAGAGTTGGGAGGAGATGGGGGAAGATAGGGAGCAGCGCATCGCTGAGCTCAAGGTATGTCCAGATCACTCTGTAGGGGGGTGGAAAACGCGCATAATTTGTGCTAACAAGGTATCTGCTCAGCCGCGCTATTGCCCGCCCTTGGATGAATCGATGTTCCTGGCAATCCTGTCAGATTACGATCTCTCGTTCCCGAAAGACTCAGAGGATGCGTGCAAGACCCTAGACATGCTGGCGGAAGATGCGTATGCTGAGGAATCTACGGGGTTCGATCCGAGTGGGGGCAGTGGTGCGCCGGTAGATGGGGTGGCGCAGGATAATAGTGAGGGGCATAGCACGTTTGCTTGGAGTAGTACGACGGATGATACGTCGTTCAGCCAGGGCTTTGCGACTCTTGGCCTCGATGGGTCGGATTTACAGAACTTGAAGGATAAGGCTGCGGGGGGGGGGGCTAATAGCTATGATGCCCAGTTCAAAGGGATGGATCTCGCTGCGAAGGAGGCTGTACTCTTCGAAACATTCCCTGGCCTGAAGCCGTATGATATTAAGCATACGCTCAAAAAGTGCAAGGGTGGTACTGAGAAGGCCATGGAAGAACTGCTGAACCAAGTCTACCTTGAAGAAAACGTTGGTCGACGACAGGGGATCGAGGGGTTCTCAGAGAGCGATATCCCACCTGTTAAAAAGAAGGGCCGGAATCGAAGGCGACAGGAAGCATCTGCGCAAAATTATGTCTCGACGACTTCTGATACACGTCTGGAGGTTGCTGAGAGCAAGTGGGAGAGCGCCAGACGCGATGTAGACACCATTTCAAACCTTACTGGCGTGCCAACCAAGCAGGTCAGCTCACTATACCACAAACACGGCACTCTTATCCCGCCTGTCCTCAACGCCATCATCGACGCCCACCAAGAGCTAGGAATCGACGATAATGACAGCTCTATGCATCTTAAAGCCTTGGAGCTGAACCAAGACTACCCCGCCATTCCCATCACGAGGCATCTAGCTATCATCCAGATATGCACCACCGCACACTCATTACCCCGCGACCTCGTCAGGGCCCTTACATCTCGGTCATCCAGCAGCGGTGCACAATCCCCTACGAGCCCCATCCAGCTAGAATTCCGCCTCGCACCCCCCGACCTGTCTGGCCCCTCCGAGAGCAAGCTGAAGCCAAAATCCCACAACGCCGTTTACACCGATGGACAAAGCTCGCAGCAGACCTCCGCTTACGCCACAGATGGAAAGGACTACAAAACCCTCCGCAACGAAGCCTTCAACCAAGCCACCGCCGCCTACCGGAAATGCAAGTCCGACCGCCTGATGGGCAGCGCGGCAGCGTACTACTCCTCCGTCGGCCGAGACTACGACGCAAAAGCTAAGAGCGCCGTATCAGCTACCGCGGACGCAACGGCCGCGCGGCAGTCGACTACGTCACAGCTGGACCTTCACGGGATTGGCGTAGCGGACGCGGTGCGCATCGCGAGGGAGACGGTGACTGCGTGGTGGGTTGGCCTGGGGGATCGAGTGAATGGACATGGGGGGTATAAGATTATTACGGGGAAGGGGACGCATAGTGAGGGGGGCGTGGCGAGGGTTGGGCCGGCGGTTAGTAGGATGTTGATTCGGGAGGGGTGGAGGGTGGAGGTGGGGAGTGGGTCGATGGTTGTTACGGGGGTGGTGAAGGTGGGGAAGGGGATGTGATTTGATTTACTTTGATGTTTTTGAAGCATGGCGTTGGGTTGGGGTGTTTGGATAGCCTGGGTATAGCGGGCGAGAGCCATATCTTAGAGCGGGTGCGTCGATGTCTTGTGTAAGGAATATCTACGGCAATACAGCGTTGCTTTTCTATATCGGTGTTAGATTTACCTACGTGGATAGAGCGTTGTTTTTGTTGAGCAGTGTTAGATTTCATAAGCAGCCGAATGTCAGTATATACACGACCATAATTCTTGGGCCAAAACTGGGTAGTAATGTTTATTCAGACAGGCAACTTATAATATATATCCCCATCTCTAACCCTATAACGAGTCCTTCCCCTTGTCATACTCCGACAAATCATACTCATCAGGATACCTCTCCAAAATATCCTTCAACTCCGCCCTCTGCGCCTTCAGCTCCGGCGTCAACTCCTCATAAATATCCTCAAACATACTCAAGATCTCCGGCTTCTTCTCCTTCTCCGCCGCCGAAAACGCCTTCAGCAGCTTCTTCTTGATCGACAACCGCGCCTCCGTCTCCTTCGCATCATCCCACAGCCCCTCGTTCTCGAGGTACTTCCGGAAGCGCGTGATTGGGTTGTCACGGCGCTTCCAGTCCTCGACTTCTACGCGTGCGCGGTAGGCGAACGAGTCATCCGATGTGCTGTGGTGGGACACGCGGTAGGACATCGCTTCGATGAAGACTGGCTTTGCCTCACCGCCGTCTGATGTGCCGAGGCAGAGACCCTTGGCTCTCTTGGTGGCTTCCCGCACGGCGAGGATATCATTTCCATCAACACGGATGCTGTTGATCCCGTACCCCGCAGCACGGCTGACGATTCCATCACCGCGGTACTGATCAGCCGTCGGCGTGGAGATCGCATACCCATTATTGCGGCAGATGAAAAGCACCGGGCATCCGCGCGTAGCCGCAATATTAAATGCAGCGTGGAAATCACCCTCAGACGCCGCGCCCTCGCCAAAGAGGCAAACAGCGATGCGTGGCGTGGACTTGGGGCTGCTCAGGTGCTGCATCTTCAAGGCGTAGGCGGCGCCGGCGGCATGGGGCAGTTGGGTGGCTAGGGGGGAGGAGATGGTGTGCACGTTCAGGGCGGTGCTGCCGTAGTGGATGGGCATGTTGCGGCCGCGGCCGGGGTCTTTGGTGTTGGCGAAGAGCTGGGACATGGCGTCCGTGAAGGTGAAGCCGCGTTGCATCAGGAAGCCGACTTCGCGGTATTGGGCGAAGGCTACGTCTTCGACGGATAGGGCTGAGGAGGAGCCTACTGCGATTCCTTCCTGTAATTAGGTTAGACTTGTAGGTGGCAGAGTTGTGTGGGAAACTTACCTCTCCGCTGGACACCATGTAGAATGAAATACGACCTGGGCATAGGGTTAGCTGCCATGGAACTTAAGCTGGCCCTGGGACGAGCAGTCTACACACCTTGCCGCTGAGCATCAAGACAGATAAGATCCATTATGCTGACTCCCAACATATCAGTATATAGCTTTACCGCCTCCTCATCACTAAAATCTCGTTTGTAGGCCTTGTCAACAATGACGCCCTCGCTGTCCATGACCCTGTAGCACGATATAACGTCATTATCTTTCGGGTTATGGAAATTCAAGTCGGTGGTGAATTTGGCCTCCAGGGCACCAGGGAATCGTAGTCGATCATCTTTGTGCTCGCCCGATCGTTGAGGGGCTCTCGAGAAGCATCGTCGTGCGGCAACCGGGCAGACTGACGATAATGATAATGAGCGTCCAGCTCGCGCCAAACAAGCTCTTGGGATACGGGGATTCATGGTTGTAGGATGATGATTATTGCATGCTGTCTGCCACCGAGAAACATTTATTTCCTCTCGTAGTTTCCCCTCAAAGCCAGAGCGGATCCCCTCAACGTCGATGTTCACTTGTTCGCCAGCAGACCGTGGGGAAGGTGGACACCAACCTAAGCCGCCGCTATCCGACTCGCTCTGGTTCGGTCTGTCTTCACTGTTTTGGGGTAACTCAATGGATGGCTTACGTAAGAATCGCTCCTGTGTCCCATGCACGATGCATCCTTACGTAAGCACGCGGCTGCTCGGAGGCTTAGCTTATTCTTGGCGCTGGGAAGCTTTCCATAGCGTAGCCTTGCTTGAAGCCAACTCCAGATATAAAAAGATTCAACGCTGAATTGAGGAGCACAATGGCCTCAAGAACATTATGCAGGCCTTTGGCAAGGTCCGCATTCAGGGCTACCGCACCTTCAAGGTCCTTTACGGCATCAACTCTAGCCCGCCAGGCGCAAGGGTCACCAAACCCGCAACAACAGAACGGGGAGAAATATACTCACTTCGGCTTCGAGAATGTTGCAGAGCATGAGAAGGCACAGAGAGGTACGCCCTTCCCTTCCCCTCCCTAGTCTCTCTCCTTTCCCCCCAGCTCCCTCCTAACCACCCCCCAGTCGCCGGCGTCTTCTCCTCCGTCGCCAGCTCCTACGACACCATGAACGACCTCATGTCCCTCGGCATCCACCGCCTCTGGAAAGACCACTTCGTGCGCTCCCTCAACCCCGGCTCCAACTCCGGCTCCCTCACACCCACTACCGGCCCCTCCCCCTCTCAGGGCTGGAACATCCTCGACATCGCCGGCGGCACCGGCGACATCGCATTCCGCATGCTCGACCACGCGCACAACGTGAACCATTCCCCCCACACCCGCGTCACCGTCTCTGATATCAACCCCGACATGCTCGCCGAGGGCCGCAAGCGCTCGCTCGAGACGCCGTATGCGAACTCCAAGAACCTGGATTTCCTTGTCGCGAATGCGGAGGAGCTCCCTATTCCGGATAATAGCGTGGATCTGTACACTGTGGCGTTCGGGATCAGGAATTTCACCGACAAGGAGAAGGCGCTGCGCGAGGCGTACCGCGTGCTCAAGCCTGGTGGAGTGTTTGCGTGCCTCGAGTTCAGTGGGGTCACGAACCCGCTATTCGAGGCGGTGTATAAGAGGTGGAGCTTTGGCGCGATTCCTTTGATCGGCCAGCTCGTTGCGGGGGATAGGGCGAGCTACCAGTATTTGGTTGAGAGCATTGAGAAGTTCCCGAGGCAGGATGAGTGGAAGAACATGATCCAGGCTGCTGGGTTCGTGGTCCCAGGGAAGGGGTGGGAGGATTTGACTGGTGGAATCGCCGCGATTCACAAGGGTATCAAGCCGGTTGAGAAGTTGTAAGGCAATCCCTTCACACTTATGTTCTATTTTGTACAGTATATTACAGGAATGGCATGGCACGGCGTATCAGAAGGCAAGCGTGGGAGTAGTATTATAGAGCACACAGGCTCAAGTGTATCATATCTGATTTTTCTATGCCACATCTTCATCTCCGTCCCCATGGGCAACCACGAAAGCGTGACCTTATAAATACACGCAGCGCCAGTGCTTGCAAGAGGCAGAGGAGTACTATGCTCAGAAATACAAGGAAGGAAACGTAATAGCTATCATCGCAATCAACGTGATAAACGTGAGGCGTAAGCTAAAGGTAACTCCAGCCCCATCTCAAAGAATCCCGAATACAAGTAATGCCTAGTCGCCTACGACAAGAGAAATGTGGCCATTAAGGTTATCATGTATCGAGAATGTTGGTGGAACAATGCGACAAGGTAAAAGGTATATCGTGAATGCAAGACTTAAGAAGTAGGCGCGGTCGATGTCGCCGGAGCAGCTGGCGCCGATGTCGTAGGCGAGGTGTTGCCGTCGCCCTTGAAGCTACCTCTTCCACCGCGAGCGCGTCCTCCCCTCTCGGTGCTGCCTCGTCCACCTCTGGCTCCACCACGACCACGTCCGCCACGGCCACTCTCGCTGTCGCTGGCGCCTCCTGCGCTTCTATACCCGGCCTGTGGCGCGTTTGGGTTGCTGCCACCGCGGCTGCTGCCCCAGTTGCCGGCACCGCCACGGCTAGATGGGTAAGTGCCCCTGCTATCCTTGGCAAGGAAAATCTTCACGAGCGGCCTGCTGCGATCCTCCATGGAACGAGTCTTGACATCATCTGAGAGGCGTGCCAGTGCCTCATCTCTCTCCTCGGTTGTTTTGAACTGAACAACCTTGTTAGATTGGCCCCATTTGTCGATCTTCGCGATCTTGGCCTTATCCTCCTCAACGAAGAGATCCCTAACAGCTTCGTCGGTTTGAACGTTCATAACAAACAGGCCGATGATATCCTGGGACTTCTGAGCTGGCGAAGCTGCAGCATCTGCAGAACCGTTGGTTGTCGATCCATTGGCACCAGCCGCGGGAGTCTTCTCATTCTCCTTGGAGGCAGTAGGAAGGTTGACTACGTTCTGAGCCGGTTGGGGGGTGGCTGGCTTCTGTCCTTGGAATGGGGCAGGCGAGCCTGTTGCGCGTGGAGGGTTGCTTGCTGGACCTCTTGGCTGCTGCTGCTGGTTTGACGCACGTTGCTGTGGAGCATTAAATAGCTGCGATGCAGCTGGTCCTGCAGGAGAACGGCTTTGGGCCGGTCCAGTTGGCGCCGAGGCGAGTGCGTGGCTTGCTCCAGGAGTGCCAGATCCCGTCGCCGGTGCTTGGGCAGGCTGTTGCTGGTTGGCCTGGGCCGGGTGTTGCTTGGCACCACGGTGGGCGAAGTTGAAGCCTTGGGCTCTCATTTCGGTTCCGATTCTGCCATCCTGGATCTCCAGAACCAACCATCCAAATGCTGCGTCTGCCAAGTTGAAGTTCCACATGTTCTTAAAGGCACTTTCGTCAACTTGTCCAATAGCCGTAGCATTAGAACCACCAACAGGGCCGCCGAATGGGTTACCACCGTGGGCAGTCGTGGGCATCTTCTCAACTATGCCGAGGGCATTGTTCAGGAGATTTTGCTGTGCCTCATTTTGTTGGATCGCTGGCTGAACCTCACCCTTGACAGTCTCCCATACGTCGTTGAACGATGCCTTGGAGGCAGCGAGCTTGCCACGGTAATGGTCAAGAGTAGGGTTGACACTGAACTCGTTGTAAGAGCTACCGTAGCGGAAATGAAGACCAGCGGAGATTGAGAAGTCTGCCTTCAAGGTGACAGACAACTGGTTCAGAATTCCCTCCCTGGCGGGCGATGCATGCGTAATGAAAACACGCGTCTCCGTTGGATCGTACACGCGGTTTGCAGTATCTACCAACTCACCCATCTGCAGTAGAGTGGTCCACATGGTTCCTTGTCCTCCAGCAATGGTGGTGCGACCTTCGCCATTGTCGAACAGCTTGTGCATGACAACTGCTCCGCCAAGTCCTAACAGACGCAGCTTAACACCTCCAACCTCCAGGAGCATCGAGCGCGCCTCATCGATAATGTGAAGCTTGTCGACTTTGTATTCACCAGATCGGAACTTCTCCAGCACTCTGACATCCTCGCAAGCTCCCCAGACGGTGTAGACGGGAACATCTAGCTTGAGCGATCCATTGAGGAAAGATGGAAGCTCGGAGAGAGGTAGATCGCTCGCTGGGAAGCGGGACTTTACTGGTCCTGTTTGCCCTGGTTGCTGAATTGCCTTCTTTATTGGTTCGGAAATCAAAGGTGAGTATTGGGCGACATGCTTGAGGGTCCTAATCACATAAAGTCAGCAATGCGATACTGCGATCTAAAGCACATGATGTGCTTACTTGTCTGCGATACGATCCAGGGAGGTCTCATCGTAGAAACCAAAGTCGCCAGTGTGTATGATGTGGTCGGCGCGAGCTTGTTTCGCGAGTTCGTTCAGCGATCTTAAGTTGCCTTCAGTAGCGTTAGTATTTAGCGTCGATGGTAGTGAGATTGGAACACACCTCGAACGTCTGCGACGCAAAGTACTCTGACACCCCCAGTTTGTATGACACGTCCGTGGTTCGGAAGAAGAGGTGCAGCTCCTTGTGATAGGCCGGTGTGACCTGCTGTGGCGCCGTTGGGAAGATAGCCTCCTTGGTTGTTGTAGGTATGGGGACGCTGCTTCATGGTAGTGATTAGCCTCAGTCCATTTAGCTTCGGGGTGGCTCGAGAGCCTGGGTGGTGCGGGTGTTGTTGTGCAGCCAAATTAATAGCTGCAGTCATTTTGAGAGATTGGGCAGCTGAAACTGCAGGTGGCGTGGTGTAGGTACGTGAAGTTTTTGAGGCTGAAGTATGAGGAGAGACGGGAGGGAAGGGTTTAACTAACAGAAGCCATTATATTGAGATGGGGTGGTGCACGTCGCGCAGTTCAAGGAAGGTGTCGTGGAGACTTTGTATCCCAGTTAACAGAAGGAACGAAGATGGTGTGGTGGTCGGGGTGTAAAGTATAGAGGGAATTGTAGTGTAGATGCACAAAGTTTGAGGAAGGAGGAAAGAGAGATGGAATTGAGTTGCGATAGTAGTAAGTAAGGTAGGAGGATCTTTATGCACCAGCAACAATTGACGGAACTTCTGGTCTGAGATTGCCTGGTTGAGCGTAGCGTCCTTTGGTCTCATTGGCGAACAAACGCGTTGAAGGCCTCGCCTCCTTAACAAAACAGAGTAAATCCGTAAAAGGGAAGAGGTTCGATTCATGGTGAATTCACCATTCTGGTCATCTTTATTATATTTATATAGTTCAATTACATTATTATTATCGGGTTAAAACTGTGAGTGGGGGGGTATCACTGTAGCTAGGGTGCAGTGATGGCTTCACACCAGCCATCATCAAGAAACGGCCGTTGTCCTTCTCCAAATCATTATTGCCGCGACCGCCGCGCATACAGTTGCTCCCAGGGCTACGTATAGGCCCGTCCTGTCCGGAGGCTCTTCCTCGCTCTTTGGGAATGCGATGCTGGGGTTGATGGCCGCTTCAGCTAGTGTGACAAACAGTTCGCTAATGCTATGCCATGTAACGCTGACATGGAGAGGCGCATTCATCATCAGGCCAACAGTGTACTGGTCTGGTTGCTGCTCGCTCCTCTGCGTTGTCTTGTCGAGGTCTGCTTTGAGGGCAACATAGATATTCGGAAGATCATCGAGGTGTGGGTACTTCTTCCGCAGATTGACAATGTGAGAAAATGAATCGGGATCGGACGAGTCGTAGGTGTAACAGATAAGATCGCATGCCTCCAGTTTCGATGTATTCTCCAGGATGGCAGGTTCTAGCTCGCCAAGCTCCTCCAAAATGAGGTAGCATTGCTTGCCGCCCTGAAGCTCCACACTATTGACAGCAGTGCGAGGTTTGATAGTCGGATGATACAGCGAATCGAATGGCCGGTTGAGGAAGGCATCCAGGAGCGACGATTTTCCAGAACCTGGGGCCCCGAGAACGTAACACAGCATAACATTGCGTTCAACACGGCCTGGTCGTCGGCGCCTCTTGCGAGCCTTGGTTATTTTCAGGGCAGCCGTCGTAGATTCACGCGAACTTGTGGGTTCAAAGCCAAGGTAAGCCAGGTATGACAGAGTACTTTTCGGTTCAACAAACGTCGTCATACTCCATTGGGCCAGCCAGCCTTGAAGAGTAACAAGGCCAGCATCATTGCGCACTGTAGAGGAAGGGAAGGAGGAGTCATTCCATGATTGCGGTAAGCCAGGGGTTGGGGCGAACAGTGCGGCAAGTTCGTCATTGTTAAGTCCGCCATCGTTGTCCTTATCAAAGACCAGAAATAGATCAACGAAGAACCGGTACCCTGCTGGGCTAAGTTCCGCTGAGGCGTACTCGGGGACATCAAACTTTGGGTTGAGGAAGCTATCTTTAAGGCTGAGACTGTCAGTGTACTGAAACGCCCTTAGGATGATCCAAATAGTCTCATGGCGACCCTTCTCCGCAAAAATCTTGTTTAGGTGTATAAACCCGTCAATATCAATACCCTGATCCACAGTTGATCTTTCGGAGCCCCGGGTTATGGATAGCTTGATGTTCTCAAGATCATCTGGCGACAAGGGTTTCTGGAAGCATTTGGCCTGAAAGGCATGCATCTCCTGGTCGTTCAAGTAGCCGTCCTGATCCTTATCACACAGATAGAAAATCCTACGTAGAGCAACTACTGCTGAAGGCTTCAGCACGCCTTCTTTCGAATCAAAAAGCGGAGCGATAGGGTGTGTCACAGCCTTTTGACACAGGAAGAAGACTTCGTTGACATTGTGATGTTCGCGCGCGCTTGTTCTGATGCAAGAATCGATTTCTTTGAACTCCGCCATCACCGGAAGCATCTCATCCTCGACAACTTGCGCAGTGGTGCCATTAGCTGTAATGTCGGACTTGTTTGCACAAAGCACAACGGGAACGTTGACACCAAGTGACCGAAAATACGGCATCCAGAACAGAGCTACGCGCTCATAGCTGTAGTGGTCCGAGTATACCAGTAGTATAACATTTGACTTTCGGATTTCTTTGCGCAAAGTATTTCTCTCTTGTGGCAGGGCAGATGTATCGACGATTGTCGTGGTAACATTCTCTGGGGTGCCGATGCTTGGTGGGATAGTGATATGTGGCAGAACCGACTGTATTTTATTCGTCACAAAGATGTCTTTCACCAGCGATGTTATCAAGCTGGACTTCCCCGTCCCTTCATCGCCGCAGACACATATGCGCACTAAAACGGTCAGTTACTATTCATCCAAAAAGTACTTATCTAACGCTGCAGCAGGGTTTCTCCGTTGTTACTGACCTGTCGCCATGGAGCCGGCCACACACGCTACGAGCAGCCGATATGTTTATTGGCAGTCTTCACAGTCAATCATTGCGATCAACCTGAAGCCTGCGACAAGTCTCCGTGGAGATAGACAGCTCGGTCGATGGTTGCTGGTTTCTCCGGAGGTTGATTTGAGTTGGAACTCCTATCTATCGATTGCGAAAGGGAAGCTGTGGGCAACAGCTCTGTTTGTGACCCACCTTCGAACGCCGCGGAAGCCCGTGTCGGACTTTAAACGATGTACCCCGTTTTTCACGTGTGGGCGTATATCGCGGACACAATGGGAGACTCCTCAAGGAAAGAAATTCTGTTACACACAGATTTTACCAGTATTCTTTATAAGGACTAGATGAGATAGTGGCAGAACCGTCATTACTGCGTGCCATAATAACGTCAGATCAAGGATCCCCTCGCGGCACGAAGGCATGAGTGATCGCCAACTGTTCGAGAACACTGCTCCACTTACCCCACACTGTGGTAGACCCTCCACAAAGGCCTACAAAGGCAAGGTACTGTACAGGAATTGATCCAAGCAATTGAGCCGCCAGGCACTCAGTTCGACATCTCACCCCCAATCTCCTCTCTACAAAGGCTCAAGGCGACGACATACCTATCGCTCGCACTTTCAACAATCCAGCCGGCGAGTAAAAGACGTCAGCGATCATGTTGTAAGTCGCGCAAGCATTCAATGGCGCAATGCTCCGTGGTTCCCCATACTGACGAGACCCCCCATAGTGTTCTTCCGCCCCCTCCTCGATATCTCTCGCATGCTGCCTATAATGCGGCTATAGCTGCTGGTCAGGTGCTGCCTATGATCGAGACGAACAATATCCTATCGACCCCAACAGGACCCGAATATCAGCTGCTCGTTGGAGAAGGTCAGCATCGCCACCTGGTGTAGGCGGCAATACTGACAAGATCGGGCAGGGACATACGTGCTTAAGGAGGATTTACATCTAGCTACGCCTCCACCGCATCCTTCAGAGGCTCCGACTATTAACCCGAACCCTCTTGCCACAAACCCCCAGCCGGCTTCGGCTGGGACAAAGATATCATTACTATCCCTCAGCACCCGCAATTCGGCACCATCATACTTTAGACAACGGGCGAATTCGAGATTGAATGCGCCTATACATGAGCACCCTGGTGAAGAGCGGGCATCGGCAGAGTTGGGCACCGAGGGTGGCGCAGGTAGCCCGCGAAGCAGTAACATTACCCACACACTATCCCATGCTTCAACCCCGGCTTTCGGAGAAGGCAATTCGTTGCTTTCACCCCAAGTAGGCAAAGATGCCTCAAAACGCAGGAAGCCGAAGAACAACATGGCAAAGAGCAACTCTTCGTTCATATCCCGCGTGATCACTAACGAGGGGTTGGCAAAGCGCCTGGCGGACCGTCCTTCGGATGGGATGTTCGCATTTGTTAATGTCAATCGAGCCTTTCAATGGCTTGATCTTTTCTCGCCGAACAAGGTAAGACTAACGAAAAACCCCTGATAAAGTGGTACTAAAATCAATACAGCAAGATTATCTGACTAAGATACTGTTTACGAAAGCTCACTGTTTGTGCCACGATATTAACACCGTGACTAAGAGCGCCACTCATATGGACTTGATTATGGGCTTCTCCACCGGTGAGATTATATGGTATGAACCAATCTCGCAAAAGTATACACGTCTAAATAAGAATGGGATCATCAACGCGACTCCCGTGTCGGAGATTCGCTGGATACCTGGATCCGAGAACCTCTTCCTCGCAGCACATATGGATGGGTCTCTTGTTGTATATGATAAAGAGAAGGAAGAGGCCGCCTTTCTTCCGGAAGAAAAGAGCAACGAGGCTTTGGATGTCATCATCGAGGCTGACGGACGTGAGAGCTTGCACATCGAGAAATCCGTCCATTCTCGAAACCAAAAGGTCAATCCGGTGTCGTTCTGGAAATTATCGAACCAACGGATTAATGCATTTGCATTTTCGCCAGACAACAGACATCTTGCGGTTGTCTCCGAAGACGGCACTCTCCGGATCATTGACTACTTAAAAGAGGAGTAAGTTACTCGCACCACCTACCCTTCTACCTTCCAAGCTAATCAATGCCTTAGGCTCCTGGACCTTTATACAAGCTATTATGGTGGCCTCTTATGTGTGTGCTGGTCACCTGATGGGAAATACGTCCTCACAGGCGGACAAGACGATCTCGTGTCGATATGGTCAATGACCGAGTCAATGATCGTTGCGCGATGCCAGGGACATCAATCGTGGGTAACAGCTGTAGCATTCGACCCCTGGAGATGTGATGACAGGAACTACCGTTTCGGAAGCGTTGGAGAAGACTGCAGGCTACTGCTGTGGGATTTCAACGTGGGCATGTTGCATAGGCCGAAAGCTGTAAGTTCAACTATATGACAATGCTTGTGAACAAGGATTCTAACACTCCTAGGCTTCGGTGCGGCACAGAAATAGTGTCTCCTCGCGTTTCACAAATGCGCTTCAGAGAGCTGAAACGCAGACTACGATAGCAGGTCGGGTTACCGATTCCAACATATCCACAGACACGGACGAGGGATTGAAGACCGGGCACCCTGTAGAGCCGAAGTCGCGGGTCGCTATACTCCCCCCTGTACTGGTAAGTGCAGTTCTAAAACAATGCTTAAATGCAAGATCTAACCGAATACAGTCCAAAAACATCGGTGCAGATCCTCTCTGCTGGCTGACGTTCACTAAGGAGGCGATTATAACAAGTTGCAAGACAGGTCATATTCGAATTTGGAATAGGCCGACTGATGCTGCTGGCACCCCTGAGAAGCCTACTGTGTAAAGCATAACTTACTTCCCGATTACAATATAAGCAGCTATCAGACAGAGAACAATATGTTGTAACGTAGGTCATGGTGTAAGTCGTCTAATGGCGTAGATCGCGCAGTTCGCCCAGCCACAACCTGGTTGGTCTCGTATTCCCAACCACAACCCAACAATGGTCTGTAGTAAAAGCGTACGTGCTGCGGAACTCGAAGTTCTAGTCGCTGAGGCAGTTTTGGGAATCCAAAAGAAGTACAAGTCCTCGTACGCAGCTACAAAAGCTCTTAAGACTTTGCAAGGACACTGTGAAGAAACGACTAAACGGCGGCCTCTCACGCGTTAGAGCACGCCAACAACAACAAATTCTTTCATACTAACGGCTACGCACCTAGTCATCGAATTTTACGAGAGATTGCAGATGAAATCCGCATCAACCGTTATTGCATCTTCGAACTTTCTGCTGATAGGCGCGTCCCAAACACACATGACATCACATACACCCAAATTCCAAACCTACCTTTAGGGCAGGAGTGGGTTCTATGCTTCATTAGACGCCTATCCACACTTACAAGTACGACTAGGAAGACGGATCGAATCACAAAGGATGAACGGTGTTACAAAAGACGTGGTAGTAGGATGGTTTGACGCGTACAAGGACCTTGTGACGCGTCTCAAAATCAAAGAACACAACGTATATAACATGGATGAGACTGGCTTTTCGATTGGAACTATAGAATGTACTCGAATCATTGTTGATTCCACGCTCCGTATGCGCCATTAGGCTCACCAAGGCCGTCAAGAATGGGTGTCCGCAGTGCATCTATCTAGACGGCACGGCCATCAACCCTCTTATCATGTTCAAAGGTCTCAACGTTTTGCAAAGCTAGATTCCACAGGAGGTTATTGATAAATGGCACTTCTCTACAAACTCGAAAGGATGGACAAGCAATCGTAGATGGACTCGAGTGGTTAAAACGCGTGTTCGAGCTAGCAACGCGTGCGAAAGCAGATGGAGGACAACGACTTCTTATTTGTAATGGCCATGATAGCCATATAAGCGGAAACTTTATATCACATTGCATATAGAATCGCATCTCGCTCCTTATACTGCCACTACATACTTCACATGTGTTGCAGCCGCTCGATGTTGTAGTTTTTAGACCATTGAAAAAACGCCTCACAACCACACTATTCCCGCTTAATAAAGCACAGCTCACGCGCATACAGAAAGCGGAGTGGTTAACCACATACATAAAAGCAAGGACAGAAGCTCTTTCGATTCAGAATATTACCTCAGCTTAGAGAGGCGTAGGATTATAACCGCAGCGCATAATACGCGAGGTTATCTGCAGTCGACATCTAGCGTGACGACTGCAGATGACCGACCTAAAACACTACCATAACACGATATTTTTGATACTGTCTTTTAGGATAGTAGCCTACCTGATTTTGCTACATTGCGAAAAGCAAATACGTTCGTGACAACTAGGCCATCCACACCATTAGACGACTTACACCATGACCTAGGTGAACAAGCTTACAAGCATACTTTATTACAATGCGCGCACGTGAGGAGCCCGCACGTGATGTGTCTGTAGAGATCACATGTTTCCCATTTCAGCTGCGTTGTCCAAAACGGTAGGCACAAGGCAGCACGTAATGGCACTCAGTAATCAAAAGTCCCATCAGAGACTGTCAGGTATGGGACGGGAAATCACAAGACACCGATAGGAAGCGCTCAGTGGTTAAAACAATAGCTCATAAAAATCCTTAGGTGCAACATTGTCACCACTCCGCCCGCCACTACCCGCAATCGGAGAGGTACCGTACCACATGAAAGAAAGTGGATGACACAATCGAATTGAAAAACAACTTTTTTTGCCTGAATCCGTTTGCTTGAATGATTTTGCCGGCAGGCCCAGCATCTCACCTACATCGCGGCCTCTGGTGACAGGTCGTTACACCAAGCTGCTCGCCATGCCAGTATTCAATCCTTTCCAGAGCGTGACGGGACGCAACAGCGCATCGCTGTTTGAGATCAGGTTGGTACATGCGGGCTCCTTCCGCAACGAGCAGCGTATTGACGGTGAACTAACTGCAGGCTTGAATCCGATGTGATCGTGTTGAGAGGCCCTGAAAGTGAGGCCTCGAGCCAGATCCTGCGGGGTGTGCTTGTGCTATGTCTTGCTCAACCCCTCAAGGTGGAAGACGTGCATTTGCGACTTACAGGACAATGTAGAGTCGGGTACGTTTCTCAACAACCAAGTCGGTAGTTTATGGATTGTTTGTATTAATATGTGTGCTACAGGTGGAACGACACGAGGTTGACGGGGGCAGGAATGTCCAGCGGCAAGGTGGATAAAGTTACAGAGATTTTGAATCACAGGTGGCCGAATTTTGTCGGCGCAGATGGGATTGGATCGTCGTCAAAGGGTGTGACGCTGGGCGCCACAAACTACGAGTGGCCCTTCGAGGTAATCATCCCAGGAAGCGCAGCAGAGAGCGTGGCAGGCCTTCACGACAGCCATATCCAGTACAAGTTGAAAGCGACGATTGCCAGAGGGCGGTTGGCGTATGACATGCATGCTTACAAGTCCGTCCGTGTCATTCGGACTCTCGACCCCGCAGCACTGGAGCTATCGCACGCCATGACGGTGGAGAACATATGGCCCAACAAACTCGAGTACTCGATCGTAATTCCGCAAAAGGCAATAGTTTTCGGAACGTCCATCGCCGTGGATATGAAATTTACGTCGTTACTAAAGGGACTGAGGATCGGCACCATCAAATGCCACCTCGTGGAGGTACAAGAGTTTTCCATCCCAAACCCGGCACTTTCGAATAAATCGCACAAGAAGTCGAGGGATATCGAGAACTGGGCTTTTGAGATAGACGAGCAAGGGAGCTATCACGACATGCTGGATGAGTCGGGGCAGGGCGGCTTTGTCGTGAAGGAGGTAATGCCTCTTCCCAAGTCACTGAAGAAGTGCTTGCAAGATTGCGAGACGCATGGCATTAAGATCCGACATAAGGTGAAGTTCAATATTGCGCTGCACAACCCAGACGGACACACCTCCGAGGTAATTATCCCTCAATCTGCCTCAAAATGACCTTTGCTAATACCTACTAGCTACGAGCTTCGCTTCCAGTCACCATCTTTATTTCCCCTAATGTACCCCTCGATGAAGCGGGCAACCTCCTTGATCAAACTCCAGACCATATCCACACGCTTGACATCGACTCCCACGCCCCTCCATTATATGGCGAGCATATCATGGATCAGTTGTATGCCGGTATCGACTCTGGCACTATGACCCCATCCGCTTCGTCCGGAATGAACACACCATTCCACCTGCACTCTCGATCAGGCTCAGCGGAAAACCTTGCAGCAATGAATGGCATGTCAAGCACTGCTGTCAGACCAGATATCTTGTCCAGCAGGCTTCATAACCTCAGTATAACGCCCGGCATCCCTGGCGCCTTTAGACGTCGCGGAGACGGCAGCGGAGGCAACACTCCCCATGTCACTTTTAGCAGCGACAACCTTGTTGTACTCGGCACTTCCAGCGCCCCCCATCAAGCAGGGGGGTACCTCGACCAAGCACCACACGGAGCGACATCGAGAAGCAACCCGATATCTCGACACCCAAGCGACGAAGATGTGCGCAGTGGCCGCACCTCGGCCATAACCTCTGGTTACCAAACACCAGAGCACATCGACTACTCTGAGCTAGCGCTGAACAAAGTCCCGTCCTATGCGACGGCCGTTCGGGCCCCGATACGGAATACGACGCTTAACGAACCAGAGCCGTTGCCCAACTACGACATGGCTATCTCTGCACCGCCGAGTCCGACGAGGACACATTCATTCCCTGTGACTCGTACTCTAAACGACCAGTCGGGGAACATCAACAGCGAGCCCGCGACCCCGCGGGCTGAGACACACAGGCGGAATACCTCGTTATCGCATCTAGGCCGCTCAGTGCTGCAGAATCGGCGGTCGACGGGAGATGATGATGCGGAGAGGAGGTTGCAGCTATTGAGGGCGAGAGCCCCTTAGCTTTATTAGCCGCCTATTATGCCCATACTTAATGCTAGACAGAAGGATTGGATTAATCCTTCTGCGGCTGCTTTTTGCGAATATACTTAATACAACGGGACACGGCAACAATTGGATGGAATGGTTTGAAAGGGTTTTAAGGGAATAGAAGGGAGGATTTCTGGGAGGCGTTTGGTAGGGATATCCCCAGCGGCTTTGGGGATACCTGGTTTTCTTGGATATAAATACAGCATCACTCCTCTTACATTAAACTCGGTGGTAATTAGATAAAAGATGTAATTTTGGATCAAATCCCGTAGCTCTCTCCTGTGCTATGTTGTGGTGTTTACGATTCTTGGGTTGTGCAAGGCTGAAGCCGAGCCTTTGGAGGGGTAATTTGTTGGCTCCCCGCCCCGCACTTTTGTGGCTGTGGACAATGACGACCTATCAAGGGCAAGCGACTTGGATTGCCAACATGCTGTTTTCGTACCACGGCATTTATTCATTCTAAAAAAGAGTTTTACGAGGATTTAGTTTTGTTTGCTTTAAGATACTTGCTGTACTGCTTCTGCTTCACATATAGATACCATCCCTTCGAAGTTCGACGAGCAAGAAGCTCACCACCGCCACGATGTCGCGCCATAAGATAGTCAAGAACATGGATCTCGACGACGAGATGGACGATTACGACGGCGGGGAAGACTACGCCGACGACGGAGCTGAAGGTCGGTATCCCCTTTCACATTAGACCGCATGCATACATAGAGAGCCCTGCTAACCCCCGTCCCCAGAGCTCAGCGAAGAAGACAAAGGTTCGCCGTTTCCATAACTACCCCGCTTCTCCCCGCGCGAGGTCCAAAGCTGACCACCAACAGAGTCTATGAGAGTAGGCACGATATCGGTACGCGAAGCTCTTGGCGACGACGTACCGGGGATCACAGATAAGGATATACAGGAGGCGCTGTGGCATTACTTTTACGACGTTGAGAAGAGCGTGAATTACCTCCTGCAGTCGAGGACGGCGAAGAAGGAGACGGGAAAGAAGAAGGCGAAAGGTGGGTCACTATTTTCTCATCTTGAGTCTGGAGATATGGCTTGGCGGCAAAGCGAGCCTGAGGGCATGGGACAAGGAATGGGCGGTAGCTATGGTTCCGGAGGTGCGTCACCTCTTTCATTATCACGGATTATTGTAGGGATATCAGCTAACACAAAGGCGTTGCAGAATATATGGCGCCGCCTCCCACGACTTGTTCGAAACCGTTTATACCGGCCGACTTTTGGAAGGATATGGGCTGGTTCAACGTACCCCAGGACAGACGGACGACTTTTATCGAGCCTTTATATCCTCGTGGTGGTCTATTGGGTGGGAATCCTGAGGCAGTTCCTAAAATGACCAAGCTTCAAGCTTTGGCTGCTGCCCGTAAGAAGAACGCCCAAGAGCAGAAAAATAATGTTGGAGCCAGCGATGTGACAAAGCCTATGGCTGGCTTGTCTCTGGGGGCAAAGTCTGGCAACGATGAGAGCAGTGCCAGAGGCCCAGATTCTACAGCTCCATCAGGGTCCCGTACCGCTTCCGGGAAGGAGAACAGCGCCAGGAAATATACAGGACTGAAGCGCAAAGATTCAAGCCCCCATAAGCAAGAATCGCGGCCACCAGCTTCCGTCTCAGCTTCCTCCAGCCCACCTCCAATCAAGCCCATACCTGAAGTTGAAGCTGCCGCGCCCTCCGCATTCGCATCTACCATGTTCGGGGACAACCCCCCCAGCCTCCGCCAGGCCCCATCCGCTGCGTTTACTTTGCCATACTCAGACCCCTATTTACAGCCCACTGATGATGCATTTGCAGGGCCCAGCCCCGATGACCAGGTGCTAGCAGCACAGTCGAAAGGTTCGGCACAACCAGCGATTCCGCGGAGATCATAGATGACTAACCGAACTAATGGGAGCAGCTGCGAAGAAGGATAAGCCGCCTACTAAGACGAGCAATGAGAAGAAGGCGGATCAGATTGCGAGGGGGGTGGAGGCGATGAGGATGGATGATACGCCGAGGGCGACGAGTAAGAATCTGGATGTGTTGGCGGAGTTTGAGAAGAAGAAGGCAAAGAATGCGGCAATTTTTGTGGTTATTGGTAGGTTGTTCGCGCAAAGGGTTGGTGGTGTAGTGCTCACTGTTTGTAGGTCATGTTGATGCTGGTAAGAGCACGTTGATGGGACGACTACTGTTGGATTTGAATGTCATAGACCAGCGGACTATTGACAAGTATCGCAAGGAAGCGGAGAAACTTGGAAAGTCCTCGTTTGCATTGGCTTGGGTGTTGGACCAAGGCACGGAGGAGCGCAATAGGGGTGTGACGATCGACATTGCAACGAACAAGTTCGAGACGGACAAAACTGCCTTTACCATTCTCGATGCGCCTGGTCATAGGGATTTTATTCCTAATATGATTGCGGGGGCTAGCCAGGCAGACTTCGCGGTCTTGGTTATTGATGCTAGTACGGGCTCTTTTGAGTCGGGATTGAAGGGCCAAACAAAGGAGCATGCACTACTGGCTCGCAGCATGGGTGTTCAAAGGCTCATCATTGCAATCAACAAGCTCGACACTGTCAACTGGTCTCAAGACCGCTTCGACGAGATCTCCCAGCAGGTCTCGGCATTCTTGACCGCCGCAGGCTTTCAGGCCAAGAACGTCACCTTCATCCCGGTCTCGGGTCTACATGGGGACAATATCGCACGAAAGTGTACAGAGGAAGCGGCATCTTGGTATACAGGATCAACTCTGGTGGAGGAGCTGGACAACTCGGAGCCGGCAATACGCGCTCTGAACAAGCCGCTACGATTCACCATCGGCGACATCTTCCGCGGCGGCGTCCAGAATCCCCTCAGCGTCTCCGGACGCATTGAAGCCGGCTCGCTCCAAACCGGCGATGCCCTGCTGACTCAACCCAGTGGTGAGAAATGCTACGTAAAGGGATTGGAAGTCGACAACGAGACAGCGGACTGGTCCGTGGCGGGGCAGAACGTCACAATTCACTTGACAGGCATCGATCCCATCCACCTCAAGATCGGGGACGTACTATGCAGCCCCTCCAGCCCAATTCAATGCATCAAGACCTTCGTAGTCAAGGTCCTCGCCTTCGAGTTCCTGATGCCCTCAGGCATTGACGTACACCGCGGCCGTCTGCACGCCGCTGGGCGCGTGACGGAACTACTGGCTACGTTAGATAAGAGTAGTGGGAAGGTGACGAAGAAGAAGCCGCGGATTGTGCGGCCGGCGAATATTGCGAGGGTGAGCGTGGAGCTCGAGACGGCGGTGCCGCTGGAGAAGGGACAGAGGGTTGTGTTGCGGAGTGGGGGGGAGACTATTGCGGCGGGGTTGATAGAATGAACAGCGTGTTTTGCACTTCGTGTTACTTGTTGGGGCCATTGCTTGGTGTGAGTGATTGATTAGTGATGTTGGTGCCAAGACGAGTGCTACGGTGTATGATCTGGTCTGTCTGGCATTGATATTTTATTTTGATAACCGTGGCCTTCTTCCTTCCGTCCTTCTTCCTTCCGTCCTTCTTCCTTCCGTCCTTCTTCCTTCCGTCCTTCTTCCTTCCGTCCTTCCCCCTTCCTACCGCTGTGGCTTGAACCCCTTGATTCCTGGAGGATTGTGTTATAAAACCTTGCTGTATTTACTCTAGAGGCGGGGCTGAAGATGATCCCTAGCCTCGTTGAGGTGCTGCATGTCTCAACACAACACCCTGCCTCCTTTGGTTTGAGACGAAAGCAGCTGATTCAGGTGAGCGTGGAGTACATAGAAACTAGAGTTCTATAGGGTAAACAAAGCAACAGAGTAAACAAATACATATACAGTTTGCCACTTTGAAGCCGTTTAGATATGGACAGAGTATGAGATATAGAGTTTTAGCCACAAAGGTACACAGAGTCATACCATAAGCTACCGTGCACTTGTACCCCCTGCACCAACGAATAGACGAGGTACTTGACTTGCAGTACTGATTTTGCATACAAACCAAGTACCTACTCTACCACAGTACATCTGGTGGCGGCACTCTCGTGGGGCGCTTCTTAGCGCCATCCCTCTCACTCGCCTTCGCTAATTGACCAATCACAGAGCTTGAAGTAGCCCGTAACCTTGGGAGAGGACACTTTGTCAGTCAGGCCAAATGTGAGAATAATAAAGTTCCAGCGACTTCCGTCTCCGAACCTTTTTGTCCCTCTCTCCTTCCCAGGAACATCCTCTCTTCCCTCCCCCTTCTTTAAACTCGCGACCTGTCCGAGTCTCTCGACAGACAAACAATACGGATCGACTCTTCGGTCTCTTTTTAGAAACGCTTATTTAATTCCATTATCGCAAAATACACAACCACTTGATAGCTTCACCGCTGCCGTTCAAGATGGCCAGAGGAAATCAGAGCGGGCTCTTCATGGGCCTGTCTGCCCTCTTCTACCTCGTCCTCCTCTTCACCCCCCTCGCCTTCCTCCAGACCGCCAGCGCATCTTCGGAACAGGAGCCATTGGCAGCAGAGAGCTATGGCACAGGTAAGCTCTTTCAGGCCACGTTTAGCTTCTGCCGGGATACTAACGCGCATCTTCAGTTATCGGTATTGATTTGGGAACCACTTACTCTTGTGTCGGTGTGATGCAGAATGGCAAGGTCGAGATTCTCGTCAACGACCAAGGTCACAGAATTACCCCATCTTACGTCGCGTTCACGGAGGAGGAGCGCCTGGTCGGAGACGCAGCAAAGAACCAAGCCGCTGCGAACCCAAAGAACACTATCTACGATGTCAAGTCAGTCCCACCATCAATTATACCCTTTATACGTGACTTTAACTAACATCCGTCTTAGGCGTATGATCGGTCGCAAGTTCTCTGACAAGGACGTCCAGGCCGACATGAAGCACTTCCCATTCGACGTTGTCCAGAAGGATGGCAAGCCAAACGTCCGCGTTGAGGTTAACGGCAGCCCCAAGACTTTCACCCCAGAGGAGATCTCTGGCATGATCCTCGGAAAGATGAAGGATGTCGCTGAGTCTTACCTGGGTAAGAAGGTCACCCACGCCGTCGTCACCGTCCCAGCCTACTTCAACGACAACCAGAGACAGGCCACCAAGGACGCCGGCATCATTGCCGGACTTAACGTTCTCCGCATTGTCAACGAGCCAACCGCCGCCGCCCTCGCCTACGGTCTTGATAAGACCGACGGTGAGCGCCAGATCATCGTCTACGATCTTGGTGGAGGAACCTTCGATGTGTCTCTCCTGTCAATTGACCGTGGCGCTTTCGAGGTTCTTTCTACCGCTGGTGACACCCACTTGGGTGGTGAGGATTTCGACCAGAGAGTCATCAACTTCTTCGCCAAGCAGTACAACAAGAAGAACGGCGTTGACATCACCAAGGACCTCAAGACCATGGGTAAGCTGAAGCGCGAGGCTGAGAAGGCCAAGCGTACTCTCTCTTCCCAGATGTCCACCCGCATCGAGATTGAGGCTTTCCACAACGGCAACGACTTCTCCGAGACCCTTACCCGCGCCAAGTTCGAGGAGCTCAACATGGATCTCTTCAAGAAGACCCTCAAGCCGGTCGAGCAGGTTCTCAGGGACGCCAAGGTCAAGAAGGAGGAGGTCGACGACATTGTCCTCGTCGGTGGCTCTACCCGTATTCCAAAGGTCCAGGCCCTCATCGAGGAGTACTTCTCCGGAAAGAAGGCCAGCAAGGGTATCAACCCTGATGAGGCTGTCGCTTTCGGAGCTGCCGTCCAGGGTGGCGTTTTGTCTGGTGAGGAGGGTACTGAGGAGATCGTTCTTATGGACGTCAACCCATTGACCCTTGGTATTGAGACCACTGGTGGTGTCATGACCAAGCTCATCCCAAGAAACACTGTCATCCCAACCCGCAAGTCCCAGATCTTCTCTACCGCCGCCGACAACCAGCCAGTTGTCCTCATTCAGGTCTTCGAGGGAGAGCGCACTATGACCAAAGTTCGTACTCCAGACTCTATTTGATTGCTTTTCTCCAGCAGACTCTATTTGGTTGCTTCGCTCGAACAGACTCTGTTCGCTTGCTTCGCTCCAATAGACTCTGTTCAGTCTCTTCTCTCCAACTGTTACTAACTCATTCACAGGATAACAACCAGCTTGGCAAGTTCGAGCTTACTGGCATCCCACCGGCACCCCGTGGTGTTCCCCAAATCGAGGTCTCTTTCGAGCTTGATGCCAACGGAATCCTTAAGGTTACCGCTGGTGACAAGGGCACCGGAAAGTCCGAGTCCATCACCATCACCAACGACAAGGGGCGTCTTACCCAGGAGGAGATTGACCGTATGGTTCAGGAGGCTGAGCAGTATGCCGATGAGGACAAGGCTACCAAGGAGCGCATCGAGGCCCGTAACGGTCTTGAGAACTACGCTTTCAGCCTGAAGAACCAGGTCAACGATGAGGAGGGTCTTGGAGGCAAGATTGATGACAATGACAAGGAGACTGTAAGTTGATTAATTGAAATCAGTGACCGAGACCTTCACTAACATATTTTTTCCAGATCCTTGAGGCCGTTAAGGAGACCACCGACTGGCTCGAGGAGAACGCCGGTACCGCCAACTCTGAGGACTTCGAGGAGCAGAAGGAGAAGCTCTCGAACGTCGCATACCCCATTACCAGCAAGCTATACAGTGGCAGCGGTGCCGAGGGAGAGGATGACTCCGGACACGATGAGCTATAGAGTGTATCATATCCATTTGGGCGAAAAATAAAAATCGAGAAAGTTGCGCTTCACGCTGCAATTTCAATCATGCAGAAGAGGAGGTTTCGTCGTCTTTTTTTGTTGTGGTTTTGGGAGTGTAATATCTAGACTTATAGCATGCAGGCAAGAGAATGAAGCATAAATACACTTAACTTTATCCTGGTACCCCTGTTTTTTTTTGTAGTGATCGCATGATGTATGTTTGTTTTTTGGTAATTCCCCTGCCTCTCAGGGTATGTATATGTGTCGCAAAATCGACGAGGCTACTCTCTGTGAATTATATATCTCTTCGTTCTCATAAACTCATTCATATACACATACATTCGTACCGTTTCCAAAAAACCCAAATCCTACCTCCCCCAAGTGTCCCCAAGTGTCCCCAGGTACCCCCCCGCTTTTCCCCATGTTCCCTAAACCTTACTCTCCGTCGACTTCCTCCCCTCAATCTCCACCACCTTCTCCGAGAAATTCAAACTCACACTATTAACACAATGCCTCTCATCCGTCGGCGTCTCATACCCCTCCCCCTTAAACACATGACCCAAATGCCCCCCACAATTCGCACAAATGATCTCCGTCCTCGTCGCGCCCATCGACCGATCCGCGCGCCGCTCTACCGCGCCGGGGATGCTGTCGAAATACGCGGGCCATCCGCAGCCGGACACGAACTTGTGGGAGGCGGTGTAGAGGGGCGCGGAGCAGCCGGCGCAGGTGTAGGTCCCTGTTTCGGGGGCGTGGGTGTCGTATTTGCCGGTTCCGGGGGGCTCGGTGCCTTTTTGACGGAGGATGCGGAATTGTTCTAAGGGGGCCGTTCGTTAGTTTATGTGTTCGTTTTTTTCGTAGGTTTTTCAGAGTGGGCGGGAAGGGAAAAGGGGATGGACGGGTGGGTGGTGGGTCCGTGTTTACCTTTGCTGAGCACGGCTTGCCACTCATCGTTCGATTTCTGGAGGGGGAAAGTCATTTTGGGAGTAGATTTTTTGGAGCTGAAGAGGCTGCCTAGGAAGGATAGTGTAGGCATGGGCCTTGTGAATGCTGCTGCGGCGTGGGCTGGGGTTCGGTGGAGGGAGGAGCGAGGAGCGCTGGATCTGAGGGGGATGTAGGAGGACGACGATGGCGTGGTTCGAGCGACAATGTCGGGCCAGGAAGGGGGGCGCATGGGAAGGGCTTTATAGCGAAGGAGGGTTCGGTAGTTGGGTTACAAAGATGTGGAATCAATCGCCTGATGTTCCTCTCAGGATGTGTGTGTGTCAGGATGTGTGCGTGTTTGTGCGAGGCTGAGGACGGTAGGACGGGTAGACAGTAGTGAGGTCATTTTTACGGATTTGCAGTCGCCGAAACGCCGCCGCCATCCTTGAACAGGGTTGATTTGGGTTCCTTTGGCTGACCGTGGGGCTTTTGACCAAGGCGCAAGAAGAAGGTGCCAAGCCACTATATGGCAGCCTAGGCTTCGTTGGCGATAATAATTGTAGACCCCAGGTCTAAAGTAGTAATATAAGAATACTATAATACCCCCTAAGTGCCTCTTGGTGATACTAGTAGAGCACTTGTACATGGGTCTTTAGACGATCTAGTACCTAGTTAATTATCATATTTAATGATACTTACTAGCACTTACTTGGCTGGTTTGGCACAAGTCTTGCTTAGGCGCTACATCTATCGTATAATAAGATACAAGCGTTTTCTGTAGCTATAGAGGCTATTAGTCAATGCCCTTGTATATAAGGCTTTGTAGATGGCACATTTTGAGGATTCTCACGTCCTTCTAGCCCTAACGAAGCCTAGCTTAAGCTGGCTTTCTAAATGCTCCTCTAATACCTCTGGATTTAGAGGTGGTAGCACCGAAGCCATGGCTTTTACAAGCCCCTCTATCATCAAGAAGAGTTGCTTCTTGATCATCTTCTACTACTATGTATTAGCACTTTTGGGATCGCTAAGAAGAAAAAGATAGGTGTGGAGAAGGAGAGGCACTAGTAAGTGGTAATAATGGTAGCTAAGACTGTCATCATCCTTAATTATAACGGCATCTTGAACTCTATTACTACTTACTAATTGCTACGCTTAGAGCGCTAGGAGGGTGTAATGGTGGGTGCACCAGATGTGAGAATCTAGCCAGCAAGGAAGGGATGATTTTACTAAGACAACACACTGTCTTAGGAAACAGAGCCAAAGGTTGTAGCTTAGACTATTCCACAACGCAGCAATCAGGTGTATGATGTAGTGGAGTGGTTTAGATAAGTTGTAACAAATTTTGAGTCTGAGAACTCAGGGATAAGGGATAAGTCAGAGGTTAGCACCTCACTGACTTTTCAGAAACAAGGAGTAACAAGATCAATGCTTGGAAGCTTGGAAAAGACGTGGAAGTATGTAATAGTCGATTTACTGTATTGTCTGCTTGCCCTTTCTTAAGGAAAGGGCAATCCTATTTATGCTAAAGGAGTGTAGTTCTCTAATTTTCCAAGACTTTCCATGACTAACCAGGCTTGGTAACTGTAGTCGACGTAAGAGAATCCCATAGAACCATCTCCCAGGTTCCTAGCCTATAGGAAGTGAAAGGAGGTCCAAGGTCAGAGTACCCCTATAGACAGATTATGTCATAACTTAACCAATCTTCTGGGTAACTAAGGAGCGATGACGTGTAATGAATCATAGAGTGTTGTAGAAGCTTTTGGAGCTATCGTTCATGTTCCTAGGCCTCTAGTTGATAGAGATATGTCATGTGTAGTATTAGCCCAGTAACTAAGGAGTGATGTCATGTAATGAATCATAGAGGGTTGTAGAGATATGCTATGTGGTCATATCAGCCCAGTAACTAAGGAGCAATGACTTGTAATGAATCATAGAGGGTTGTAGCAATCGTTGAGTAGTATTGCTCTTGTTGTTGGTGTGACAAGCCAAAATATGTATAGTGACTTGTAGGTTTGAGGAGGAGATTTCTAAGTTTGCTCTTGAGTTTGATAGCAAACTGAGTGCAACGAATGTCAGTATGACAGAGGGGGTTCTATAGTGAGGGTAACGGCAGGTTGATAACCTGCTTCTCCTTCATTATAAGAAGCATTGCTGCCTAAGCGAGGAAAGAAACCTCACCCCTCGCCCCTATAGTGTAAGGACACAGGGCACCCAGCTCATAGTAATAGCATATAAGAGTGCGAGTCAGAGGCTAAACAGATGCTACCCTCTAGGTCTACTACGAAGGATACAAAAAAGATGAAGGGGGAACCCTGTTAGGTCAGTTGGCCTAAATACCAAAACAGGTCCGACTTAGTTAACCTGCCCTAATTGAGAACATGTGACCCTGTAACAGCCCTGAGTCAGATCCTCTAAATACCAGGAAGAGGAGGCATCCTTACATATAGCACCCTAGTGCTCCTTCTGCTCCTAGATAACTATTGCTTTAGCATTAAGGACAGCTATCTAGTTGTCCTTATATAGTTGCCGTTCTGTTTGGCTGTCTTGCTTGCTAGTTCTAAGATCTTAGAGATATTTCTGCTAAGCAGCAATATTCCTCTATAAAACCTAGCAAAGAGTACTATGCTCTTTACTAGTCTTATGTTACCAATTAGCAGTAACATTCTTAAAGAACTTGCTGCCTCTGCCATTCGATATGTGTCTGCTATCTAGAGGTGGATTTTTAACAGTATATAATATACTCATTAAGGCTTAAAGCCTAAGTCTTTCCTTTCCCTTGTAGTATATCCTCCTCTTCTTAACTCCTTTTCTGCTTCTTTAGTCTTCCTTGTATATTTGACAATGTAAATGGTGCTTGTAGTGGTGGTGGCTTAGTATCATCGTTGTTGTTAGTATCATTGTCATTAGTATCGTCATCGTTAGTATTATTGTCGTTAGTATCATCTTCGCTAGAGGAAAAGCCACTAGCTATAGTAATGTCTAAATAGGGACTTCTTCACCCCTATTTAGAGTTGAATCTAGTTGCTAGCTAGACTAGAACCTGGCTGGAATAGCAGTAATCGTTAGTTTCAGAGGCATCGTATGAGTATATTATTATAAATAATCACTTTGGTCACTAGTGCTAGCATGGTACACTTGATTAACCTTGAATTAATTATATTACTAATCTATACACTAACTATATACAGTAATTCAAAGCTGGCCATAGCTGAATAGAAATCTGTCCAGCCATAACCAGCTTTTGGCAATTGGACGATTCTTCGTCGTTTTTTAGAACAGGGGGTAGTAGGGGGGCGGCAGGGTTAAATCACCGGCGGCTTGGCACCTTCCTTTTCAGGCATTGTTCAAGCCGACAGTCAGGTTGCTAAAACCCTCTAACTACTGGTCCGACGATGAGTGGCTTGATAAAAAGTGGATGCCTCATTTAAGAGGCGCGAAGAATTATTCTTCTAGCCACAGCGCCACACCGGTAGAAGGAGTCTAAACATCCAAAAGTTCCAAAAGTTCCAAAAGTTCCAAAAGTCCCAAAAGTCCCAAAAGTCCCACAATACGCCAATTACAACCCACAGTTGATAATCTGAACTACCTAGTCAGATACCTAGCCATAAACTGAACTAGGTTCCAAGATCCAGGGGGGGAAAAGAAGAAGAAGCAAGGCTAACAAGTACCGAGTTAGAGTACCTTGGGTTCTTCCAAACAATTCACAATTCACAATTCACCCGCTCTTGACGTCCCCATCGACATTATATACGACTTCGAGAAATGTCGCGCAGGACGGTGGACGCCGCGGCGGAGAGGACTGCCCGCAATGCGCAGACTATCAAGAGTCTCCTGAAATTGGAGGGCAACAAGAGCTGCGCGGACTGCAAGAGGAATAAACGTACGTGAATTGGACACGTGCCCTTTATACAATGGCGGATAGATGGATGAGGTTCACATTGCTAACACCTTTCTCTCTCAGATCCGCGATGGGCCAGCTGGAATCTAGGCATCTTCGTCTGCATCCGCTGTTCGGGCATCCACCGAGGAATGGGCACGCATATCAGCAAAGTCAAATCCGTCGACCTCGACTCATGGACCGATGAGCAGCTACAGAGCGTGCTGGTATGGGGGAACTCGCGGGCGAATAAGTACTGGGAGGCCAAACTGGCACCAGGACACGTCCCATCCGAGGCGAAGATGGAGAACTTCATCCGCACAAAGTACGATTCGAAGAGATGGGTTATGGATGGGCAGATTCCGGACCCGGCAACCCTGGATGCCGAGGGCGATGATGACATTCCTCTGAACTTGGTGAAGGAGAAGCAGGATCTCCAGCGCTCGACTTCGCAGCGCGCAGTGCCGGGTTCAGCTCCTGGTGGCATCCCCGCGACTGTGCGCCGAGCTCCTCAGGCGGATCTGCTTGCGAGTGAGGGGTCGTCGGTACAAAGGGCGACTTCAACCCCGGGTACTTCCACGAGACAATCCAACTTCCAAGCTGCACCGGCCGGACCACCAAAGGTGTCAAAGCCTGTAGACTCCCTACTAGGATTGGACTTCTTTGTTCAAGAGCCACAACCTCCTGTGAGCCGCTCCTCGAACGCTACACCTACTTCTGGAGCCTCGGGGCAGTCAAGGCCAGACTTGAAGCAGTCCATTCTCTCTCTTTACGCCTCTGCTCCGAAACCACAACCACAACAGTCACACCATGGGTCTCAGGGCTTCATCAATGGAATGCAGTCTCCATCCCAGCAACCCCAAAGCTCATTTGGAGGCCTGGATGATGCATTCGGCGGACTCGGTTTCTCCAACACCACATCACCTCCACCTCAGCAGCAGCAACAGGTTCAAAAGCCGAATGCATTCGCGGGCCTAGGTAGCCTTCAATCCCACCGATCACCTCCCCTATCCTCTCCACCATCAACCATCACCAGCGGCAGCTTCTTCGACGCAAAGCCCGCAGCGAAGCCTACACCATACACCAACTCCCGAACGACCAGCTCCGCAAGCGACTTCGGCGCCTTCGGCGCTACGCCCGCCCTCCCAACATCCCCACCCGTTCAAAGCTCCGGAATGAACGACCTCTTCGACTTCTCCACCCCCGCCGTCTCATCCCCCCCCAAACCCATCGTCTCCCCCGCCGCTACCCACTCCTCCGTCTTCAACCTGACCGCCGCCCAGCCAGCACCAAAGGCCCAGCCCGCCCCGGCAGCCACCAGCGCAGCCTCAAGCGGATGGACCAACTTCGACGCCATGGGCACGAATGATGCTTGGAGCTCGACCAAGCCGGCGCCAGCACAGGCAGCAGCTAATGATTTCGGATGGGGTTCTGGACCGCCGCTGGCGAGCCAGAGTATTGTTCCGGGCGGCAATGGGTTCGCTCAGGCGGGCAGCACGCCAAAGGTCAGCGCGGACGAGGAGTTCGGTGGCTGGAGCAGCGCATTGCCCGCGGCGCCTGTCAAGAAGACATCGCACAATGCCCCGAAGCCAGTTGCTGGTTTCGGCGCCGCGAGCGAGGATTTGTTCTCCAATGTCTGGGAGTAAGGGGGTGGGTAAGACGTATGGATGGATGAGGGATGGGGTTGGTGACTTTTTATGTTGAGCGAGTACGTAGCATTGCCGGCGGTTCCGGATACAAAGGGGCATAATAGAGCACATAGTGAAGAATGAACGTGACGATGAAGAAGATTCCATGATTTTTTTACATAATACTTTGGATTATGTGCTTGTGCTTGTGTCTTCCACCTTTCTTTACAGTCTCGTGGCATCCTTGCCAGGGATATACGCTCCCCCCCAAACCACAGTATCGTACTGTTGCAACTTTGTCGCTAGCATCCCGTCTTGACTTCCTGTGATATCAGACCTGCCCGACGCCCCCGTCCATGCATCCGCCCTTTAAAACGAACCAAACCTCCCGGCGCCCGCTCATACAAACAGCCCCCAAATAAACCATAACACCAGCACCGTCCCAACAATTATCCCCGACAGCTTGAGCGCAGCCATCTTGTTCCCCGACGCCGCCATGCGCCCTAACCTCTGCGCGGATCCCTTGAGCGTCGTGCCCATGGAGGAAAATGTGTCGGACTACAGAAATGTTAGCTTAGCTCATCACACTCTTCTTCGCTACCTGCCACCGCATGGGTGTGCTTACGGTATTATCAATGACGTCCTGCGCCCTTGCGTTATCGTAGATGTCCACCGTGACGCCCCTGAGGGCACTGACTTTCGCGGACAGCTCATCGAGTCTACTGTCATTCTGGCGCTCGCGGTCGTAGGATTCTGCCATCGCTGCTATTCGTGGCACTGCAGTTGTTGGTCGGAGGAGTGAGTGAGTGAATGGCGGGAGTTGGATCCGGGGTTTGAGGGGCTCGCTCGGTACTGTATTGGGTTGAAGATCGAAGATCCCTTTGTTCCAAAGCACGCGGTTGGCTGGAGCCGCAGTCAGGTCGTCGCGGCTTCTCGCGCCTCTTTTGTGGCGAGGATTAATCGTGTGTGGTATACGTGGTGGGATCCAGGGAGGTGTTTTGCAAGCAATTGGGGTTGGGTTTGGTCGTACAGGTCGTGATATGCCGGATATGTGTGACAGTTCGAGGTCGTCGTTGGCCGCGTGGATCTGGGGGGCTCAGCCACAGCGGGCTATAGATCGCTGGTTGTGGCTGCCAGCGCCCCTAATAAATGGTGGCTGGCTGGCTACATCATCTGTCATCTTTTGCTCTGTTGCCAGCCCCACGATCGCGAACTTCAAAGCTATCAAGTCAGGTTGCCCCAAAAATTGTCAAGAGCAAGACCGGGCGACATTCGTCTTTTGTTTCTGCTTCATTACCCAGCGACCTGCCTCAATTCATTATTGTATATAATCAGCCAAGCTGGTTACCATCTTCAGTTACACTCGCCACCAAGCCCACCCAGACACCGTCACTTGCGCATCAACTACCCCACTATCCAGCCATCCTCCACCTCCAACACTCCGCGGAAACGCAACCTCACCTAACCATCCCTCGCGAAGTACGATATCAGGCTTCACGATGCCTGTCGGAATACACAACTTCCTCCCGTCGTCTATGGCGTGTACGTCCCCCATCTCCCAGCTAACCCGCTCTACCCCAAACTGACCCCAAGCCCCAGCGGAGTGCAAGAAATGCAGCAAGATCTTGGCATCATTCGTGGATCCACGACAGTCCTTCGCCCCCGATAAAGTCATCCCCCCCAGCGTCCTCGCAAACGCAAAGGTCCGTTCCATCCCCCAGCTAATTTCCCGCGGTACGACGAAGCTAATCCAAGCTCCAGGGCCTCGCGATCATCACCGTCCTCAAAGCCGGCTTCCTAGGCTCGGCACGATACGGAAACGGGATTGTGGTGGCACGACTCTCCGACGGATCGTGGTCTGCTCCGTCAGCGATCGGTCTCGGTGGCGCAGGCTTCGGTGGACAAATCGGCTTCGAACTGACGGACTTCGTCTTCGTCCTGAACGATGCATCGGCCGTAAAGGCGTTCTCACAACAGGGCTCCCTCACACTCGGCGGCAACGTGTCACTAGCCGCAGGTCCAATCGGTCGTAATGCCGAAGCCGCCGGCGCAGCGAGCTTAAGGGGCGTAGCGGGCGTGTTCAGTTACTCGAAAACGAAAGGCCTATTCGCCGGCGTGTCACTAGAGGGATCCGCAATCGTAGAGCGGAGAGACGCAAACGAGAAGCTATATGGGCAGCGCTTCACAGCCTCCCAGCTGATGGAGGGTAGTGTGCGCCCGCCCCCAGCAGCACAGCCGCTCATGCAGGTGCTGAACTCGCGGGTCTTCGCCGGCGCGGGAAGCACAGACGCGATGTACAACGACATCCCCGTCTACGACAACAACCAAGACGACGTGGTGTGGGAGGGCCGCTCGGGGTCCGCATACAACGAGGGCGTCGGCCGTGACAGGAGCGTAGGCAACGACAACAACGGGCGGGACTCGTACGGCGCGGCGCCGAAGCGCGCGAATACCTGGGCGGACGACGTGTATGATCCGCCTAGCAGGACGGGGACGCAACGCAGCCAGACTAGGGCGGAGGACTACGAGTATCAGGACACGCCGTTCCGGGCGCCGTCGGGGAGGGTTGGGCCCGGAAGGCCGGCGGCGCCGAAGCCGGCGTTTGCGGGGAAGGCGGGGGGGTTGCAGAAGGATCAGGCGGTGGCGCTGTTTACGTTTGATGCGGATCAGCCGGGGGATTTGGGGTTTAAGAAGGGGGATGTTATTACGGTGACGAAGAAGACGGAGAAGGCGGAGGATTGGTGGTATGTTTGACCTTTTTTTTTTTCCGTCGCTACCTATCCAAAGGGGGGGAGTCCTTAACTAACATTTTCTCCGCAGGACCGGAACTCTAAACGGCAAATCGGGTATCTTCCCTAGCAACTACGTGGAGATGAAGAAGTAGACAGACAAGAGAAGAGCTCACAGGCAACAAACACAAAGCAAACGGTCGTTTATTTAGAAAGACACGGTTCGGGCACATTTATTTGAATCGCTGGTTTTCAGGGGCCTTTTTCCGTTTCTTCTTCTTCTCGCTCACAGGTTGGTGTCCGCGGACGTATGTGCGTGATATCCAGTTGAGCCTCTTGCATAGATGCGGGGGGGGGTTCTGGAGGTAGGGTATATACTACTTGGTTCTTTTTTTAAACAGAGTTTGGCTTTTGTTGAGGTTGAGATGTGCGGATTAGGAGTGATTCCCCGTCATAGCGATGGTGTAGCGTTTTATTCTGAAACATACTTTTGACGTTGGGATATATGTCTGCCGCTACAAACCCATTGTGCCAGCTCATTGTGACCACTCACAGTACAGCCATAGGCTAGACGAAGGAGAACCAGAGACACGCTGGTATCCCAAGAAAAGGGGTTGGTTAGTTAGCATGCTCAAACCTAGTCCTGTGTTAGCCGGGCTGCCATCTGCCAAATTACTTAAGCAACCTCACTTAACGGCTGTAGATTATGGTATCTTGCGGGATGGTACCATGGCAGCTGTGGCGGCATGGGGTCGCTGGATTTCGCGACAGTATTCGTCGCGAGATCAGGTGGCTAGGCTGCCGTCGCGTAACCCCGCGTCTTGAGGTAAGACGGTTTTGACGATTTTGGATTAGATTTGTGATGATTGGAGGATGTTTTGTGGTTATAATCTGGTTGATTTCTCACCGTAGATGCCTGGGGAATTCATTCTGACGTCGTCCAGTGAAGTGTTTGAAGTATCAAAGATACATGGGCTGGAGCGTATAAGCCGGAATGCGAGATATCTGGAATGAATATAAATATCAAGGGAAATCTCATCAATGAATCCTCCTTTCCTCATCATCTTCACCTCCTCATTCTAACTTGAGGACCAATTCAACAACGACAATATCAGCAACAGACCTGTCTTCAATCCCCTTTCAAAATGTTCAAAGTAAGCTATCCCCAACCCACATCTTTCCCCCCCAATCTAACATCCTGTACAGGAAGCAACACACAAAGAATGGGTAGAAGCCCGCAAAGCCCTCCTTGAAAAGGAGAAGGCCCTTACTAAAGCCAGCGACGAGCTCGCCTCCCTCCGCCGCCAGCTTCCCCACGTCAAAGTCGAAAAATACACCTTTGAAGGTCCCAATGGCAAGCTCAATTTATTAGACCTCTTCCAAGGCCGCAAACAACTCATAATCTACCACTTCATGTTCTCCCCCACCTCCACCACCGGCTGTGTCGGCTGCTCCTTCTTCGCCGACAACATCCCCGCCTACCTCCAGCACCTTCACTCCCGCAACGCAACCCTCGTTCTCGTTTCCCGCGCCCCCTACGACGTGATTGCCCGCTTCAAGGAGCCGATGGGTTGGACGATGCCCTGGTACTCATCGTTCGAGTGGGATTTCAACTACGATTTCCAAGCCACGAATGATTCAGCCGTGGCGCCCATGATGGCGAACTGGGAGAGTGCGGAGGCGCTCAGAGAGAGGGGGAAGGGGGGGCATATTGAGGGGAAGCAGAGCGGGGTTAGTGTGTTTATTGTTGGGCCGGGGGGAGGGGTTTATCATACGTATTCGACGTTTGCGAGGGGGGTGGATGGGTTTTTGGGGACGAATCATCTTTTGGATGTTACGCCGCTTGGGAGGCAGGATTGGGAGTTTTGGAAGTATCATGATGAGTATGAGGATGATTAGAGGCACGCATATGTCTCATGGGGACTACTACGAAAATTTGGACTGGGGGTGATATGCTGAGTCCTAGCTTGATTGGCACGGGGGTGTGCTGTTTAGTATGGGTTAATTTATTCCGTTAATTTGAAATGTTATCCGCGTAGAATTGCTTTTTCCATGCTAAAATCATCGGCTACTCGATAAGTACCTTAATGAGAACCCCCTTTCAAGAATGAAAGGGGGTCCACTAAAACTTTACAAGATCCAACGTGCAGCAGCCCTTCAACCCTTTAGTACGTGTCATATCACATTGGTTCAGAGGGTGGTTTGCCTTTTGATCGCCAAAAAATCCATATATATTAAATATCCTAAATATCTCATCACAAATATATACATAACTCTACGCGCACTTGCCGCTGACGCAGGCCCAAGGATCAGAGCAGTCATCGTTCGTCTTGCAGCTAGTTCCCTTGCAGTGTCCCGCCCAGGCGCAGGTCGGAACTGGAGCTGGAGCTGGGCCGCTGTTGTCAGTGTCGCACTTGCCGCTGACGCATGCCCAAGGATCAGAGCAGTCATCGTTCGTCTTGCAGCTAGCTCCCTTGCAGTGTCCCGCCCAGGCGCAGGTCGGAACTGGAGATGGAGCTGGGCCGCTGTTGTCAGTGTCGCACTTGCCGCTGACGCATGCCCAAGGATCAGAGCAGTCATCGTTCGTCTTGCAGCTAGCTCCCTTGCAGTGTCCCGCCCAGGCGCAGGTCGGAACTGGGACGCTGCCGCCAGTAGTGGTTGGCGATGGTCCGGGACCGGGACCGCCGCCGCCTCCAATACGCTGGATGAGCTTGTTGCCCTGAGCAGTCAAGCTGTCCTGAAAGGCCTTGGCGGTTGAGGCCTTCCAGTTGGCACCCTTGGCACCAGGGACGGCATCAGAGCCGGGGAAGGCAATGTAGAGGACATCCAGCTCGCTGTGTCCGTTATCGCCATCGACTTTGTCCTTGCCGAAGCAGAGGGTGGCAATAGCGAGGGAAGCCTCGCCAACCATAGGTGGTCCATCATCGCCATTCTGGTCAGCCCAGACTCCGTAGAACAGCTGGTTGTTGCAGACAACGGCGACGATGCTGAGAGGCTCGATTCCGTAATCGGTTGGGTGAAAAGTGGTGTACCCAGGTTTCCCTTGGTCGGCATAGTTTCCGAGAACAACGTAAGAGTGGATATAAGAGTCGACATCTTTAATTCCGACGTTGTATCTAGCAATCTGCTCAATATATGAAGACTGGGGCTGGGTGTCTTGCGAAGCCTCGCATCTGCCATCGCTGTATGGGCTCTTGATGATGCCGTCACAGTCAATATCCATATCGGCGAGCTGGCCATTCTTTCCCTGAATGTAGAGGACGTTGTAATCGGCCATGTGGTCGCCACAGTAGCTGAAGTCTTGGGGTTGTTAGCTACGAACAATAATTCAAGGCGAACGCCCTACCCTTCGCGCCACCGTCAAGAGCATAGAACCCTGACTTGAGAGCCTTGCTGCAAGATCCCTTGCTCTTGATGCCATCGTAGAAGGTCTTGACGTTGGCGGGGATGGAGCCAGCGTAAGAGCTTCCGGCAAGGAGGCCAGTGACGAGGGCGGCGTTTGTGAGAAGCATTTTGATAATTATACTGAATAATATGAATCAATTGAAGGGTCTGATGGGATGCTTCTCAACTGAAGGAAACGCCCCCATATTTATAGTTGAAGCATTGCAGTGAGGAGGGGATCTCCATGAGCAGGGGTGCTGCGGCCCGAGGATGATCTTTGGGATATAGAGTTGGCCAAACGACGGTTTAGAGAGCTTGTGTCCGTCCACATTTGGATAAAGTTTGACCTCGCAAATACCTCCATAGCCAATGCCAGTCCTGCAGCACGTGTCCAGCACGTGTTGATTGATGGACTAATGAAGCCGAGCGTGTCTGTTCTGTTAAGTGGTAGCTTTGGGGTCAACACCATCTACAGCAAGTTAGTTTGCTGCAAGGTCTGGGGTCGACGCTGTTTCAACGTCCCGCTCCTCGGGGTTCATATCTCCGGCATCGGGTCGGTCGGCCATCACAGCGACGGCCTGATCAATATTCCCATGTGAACTCCTTAATGCAGGTAACTCTAAGAGAACAAGTTAGTTATAGGTTAGTGGAGTTGATCCGCTCTCCTAACGCCACTGCATAACGTAGCTTTTCCCGTTGAGCTTAAGCATTGTGACGGGGCAGGCCTCAGCATTATCCAGGGGAGTCGACCAATCGCCAAACATGCTTTAGTTTCCCGGCCCGAAACATATCCCATTGTCCCTGATCTCCGTCTCTTAAAAAAGCATACCTTAAGTGGCAGGGCCACCTTGAAGGCTGCAAGCGAACTCAAAGCCACTATAATTTCATTTTGAGCGGGGTCCCGCAGTGGCGTGGGCTTAGCTTGTCCCTTCATCTTGATGGGGACCCTTTATTGGCGTGAACATCACCCGTTGTCGCCGACTGCAGTGCTTTAAATCGGTTAGCTTCAGTAGTATGGCACCCTGCAGGTGGTGAAGATGATGTTCAAGGGAATTCGGCGATTTAGAAATATCGCCGTATCGGTGATCCAGACACTAGTTCCCCGTCTCGGTAAACATTGCCGTTTGGGCATGAACTCAACTCCAGCATCCTAATTCCCGCAATGTGTCTCCATCGGAAGGATTCCTACGGAATTTCACGCGAGGTGGAACTGACGGCACTCATGAGGGGCTCGCAGCTCACCGTCCTCTCCTTTTTGCCAATGGCAACTTTCGTCGGGAACGGCCGCGGCGATGCGGCTTACCGAGTCCAAGACCCTATTCCGAAAACCTTAATGCGTCCCCCTCAATAAAAGTCCAAATGAATCGCTGCATCCGCCTGTCGGGCTGGCCTGTTTTGATCATCTGTGATATATTTTGACTGGGCCAACTCAAGACTTAGAGTTCTTTGGACCCTTCGCTTGCTCTGGTATAGGAGAAGTCGTGAACCTCGCGTATTGAGGACAATTCCTGATTACCGGGCGCGTGCAACGGCGCCGTTCTTGGTCTCTTAGGTCGTCTGCCATGCCACCACAGCCCCTTTTCACTCCTAGACCAAGCCATCACTTACTAAACCTCAGCAGGCACCAAGTGTGCTTCCACTGAAAAATAGACAATGTCCAACTACTGTAAATGTGGAATTGGGACATGATGTAGGGAATTTGTTGATGGTGGACTCTGACAGTGGATGAATAGAGAGAATATTGAGAGGAAATGATCTATAATACCATTGAGTTGAGAGTAACGTACAAGGGTAACTTTACTAATTGTGTTGAAAGATGAAAGCTGTAATATAAATATTATTTCAAAAAAAAAAAAAAAAAAAAAAAAAAAAATCCCAAGCTCTTTTATATTGTGGGATCAATTTGCCAATAACTGCATTTTAGGCAGCGACAATGGGCATGCCAAGGAGCTTCATTGATTACTTAAAATAAGATTAAGGACAGAGCAATAGTGCCCAATTGGATATTTATTCCCCTCATAGCAAACATAAACATTCCATCTTAGACATACTTTCTACGGACCATTGCCGTATTTATGAGAACACAACGTCGGCCAACACAAAATGCGACCCCGCCGTCGTAGGTTGTGGCAGCAAAACTCTCCAATAGCACCATACAGCGGCAGCAGCGACGATGACTCACCAGGTGATCTCAGCGACGCCGATGAGTCCAATTACTCTGATGGATCGGTTGGATCCAACTTCATGCCCGAATCCTTGATATCACAGCAATATACAAATGTCACCGATATCCCTTCTCCAGTCGAGGAAGACATTATTATCGAGCCCGTAGATAGCCCACATCAGGAGGGCAACATTATCGAGTCCATAGAAAGCCCCGAGCCATCCGCTAGAGAAGTCCTACCAGAAGAATCAATTTTACCTTCTCATTCAATAACCTCAGGACCCCAAACAGACCACATCATGGCCGACACCGCCCTCCCACCAAACGCCGAACCATCATCCGACGCTTCCTCACGCACACTAGGCCGTGAAACCCCCTCCTCAAACCCAGGCACCTCTTCCGACCCCCCCTCCTCGGACGATGAAGTCACAGACCGGTGCTACGGCTTCCTACTCCTTCATTACCCCAAGACTCTTCCCGCAGCTCTAGACACCATCTCCGTCCTCCTCATCTACCAACGGCGGCCGCACGGGTTGCATCCTTACTGGGGCTTCCCCAAAGGCCATCCCGAGCCCGAAGACCGGAGTGATTGGGAATCAGCCTCACGTGAACTTCTTGAGGAGACGGGGTTGAGCCCCGAACGCGTGAAGCCGATTACGCCGTCTGAATTTTCCCCGCCTTTGCCGGATTCGGTGGCGGGGTTGAGGCCGGAATTCATGAGTGTTATCTCGCAGTACCCTAGTTTTGATGGTGGGATTAAGGAAGTAACATACTTCTTGGCTCGGGTGGCGGAAATGGAGAAATTGACTGAGCAGGTGGAGGAGCTGGTGGAGTGTCGGTGGGTGAAGTTGAGTGAGGCGCGGGAGTTGGTTAATATTAAGCCGGTGCGGAGAGTACTGGAGAAGCTGATAGGACTAGTTTCTTCGGGTCCAAAGGAGGTGATATCCAGGAGTGACTGGATTCGTTGGAAGGAAGTTGATGCGTTGGATGATAATGGGATGCCGAGACAATGGCGCACGGTGGGGTTTTGTACTCCAGAGTAGTTTTTTTAATCAGCAAGAAGGAAATGTTATCACTTCAACTGCCTGATGTTGTATTTAAAGCTTCACATTATTGAGGTAGGGCCAGCCAAGGCATATAGCTACCGTATATAAATCTTCGGTGCTCACAGGGGCGGGCTTTTTTGAGAAAGAATGTTGCAGTATATTCTACTGGTCGAAGGGGAATCAAAGATGTAATAGACAGAAGCACAATGATGCGAGAATTGGTGGTGTGGCGAAATAGAAATCTCTCTAATTATCAGCTGTAAAATATAAAGCTCTATCCTAGCTCTAGTATGTAGCTAATCTGCTATCTAATATCAATTTTCCAATGCCCCAGGGTATAAGAACAATATCCAGCCAAGCAAGTAGCCCAAGTGAATCTATCCCCAGCAACCGTAAGCACCCATAACAATTAAACCCCCAATGAATAGCATATGACCATAGCTGCGCGCCCCTTCTCTCAACCTCGCCGTCAAAATCATAACAATCCTCCGTCCAATCCATCCCGCATCACACTAAGTCTTGAAGCCAATTTTCTTCCACACCTCATTCACATGCTTGCACATTTCTATAAATGCTGGATCGTCAATCTGCTCGCATATCCAGCTTTCAGTCATGGATTGACGCTCTCCCTCCGTTGCCTTGTCCCAGAATGATACTTCATAGAGCTCAACAGGCTTGATTTTACCGCTGTGTTTCGGGACGAAACGACCAAGTTCATCCAGAAAACCTTCTATAGGCCCTTTAGCCTCAGAAACGACCTCGGGGGGTGGCGGGGTCGGGGCCGGGTCAGGTACCGGGACCGCTGGGTTTGGAACAGGAACTGTAACTGGAGCTGGCAAAACTGGCTCCGGAACTGTAACTGGAGCTGGCAAAACTGGCCCCGGTACTATGGTTGAGGTTCTGGAAACTGCAGCTGTGTGGTCACGCCCAGATAATGTTTGTGTCTGTGTGCTAGAGTCAACCATCTTGAGCCTTTTAGCTAACGCCCATTTTGGAGCTTCCTCGTTGGGTCGCTTGCGACAGGTCATTGCCTTCAACTTCAAACCAGGGGCTGTGGACGGCCTCGCGATAGCAGCACTTTTTGAGGCAAGGGGAGACGGCTCTTCCTCCCACAACACCGAATTGCGAGGTGAATTTGTTGGCCTTGTCTCATCTGAGTCAGGGACCTCCAGAACCGTTGATAACTTCGAAGTTGGAGGTGTGTTTGTTCTTCGCACTGTCGCTCGTTTGGCTTGTTGTTCTCCATACTTGCTTGGGAGTGTCCGTGCGTTTGCCAGGCTCTCAGAGGCTCCGATGCCTTTAGAGGGAGGTATTGGACCATCTTCAGTGCCTTTATTAAGTTTTTCAGCAGTTTCCAAAGCATTCTTTGGCTCCTTGCGCTTTGGGAATGGAAGTTCACGTTTTGGGGGTATCCATTGGCTTGTATGAAGGTCGTCGCCTACCGTTGGGACTGACATTGGTCTGGTAGTACTGAAAGACAATGGACTTTGTCGCTTCAGCTGCAGATGCTCATTGTTATAACCCATGCTTTGACTTGGTTCAAATTGTGTTGTTGCTGACCTCCTCATCTTCGAGACATTCAGTGTTGGTTGAGTTGTTAGCGACTCTGTGGAGCCTCGCAGTAGTTGTCTAATATCGGGTAGCTCTGGGCTCTTTTCCAATGCATCATATCCTGTCCTTGGGGCTTCATCGGATGACAGGGGAATACTAGATTCCCCTATATAGGCTTGTTTCTTCCGTGATTCGACCATATCGGAGGGCGGTTTGGTGCATGGAAGCGATGACAAGGTTGCTCTTTGCTAGTGTATGGAGTCAGAGTTGCTTCTTCGCAAGTTGACAATATATTTTCAATCATTAGCTTACCTGCGTTTCTATTTGGGAAGCATAGATAGGTGGGCTAGATCTCATAAATGATGTTGATGAAAATGGCCTTGGAGGCGGTGGTTGGAAACAGAAGTCATCGGATGCTACGCCGTATTTGTATAAAGTCCCCAGGGAGCTGCTCGATCTTGGGCCGCCCAGATCAGCAGAAAACGTGCTGGACGGTCTCATTGATAGAGAGCTTGAGGTGTCGGATCTGGGAGGTATTGATGAGCTATTCGTGAACTGTGTAAATCTTCGAGAACTCTCGGAGCTGGGTACAGCAAACTGTGGCTTTTGATGATTATCGGGGTGGCCAGCTAAGGGCGGTTGTGTTGAGGTTGGTGCCAGGCTTCGATTGTATGCCACATTGCGATCCTGAGATGGGGTATCTTGCTTGGGTTCATTTGTGGACTCCTTTATTTGAAGCCCTGCCCGCTTCAGAATGTTCAATGCCTCGAAATATTGCTTGTCATCTTTGAACCTAAGCTGAAAGCGATGAACCTAGGTATATTTAGCGACCAGTATTTTCAGGATTTATTCCGTTCCTACAACGAAAACAGAGGTCCTCCATAGAAAATTACTCTTGTAAATATGGGAGCATTGTCGAGTACATACCATTGAAGGGGCGCCAGGGAACCGCATCGCAACACAGGGAAACCTCACAATAACTTGAACTGGAGATTCCACGCCGCTGCCAATTAACACTCTGCGAACACGTTCATTATGTTCTTGAGACCACTTGACAAGTTTCTGGACATCCAGGTGCTCCTGTCGGCGATAGTGTTAGAGATGCCGGACGACAGACATAAAGGAGGTAAAACAAAGCATCGATTCCAATCTCTCAGGAAGACAATGACGAGAGACTTACCAATGTGTCTCTTCCAGCAGTCACGGCTAGAAACAGGTGTGTCTCAATTCTACCTCCATCAATTGGTATATCCACCGGTTTGAAGGTAAGTGTTAACAAGTCTTTTCGAACATCATGAACCCAGCGGTGGCTTTTCGACCCTTCACGGCTCACAGCACTGGAGTACTTGTCCAACGGAATGGTCTTTGAGGCAGGATGGGATGTCCCGGGGAACACTCGCAACTGGGAAGATTCCATCCCATGGAAGAGGGATATCAACGGACAGAGAAACTTGATTCTTTAATATGAAATTGGAAACTTAATTAGTACTGTCTGGAGCATATGATGAGTATCCTCAGACGTAAGAAAACAGAAAACAATGTTTACCAGTGAAATTAAGATTTGGAAGTTATACTCAGCTGTTGGGGGAGGGGGTAGGAAGGGATGGGGTTGGATCAAAATATTGGAAGCAGTTGAGGATAAAGCATCACGTGACAACATAACTCTCTCTGACTTTGCGAATAAGATAATATATCACTCGAGATATAAATGCTCGCCCTTTGTACTCGCCTATAAATACAACCGTACCATTTTAGAATACAACCGTACCATTTTAGAATACAACCGTACCATTTTAGATATCATTACAATCGTGACCTGGTATAACGCCTGGTATTTCCTTATCCTGATAATAACGCTAGAATTCTATCAAAGGCTCTTCAACAGCCGGAGCCTTGGGTTGGGGGACATGCTGAGGAGCTGAGGGAAATGCTGACTGGGTGTACCTCGAGGCAGCCGGAGGTGGTTGCTGCCATGCCTGCGGTGGCGCAGTATTCTGCTGCTGACTTTGCCAATAGGGTTGTTGATATGGGGTCTGTGAAGGTTGTATTTGTTGTGCCTGTGGTGCTTGCTGAGATTGTGGTGGAACAGAAGAGTATTGCGTTTGGTTGGGATCAGATGGCCCCCGTTGAGGACTTGTATACACATTTGGGTCTGGAATTGCATGCTGATGTTGTGGGCTTGCGTAATAGCTCTGGCTTGGGTCTGATGGCCCTTGAGCCGCCTGCGGCTGCAATGGAGCCTCGTTGGGTTGGCCTGCCTGCTGGGAGCCGTAGTAGAATGCCGCATTTGGATCAGTTGGAGGGCTTATCGTTGGCTCAGAAGGCTTAAGGTCAGGAGGCGCCTGGCCGGGAGTGAAACCGGGAGCCCCACTTTGTTGTTGCTGGGTATATGGTCCTGCCGCAGGGTTCGCTCCTTGCCAACTGCCTGTCCTTTGAGGCTGCGCTTGCTGAGGATAGCTTTCGCGCTGCTGCTCAAGGCCTGGATACTTCCCGGGAGTGGCCGTGTGCATTTTATCATATCCGCCGTATTGCTGAGGTGGCCCTCCGCCATATGGTGTTGTGGTCTGTGGTGGTGCCTGACCAGTGTAGAAGCTCTCCGCCCCCCCGGGACCTTCCGGCAAATTAGATGGGATCGAAGGATAAACATTGTGCTGCTGCTGGGGCGGCATATTATATCCTCCGAGGGAGTGTTGACTATAGGTGTTGGATAGGCGGTCTTCAAGCATTCGATCGTAGTAGCGAACAACGGTGGAGAGCTTGGCGTGAAGATCCAATAACGTGTCTAAAAAGTAGTTAGTTATGTGATCTCGTTATAAGTAGTAGATGCTGCTCACCATGCTTGCTCATCGTCTCCCCATACGTTCTCGCTAGTTTCGGGCGAAGACTGCCTATGCTGTCATACAGTTCCTGGATTTGTGGTTCCCTAAGGATGGTACCTGGCGGCTGAGTTTGTAACCTATCAACCAGCGTAGAAAATAGATTGATATTCTCAGCTTCAACCGGGGTTAACTCATAATCGTTCTTTTGCAACTTAAAGGGGGTAGATGATGTTTTGTTGGACGAGGAAGACTGTTCCTTCAAGGTTGCAGCATGTTGGCGCTTTTGCTCCTCCATGTCTGCCAAAGATGCAGCAATAGCAGCTTTGAGGTCATCATCCTCTTCTTCTGCCGGCTTTGTAGGGCTTGCGGTCGGCTTTCCGCCATTTACCTGCTCTTGCTGCCCTGAACTTTGTTGTAATTTTGCCTGGGGTACGTAACCTCCGTTTGCCTGACCGTTGACTTCGTCAAGACTCATGGCCAGTGCTCGTTTCAGATCCTCATCGAAACCATCATCTACCCTGGCATTTCTCGGCTGCATCGGCTGCAACGGCGAGATCCTTGACTTGTAAGGCGCCGGGGGCGAGATGGCAAACGAACCCCCCTTCGATGACTTATCCGTCAACTTAAAGTAGCAGCCATCGTCAACTCGTACCGACTGTAGTATACCGAGATGAGGTAGAGGAATCGTTTTCGATGAACATTGTTGGTCGAAGACGTTACCGCAATTGCGGCAATGGTGCTTGCGATTCGTAAAGCTGAATGCAGTTCGGCAACGCATACAGACTTCTGAGTCGGTCCACTCCGGAGGCTATGAACAATAGTTAGCTTGCGCCCAAGAGCTAAACTATGAGGGTGTACTCACAGCACTACTGTCAAGCATGCTGCTAGCAACGTCCACCTTGGGTGGGAACTTATATCCCTCACGCTGCAGTGTCCTGTAAACCTCTCCAATATACGATAGTTCGTGACGGCCTTCTGTAGCCGTAGCCCAGGTCTGTATTAATTCCAAGATCTTGTTCTTGACTTCGTCATTCACTGCCGCAGGTCCGTAGGCTTTAAGCAGTGAGACCAGGTTGTCCATGAACTCGCGCGATGCGATTTCTGCCAGGAAATGAGAACCGCCATTTTTCACACAAGTATCGGTAAGCTAGATGGACACGTCAGCTCCATATTCCGCTGGCGGGGTAATCCGAGGCATACATTAAGTGCGCCTAGCTGGAAGTTGGGATTCTTGTTGCCTATTCTGCGCTTCAGAGAACGCATGGCCTCCTTCGGCTGCACAGTTTTCGACCGGATGACATCGGATATCTCGAGATTCAGGGACATATCCTCTCTAACTCGTATTAGTTATGCAAATCGTTTGAGCAGAGGTGGCTTTCTTACAAGCTCGAGGATGTTGCCCGCTCGATCTGCTCATCTAGCGCCGTGTTGGAGGCAAACCACCCGGACATCATGTTGGGCGGCGGGAGTCGAGGGACTCGGTCAAGATAAACTTTCGCCTTCTTATTTAGTCTAGTGCAATACGCAAGCGATTCAGATAACTGTGCCCTGAGTTGACAATGAAAGATGGTGAATGTGTTGTAATAGCTCGAGCTTGGAAGCCATCATGGTCCGTCATGAACATATACGTACCACTGAGCCTCGCTTGGTCTGCGAGGACGACCGCCACAGCCTTGTGGGGTTCGCCTGCATCGTACCTATTACCGTTTCAAGAACGTCAGCCTTGCCATCTTCACCGCCAGACTCGCATCAATGCTTGATCAGCCAATCTACACCTGATGACTCCATGGCCGAGGAGGCACTTCTCGACAAGATTTCAAACTTGAGCGATTTGGAACTTGCAGCACTCCTATGTCTCACAAATGAAGAGCACTGCATCGTTGACACAGACCCCGATTCTGTCCAAGATCTGGTCCATGAGTTACGGCTTGTGAGCTTCTACCCTTGCGGTGCCATTTCCGTCACTAACATACTCATAGATTGCCTCTAATGTCTTTGGGCTTTCCCACGCGGTGGTAGACTGCTCCGAGCAGACAACCCTGGAAGACTTCGATAACGCCCTCTACACAGACCTCCCTGTTTCCCCACGTGAGGACTCTCCAGCCCGCTACCGCCATGACTCCCACCTCCAGCCATCCCCTGGCTTCCGTTCTCTCTCTCGCTCCTCTCCACGCTCGGAATCTTTCGCAGATTCCCGCAATATAGCATCCGTCATCATCGCCAGGGACCTCGATGAAGCGCCCAAGCAGGTCCAGATCCAAGCTCTGGAGCTGATACGCACAAAACGCATATTCACGCATACATCAGTCCAAAACGCCCCAAAACGCTTCTTGTTCATCGCTGTGATAGCTGGCGGCGAAGGACCTCGCCTGTCTGAACATCTCAATAATTACATGTTCATATCTCACTTCCATAGCCACGAGGACGGGTATCCCAACATAGACGACCAGGAGAGTGACGCCGAATCGATATCCTCCGTTGTGAGGAAGAGCGATGGCCATATAGAGCCCTCTCTGAACCCGGTGTTTACGGCAACTGATATTGTTGCACTACAACGGTTAGGCGACGACGTCTTTATGAGTATCGAAGTAACTGGCTACATCATCAACATCATTTCATTTCTGCGTCTACACCGCGCGGTGTCTAGAGGGATTTCGCCATTGGCAACTAGTCACTTTACAAAATTGGCAAAATTACTGGCGCCACTGCATGGCCTACGCTATGTTACGCCTTCGCTGGTAACACTGGCGGCGAAGAAGATATATCTACATCGTATCTGTATCACTCCGCCTGAACGGGAAAGAAGTGTTCAGTGGGGCAGCAATATCGATGCAGTGGCTGCGGTTTTGGAAGGAATGGGCCCCGATGCAGTCATTGACGATGTTATAGGATCTGTCGAAGTTCCTCTATGACAGAAAATCGTGTTTACAGTACGTGCGATGGTCAAAAGCAAAGGACTGGTGTAGGCTTCGTTGAAGGAAACTTCTATTTATAAAATACGAGGCTACGAGACAGCCATCGTATATATCCCAATATTAATACAGCTGAAGGTTATTACAAAAGCCACGGACGCCTAAGATGCATTCTCGTAACTAGTCGTTTAGTGTGACACCTCATTAACTTTGCATTTCCAGCCAGAGTTATGCGCGAGCAAAGGAAGACTATACGAGAGTTAGTATTTACTGTAGTGGAGTATTATAAATATGGAATTCTTACCTGGCTCCCAAGCACCATCCCAACTCAAAGTCTCGGATCTTCTTCACAATCTTCACCTCTCTATCAATTGGCATCTCATATCCAGTATGTAACAATGCCATCATGAAATTCAAATCCAAGCACCACTCTGGGCGCCCCTTTAGCTCCTTTACAGCGCCTGGGATGCTTGCGAATGTATTAAACGCTGGCTCTCCCTGGCAAACTTGATCAGCGAGATCGTGCATCTCTCTCAATGTGAACGACTCTGGCATTCCAAGCGGTGCCGTACGGTCGTAGAAGTAAGAGAAAATGAATACATCCTCCTTCGTAAAAGTTTTTTCAAGTGATGGTTGATGGATACCGTTGAATGAACATGGTGCAAGCGGGCACTCAGAGCCCTTTTTAAGGGTCTTCTCCGCCAACCCGCGGCATTGAGCAGGGGCGGGTGACGAAGGGCCCGTCATGTTAACAATAAGAAGCGGGCCAAGGACATGACCTTTGTCCATCTCTATTTTGACCTCTTTCGTCATATTAGGAGCAATGCAAGGATTGACAATTGGCTTTTTAAGCCAAGCCTTGTCGTCTGGATTCGCCGCGAGTAGACCACTGATAACAAGTTTATGAATGGAGTTGCGGGATTCCATAAGCCCGTAGCCCATGTGGGACTGCTGGTAGAGTTCGAAGTGTCGTCCACCGAAGTCAAGATCGTACTTGTGGGTACCCGGTGCCATTTTCTCGGGAACACCACCAGCTCCGCTCTTAAACGTTGGCTCAAAGACAATTTGGGTAGATCCGCCTCCAAGATCAAAGGTTGCCGCTGTTGGGATCTGATCTGGGCCCCCGATCTTGTCAAGGAGATAGTTGGTTGTGATCCAGGCAAAGACACCCTCGTCCGTACCTTCCATGACCTCTACGCCACCCTCCTTAGTCGAAACAACTGGGAACGGATACTTGGTCTCGAGTCGAGTACGAACAGCAGCAAGAATCTTATCACTCTTCACGTCTCCCAGTTTTCGGAGTCCGGCAGTAGCCTTCACCGCGACAGGGCTACAAGACCTCAAGTTTTCTGGCACATATTCCATGGCAACATCCATGAGCATATCCAAACTCTTCGCAGCACCTTCTGCGTCGTCGTCGTATGAGCTAAGCCCTGACGACCCCCCCACGACCTTGGGCGTCATTTTAAACGCCTCGTCTTCTAGGTAAGGCGTCGGGCCACAGTTGTTGAAGCGGTATACATGAATACGTGACCCAGTGCTCCCTGCGTCGATCATGAGAACATATTGCTTGAGAGGTTTTGACGGATCGCTAGATTTCGTGCATGTCGTTGAACCTGCGCCGCTCACTATGTAAATCGTGTTAGATCCGCCTTATATCAGATAAAGGCGCAAACAGGGCATGGAACATACCTTCAGCGTTAGATACGCCATTTGAGCTTGATGATACGGCATTTGAACCGCTTCCAACATGGACACCCTTAGGCGCAAGATAGTAGAAGAGGAAGACGATGAAGAGGAGGATGCCCCCCGTCTTCAAGTACCTCGAGCGCTGACTTTGCGTCATCCAGGCGGTTTTGACACTGTCAATTTTTGTTTTGAGGGTCGATGCCCCTGGGGGGGTTCCGTATCGAGCCAGCTTTTCGTGTGGATCACGTTGGCTATTTCTGGTCGGGAGCGAAACAGAAATGCGTCTCATGGAGAAGATTAAGCAACTCTTTTCTTGTCGAAAGGAGAGCAACACATGTGTTCTCCTTTTTTGGCTCAGAGGGGTATTTGGAGAAGGCGACGGGGTGGTCAATTAAGTCCAATTAAGTCTGGGCAACCCCTGTCCAAGAAGGGAGATTTCGAACTTGGCTGTCGACTTCACATACAGTAAAGCCCAAACCAGCGAGAGCTGCAGATTAGGTAAAAGGTATTGCCACAGTACGGAGTACGCCACACTACCACACCGCGATAGGAGCCCCCCACAATAGTGCACCGCCACAATCGGCGATAAGAACCGGGTGGGCATACATGTGACTTTCCTTCTCTATAGCCGATTTCTAAGAAACGCGTATTGGCGTTTGCCTCCAGATATCTCTCTTTTATATATCTCCGTCTTACCTAGAAACCCAATATATTTCGTTCGTTAAAATTACAGTTTCTACATCCGCATTCTCCGAAGTTTCCTCGTTCAAATAGACCCTGGAGCATGTTTTAGACAATGCGTTCCCTCTTCCTACATCGTCCCCCAGTTTGGAACAACACGCACCATGGAAGTCTCCCTTTATATGTATGACCTCTCTCGAGGTCTTGTGCGGATGATGTCTGCGAGCCTGATCGGCGTCCAGCTCGATGCAATGTACCACACGTCTATTGTGTTGGAAGGCGTGGAATATGTGCGTTGTGCTCCCCACTGCTCGTTCAACATCTTCCTTATTAACACATCTAGGTCTACGATGGCGGGCTAAAACAGGTCAAACCAGGCTCGACCCATCTGGGCCAGCCTTTGAGGAAGATGGTATTGGGGAAAACCGAGCTTCCTATGGAGGTTATCCAAGATTATTTCGAATCGCTACGGCCAATTTACACATTCGAGGTGAGCCCTGGTTGTCTCACCAGTTCTCAAAAGATATAATCAAGACTGATGCCAGCTCAGGCGTATGACCTTTGGCGACACAACTGCAATAACTTCACAAATGATTTTGCAACCTTTCTGGTCGGAAGAGGCATACCAAGCCACATCACCGACATGCCCCAGACAGTACTCAACAGCCCCATGGGACGGCTGCTGCAACCAGCGATCGATGATGCAATTAGAAACAGCCAAAATCGACAACGAACAGGAGGGCTGCTAGGCATCGAAGATGATACCGCTATCATGGCAAGAAACCTAAATTCCCGCCAGTGTGCAGAAGCAGTCAGAACGCCTGCCAGTCTCAAAGAACTGAACGACCTGCTCGCTTCTGCGCATGAGTCCTGTGCAGTCGTGTTCTTCACATCCGCGACTTGTTCACCATGCCGAACTCTTTATCCGGTTTATGAGGAGCTTGCAGCAGAGCTATCTCATAAATGCGTGTTTATTAAAATTGACATTAGCAAGGCTATGGGCGCGCAGCAGACATTCTCAGTAAATGCCACTCCAACCTTTATCACGTTCCTAGGCGGCAAAGAGGAGCGTCGCTGGTCTGGCGCGGATGTCAATGCGCTGCGAGGTAATGTTAAGCTGTTGACGGTAATGGCCTGGCCAGCACACCCGCACGAGTCTCTCAAGCTCCCACAATTACGAGGGGCCTCGGTGAAGCCAATCGTCTTCAAACGTATCCCACCGCTGGATAAATTGTTAGCAAAGATAGGCGACGCAGGTCGATTGCCAGCTGTGCAAGGAGTCAAATACTTCATAGCCACCAGCGAGGCAGAAGGTGCCGCGGCGTCGACGCTGCCTGACCTGGATGCGTTCAGTCACTTTCTACGGAAATCAATTACAACTGTGCCTGTTGAGAAAATGTTTGCTGTGCTGGACTTAGTCCGCATCGCCATCGCCGACCCTCGATTCAGCGGGTATTACGCCCAAGAAAAAGACCACAAGACCATTGCACCGCTACTAGAGTATGCCAACAAGGCCGAAGACCCTCCATATGCTCTGAGGCTCGTCGCGCTACAACTGACCTGCAATTTGTTTTCCTCCTCGTTGTACATTCACCACATTCTAAATTGTTCGGCTTTGAGGATACCAATCATCCAACTTACTGCCTCTTGTTTACTAGATGAAAAACATCAGAATATCCGCATAGCAGCTGCATCTGTGACATTGAACATTGCTACTGCGAACAGCCTGGTACGCAGAGAGGATCACCACGAGGCGTTGCCGGAAGATGACCAGGTTGAGCTGGCTGCATCATTATTAGAAGCTATCCGCACAGAGGAGGAATCGCATGAAGCATTGAATGGGTTCTTGTTAGCCATCGGGCAGCTAATATACTGCGCAAAGAAAGATGGGGAAGTGGTTGACCTGCTCAAGATTTTGGATGCCCAAGCCACGATACTGTCGAAGAAGGGATCATTCCCTGACGAGGGATTAATAACTGAGATTGGAAATGAGTTGCTTGGAAGTTATGATTCTGATTCTACGGAAGCACAGCACGTAATAGAGCAAGATACCCATACCTAGAACTTATCACAGACTTGGACCAACTTAGAATGAAACCTGTTGAAGCTACTATTGCTTCAAACTACAGTCCAATGATGCATATATAATCCTACGCAGTGACACCCTCCTACAGGATTTCACACCTCCCTTTATCCCCAGGATGCCATTTCCCAACACAGAACCCCATCCCCCCTCGACGCCAGCGCTATTCCAATGAAAAACATTCATACAGTCGTAAAAAAACCCCAAAAAACACTTCACCGGTTGATCCTCTCCATCAATGGCGGGAGAAACCTCGACTTGTCATCCACGATCTTGCGTCTGAACATGCCCAAATCCTTCAACAAGTCCTGCATATGATCCTGCATCTCCGTCGCCTTCTCATGATGATCGTCGTCCTCCTCCTCATCCTCATACACATGCTCCGCATGCCCTTCTTGCCCATCATCCACAAACTCCATATTCTCCTTATCCAATCCCCGATCCGTGCTGAACAGCGGTATGTTCTCACTAGATATACTCCTCCTCGCGCTCGGCACTTCCGGAATCGGATTCTTCAGCGTATCCAGCGCCAGCTTAAGGTGCAACCTAAGCGCCTCATTTTCCGTCTGCAACGTCTTGATCTTCCCATCAGCCACCATACTCCGCTCCTCCATCAGCCGCTGCAGCTTGCCAACCTGGTTCTGATACTCCTCCACCCGCTCCTCCGCCAGCTTCTCCGCACCGACGTCCTTCTTGCGCGTCTCGTTCATGCTGAGTTGATGTTCCAGCATGCGAATCTGCTCGGCCATATTCGCGATCTCGGCCTCGCGCTCCGCGGCCGAGACGTGGTCTTGGTTAACCTTTGCTCTGGTGCGGATGCGCTTCGCTTGGTCGGCGTACCGGAGCGTGCTGAGCGTCTCGTCGTAGTCGGCTGGGGCGATGCAGGCAATCATGGCCGTCTTGCTGTTTCCGCCGAGGCTGTCCTTCAGTAGCCAGGTGAGTATCGAGTCTCGGTAGGGGACGACGTCTTTATTCCTCTTGCTTGCGCCGTGTCTGCTGTTCTTGGGGTCGGCGAGGGCAGCGATAACGCGGCCGAGTGTAGTGAGAGATTTGTTGATATTGGATCCTTCACGGAGGCGCGTGCCAGTAGCCTCTGTTGCTTTCGCCCGTTCAGACCCGGCTAAATCGACAAGGCGAATTCTAGCCGTCCTCTCGGTCGTTTCATCCGTGTCCATGTCGTGGTGAATCTGCTTCAACATAATCGTAAAGACGGAATGGGAGCGAGATGATGTGTCGTTCATCTTTGTGCTTGCTGTAGTTCGGCTCAAGTCTCCCATCTTCATATAGCGCATGATTTCCGAGATTGACTTGACAGGAGCGTCTGTAAGGTCCTTGATATACGGTCCCTCTGTTGGAGATTCGCGGATTTTCAGGTAATGCGGAGGGTCTTGTCTGGGGACGAGAAGATCTCGGACGTGCTCGTTATAGACTTCGAAGTATGAGACTCGGACATTGTATGTGATGTTGGGCTCGTCCACAGCTTCGATGCGCTGGAACAAATCTTGACATGTCCGAGGGATAAGGCCTGGTTGTTCTTGGGTTCCCATCATGGTGTATGACTTTCCAGATCCTGTCTGCCCGTATGCAAAGATGCAGGTATGGTATCCTTCGAAGTTGTGATCTAGAAACTCCTCACCCAGGCTATTATAGACGTCTTCTTGGTGAGCATAATGCCCATCGGCTTTATCATGCGACCAGAATGAATTGTCAAATGTAAACTGTTTTTCTTCCATCACTTTGCGCATTTTCAGTCTCGAATTCGCCGGATCAGTATCGTTGGGGACAAGAAGCTTCGTTGCTTGAGACACAGGGTCCATGTTGACAAGGCATTCTGCTCCTCTCTCGATTTCTGCGGCGCATCAGTATAATGGCCGCGACTAATTTGCGGATAGCTTGCCTCTTGGTAAAAACCCTCGTACTCTCACCACCACGCGCACGTTTCCTCCGGGTTCCATTCTGCTGCCACTGGGCGTGACGCTTCCGTCCCTTGACCGGAGCGATGGTGTTGACGCGGAAGATCGAATAGAGCGCAGCTCAGCTGCCACGCCTGGCATTAACCTTGGATCCAGGGCCATGTCAATTAAGGAATGTTGCAAGTCCTGTAGCAACTCGACTTGTCGGCAGTTCCAGTTTGAGAACATGAATTTGAAGCTATTTGTTTACCGATGACGCCAATGCGCGTTGCTGGGGGGAGGAGATCCACTCCGATAACGATAAGGGCCGATCTGTGGCTGGCCAGAATGAAGGTAATAGAGCCGTCCCGACTTCGAGGCGATGTTTATGATAATTGCTGAATATTCCTTTCGTGGTGATGCTTGAAGGCATGGCTTTACGTGTGGTGATGCACGGTCTAAGGATGTTAGAGAAGTCTAAATATTAAATAACACCCCGAAGGTTAAAACTCCTCCACTTCATGGCAACTGCAATGGTCCACCTCCACCTCCGGAACCCTACCCACGCACAATACCTTAGAAAGTCGTATTTAGGGCAAAAGACGGCCGGATGTGGTTCGCTGGAAAGCTAGGTAGTGATTGCTTGCAAGAATTAGAGTGCTAGGAGGCTCTCCTCTTGAGACATCCCTGAGACTCACTCTATATAAACAAATATGACATAACGCGTTTATCAGCCACATGGGTCATTTATCAAATATCAAATCCTCGCAGACACCACGAGGCTCTGCGAGGAGTCTAGTATACTATAGTAGTTTCTCTCATCATAAACTAAGTTTTTCTTTTTTGAATTCGCACCTGCTGTCTTATAAGTTTTTTTGGTCTTGGCTTGTCTCCTGTAGATATAGCTCCTAAAAATGCAAGAGCGGCCCAGCATCAGTGTCGAGCTAGATTATTCACAGAAGAATGGCAAGACAGTTAGATATCTCATCGAGTGAATCATCTTATGTCCATGAATAACAATAGTGAATGCTTGAATGGCTACGGCATGGTTATGTATTCGCTCCGTATTGATATTATAGCACGCTTCACAAGCTCTCGCTCAAGTTCTGGCTGATGAGAAGCAAGTATAAATTACGAATCCAGAAATACCAGAGCACCCCATATTTCTAACAGTGGGTGCACTGTTCTGTCTTTTTGAACATTGCTGATATATCCTCCAGGCTTTTATCCAAAATGGTTCCCCGTCTACGATCCGAGGGACTTCAGCCAAGCGCGGGCGACCTTCGCCGGCGTTGTACTGCAATTTGCTTCGACTACTGGTTTCCAGGGATTTTCACATCTCAGAAACCAATAGTGTTATCTTTGGCGCACTTGACATCCTGGAGTGCAGAGCGTATCGCTCGGGCGACGACGACGACACAGAAGTGTCCTGAGAAGAATAATGACATACTGGCCGAGGAAGTCTGGGATTTTTATATGGCTTGGGTTGAGCACTTGCCTCGTTGCAGGTCCAGGTTGGAGGACATGGAGAAAAGCATGTGGGAAAACCTTCAGCAGTTCAGGTTTGACATATTGGTGCCATGTGCAAAAGAGCGAAACCTCGCAAACACTCCAAGGCCTGTATGGCATCCCACTTGTCACTGACTTATAAATGGGAAGTAGAGAGGCTGACTTTGAATATTAGACAACCTTTACATATGCCAGACTTTGGCTTCCAACTGTATGAGTGCTACAATTCCTGGTAAATGTTAGTCAAGCAAACTGCTGACGCTGACAATCATAGGAGCGATATTCAGGCCCAGAAATCCCATCATTTCTGCCAGAGGATGGCATTGACAACTACCGAGCCTGCATGAGGCTCGCAGAAAACGGGCCGATGACTTGCTTTACCCCGGCAGAGCTCAAGATCATCGAGCAACTTGGACCCCATGTGAGGCCCATGATCAGAACGGTAATGAACGAATGCATGGAATACCTCGAGCGGGATATGATGACGGGAGAATTCAGCCGGAAAGTCTTTGACCTTCATCGTCATCTCGGCAAAATAATGCAACTGGGCAACAGAGTAGTTGAGCTTTGGTGCCATACGTTTGGCTCGGTCGAAGTCTTCGCGGACTCATGGAATGTCAGAGTTAGGAGGGACGAGGAGACGGGATACGACGAGCAAGTGGACGAGGTGGTAACTCAGCTTAAGGATCAGGTTGAAATCTCCAAACGGCGACAGATCAAAAAATCAATTGCGAAGACACAAGGGAGATGTCTCGTATACCTGAATTCGAGTCCACAAGCCATCAAAATGCTTGTCATCTGCATGGTAACCGATCGGATCCATGCTCTCGATGAACTTCGGCACAACCGTCGTCAAGAAACAGGCGGCACTCTGGTAAGTATCGAGGATCTTCCAAGCGATGCTAAAGATTGTCCAATATGCCGCGAGACACTCGGTGTTCAGAATGAAGCCGGCGAAATTGAGTGTCCAGTTCGACTTGTATCTTGTTGTGGACAGTATGCGGGTGAAAGATGCCTCCAAGAATGGTATCGATCGCCTGAAGCTCGAAGTTGTCCGCTTTGTAGGCGTACGCCTTCAAGTTCATTTTTTGAGAAGTTATATCAAATCGAATTCAAGTTTTCCCCCTCCCCCGCCCCCTCCCCCACCATTATGTTCTTGGTGCGTGCCGAGGAGCAGCCCCAATTCATTCCAATAATTCCTGAAAGGGGATCGGAGATAAGTGAAGAGCAGCTTCAGGCTCTTCAGGGAGGACGTGATGTTTCGGTCACGGTAGGAGATGGTGTTATGATGGTACGCCAGGAAACTCCTTTCGAGCGGGCTCTTCGACAGCTGGACTGAGGTCTGCATAGCATAGCGAGGTTAGAACAACCATAGGATGTGGGAATGGTATTCGAGTGAGGAGTCAACGAATGAAATCCTTTAGCCACTTGACGCAAAATCATGAGGCTGATGACCTTTGGTGACTGATATGATTAACCTTTAGCCTCGATGGCTGCTCGATTGGATAACTAAAATATTAGTTGCTGTTAATTGCACGGTTGACCCCTGAGAGGTATGAAACACAATTCAACGGCGGATTCCAAGGGGAAAGTTGAATGAAGTGATATTGAGAGCTATGCGGCCGAGGAAGCCAAACCGACGTTCCAATCTGACTACCCCAGAGCACAACCATAGCCAGCCACACCAAACTGTTGTAACACCTGCTGGCCGATTGATACCGACAGCAACCCTTCTCGAGTGTAATCCACCAAACCGAAAACAGTCCAGCGATCCCCCGCTCGAATATGAGGCGCTCTCAACAACCAAAACATTCTTCCTCGATTCAGCAAGCCGTAACTCCATCCCAGTGCTAGTTCATCGAGTTCCGCCGTTCCAAGCTCGCATCACAAGTCCTTGCCATTGTCTTCGGTATGGGAATAATTTAACGGTGCTGCAAATCCTGTTAGTTATCCGTTGCCCAGAAGTATCCCTCGCTCCCCAGATCTCCAGCTCGTACCTTGACGAATCCAATATCGCCAGCCTTCTCTCTGAAGCACTGACGGCAGATGTCGAGGCCGTACTTGCGGATGAGACCGGCCTTGTGGGTGCAGATGCGGCTAAAAATCTCATGTTAGCTGATATGTTCATTCCCCGTTGTCTCCTGCTGCATCCTGCACTCCTGCCATCACCCCCCCGGGCATATAGTGTAGATTTTCGAGATTGGGGGCTACGTACCACTGGCGCGAGCCCTTGCCGTAGGTCCTTGGGCGGGAGTTCCAGACAGTCTCGTGAGACATGATTGCGGTGGTATTTACGACGAACGGGGGGTTGTCAAGGGCGAGGTGTTGGTGGTCGATTGGTCGATTGTCGCAGCGTTCGTGAAGTTGTTGCGACCGCACTGCTAAACCCTATTCAAATTTCTATTGTGCGCGCTAAACTTCGGTTCCTAAGTTGTGGCGTCAATATGTGGCTGGTGCGGCGTCGGGGTGAACAAAGAACTCAAGGGAGGTCCGTGCGCGCACATTAAAAAGGCATGGAACAACATACAAGAACCATCGCTACTTTGACAGTTTACAGCTACATAGATCAAATAAGTGCTCTTAAATTACGTGAAAATATAATTCTTGTATCACAGCCCTTCAATAAGTCAGTGACACAAGAATTAACCCGGAGGGAAAATTTTGTTAGCTTTAAATGGGGATTTAACTCTCAGTTGTGCTGAGGTTTGGGGCCATATGGTACATAATTGGGACCCAGGCGTACTCCACCTACAACGATACTGGAGAGAAACTCTTCGGCCAATTCTTATAAGATTCATCTGAAATTCGGAAATCAGCTTGAGTGCACAGCAATCCCTACTTCTAAACAATGGTATGATTTGAATGGGCGAACAACTGCTGGAAATATATCTGACAACCTCTCCAGTCCAAAGACTCCAACCACACGTATATACACTTCAACCGTCCGCGGGACGCCGATCTCTTCGAGGACTTCTGCAAGGACAAGCTGCCAGATGACGAGATCTTTGTGCCCACCCAGAACCAGCCTTTGAACCCCGAAGACGAAGACGATATTGTCCCCGACCAGCACGCAGCGTTCGGTATCCAGAGAGCCACGCAGAAGACCAAAGAGGCTGCATGGAAAGATCTTGGACTCTCTGAACTCATGAAGAAGGGCCCGGTGCAGACGGGAGGGCGCGCAGATGGCAACTTGAAGGTGGTTGGGAACAGGACATTGCCTCGGTAGCGCCTATGTTCCAGCGTTTTTTATTGGTACTGGAATGAAGGGAAGGCATTGGGTTGGTCCTGGGATGGAGGGCGAGTATTGGGCTGATCCCAAATGAAGTAAGGACACCAGGTCGATCACGGAGTCAAGGAAGGACACAGTATTTGAAAGATTGGGGGGGCGTTAGGGAAGATACCCAGTATGAGATATGAAACAGCACAGTTCTGTTGCTACGGCGTTTATACCACATCAGGTGGCCCTTATGAAAGCATGAAAATGAACTTATATGAGCTCGATAAACCTAACCGTAACTCCTCACAATGCTAATAACGCCGCCCGAATGCCACCAAACTCTCATCCATCAAAGCGTCGTAGTCTATTGCTTGCCCAAGAATGCCTCCCTCTCAATGACCTCCGGTTGGAACTTCACCAAGAAGACCGTCTTCCCCGGCCAAAGCTCTCCCTGCTTGCCCGCAGCAGCAACCGTATGCGCCGTGACCCGTGCCGGAAACCCAGCCCCATCACAAGCTCCCTCGATAATCCCCGCCACGAACGCAGCGCAGTTCAACTGGCTCATCTCCTTGGGAACGCTGACGTACTGGTTCACCAGCGGTTCATTGTCTATGATCATATACTGATCCGGGCTCTCGTTGGATTTCTCAAGCGCATCGGCGGGTCGGGCGAAGAGGTGTTTCCACATGACATTGATGATGAAGTTGAGCAGAGCGATGATGTTGAGGGGGCGGAGTTGGGTTCGTGGAGGCTCGCGCCAGATGAGGACGTCGAGGAGTTTGAGCCCGATGGGATGGCCTTGGACATTGAGTCTGGAGTTATAATGAGTATCTGTTTGAGCAGTTCTGGCAGGGATGGGCCTCGAGAGGCTATTGGGGGATCATACCGCTTCTCCAAATCCTGGATATCTGTGACACGTCGTTGCGCATAGCTCACCATCTCCCCGAAGAGGTATGCGAAGCTTGCCTGGCTCAGTTCTTGTGTGCGACTTCTGTTTAGCGGCCTGTTGTATATCGTCTTTCCATTTGTAGGGTATTTAAGACCCGGAGCGCCACGCTGCCTGGGGGGTGCTTCGCTGCCCAGCGGCTTGGGGGTCTGTGATGATGACATTTCAATTCTGTAAAATGGACGGTGGGCATGTATCTGCCAATGCGGGGGGATTCACTGAGTTCAGGACATGGTGGTTCGGCAAGGCTGGCGGTCGCTGATAGGAAGCTCTATAGTGACGGCCCTATCGCCAATCGGTCACCCATGCGGCTGTTCCCGCGTACATAAATTAATTTAGGGGTACATGTCTGAAGAACGGCTCAGTAAAGTTCCATTAAAGCTATGGATAAAGCTCTCAAATTTATTATCTACTTAATCTTGGTATCTGTGGGATAGTTCCCGAGGCTGTCGCTGCATGAAACATCATTAATAAGTACAATTAGTGAGAATAATCAAGCCTGGGTCTCTTTGACTTCAGGCTTCTGATTCTCGATACCAGCCGCTGGTGCAACGGGCGTCTCAGCCTCGACAGCAGCTTCTGGTACAACTGTCATCTTAGCCTCCATGGCAGCCTCTGGTTCAACAGGTGCAACAGGACCGGCAGCCTCCACTGCAGCCTCTGGCTCGACGTTTTGCCCCAAGCTTAAGAAATCCCCTCCCTTCAAGTAGAGCTCACTCTCGCCGTAATGCTTCCCAGCTGCCTCCCATCGAGCTTTGCGTTCGCTGGCCTTTTCTTTGCATAGGCCATTGAGGGCGGGCCAGTAAGCCTCGTGGTCATACTCGAACTCCACGGCTCCACCCACATCTGTCCACAGTTGCTCCTTCGGGACAAACTTAGTTAGATCTTCGTTGAAGTGCAACTTCTCACGAGTCAATGGGTCGACGAAGGGCATGATAAGCTTCAAGAACATATTAACCACGAATGGGACTGTTCACTTTGTTAGTATACTCAAAGGACCTTCCGGGGTTGTATGTCTTACTGTTGACGAGAGCAGCACGTCCGAGTCTCTCTGGGTAGTGGGTCTGCAAGATGTTCAAGACCTCCCTAGCAATGGCGAAAGGCGGAGATGTATTGGAGCGAGACTTGCTCGACTTGAAGTTGATCAACAGGCAGATGCTCTCCTGGCCAGGAACCATCATATCAATGACCCTTTCCAGCATGTAGGCAAGATGCTCAACCTGTCGGTGGCTGCTCTCAGTGTTCTGACGCCCGGGGTTGAGGTAATGGCATGGCCTAGCCTCCTCATCGAATCCGAGGATGATCTGCTTGCCTGTCTTATTCTCGGGCGAAATGTGTTCGGGCGTGAGCCCCAGAAGACCAAATTCCCTTCTCCATGTGAGGGTGCTCAGGAGACGCTTGGCGGCCTCAGCTGGCTGCCACTTTGTTGCCCTGAGATAACGCAGGATGCAGTCCCTGGTCAACCACATAATCTCCTCTTCCATGACCGGGCCTTCCTTGCCTTTGGTCGATGGGATTCCGGTCCATGTCTTGACAGTCGCAAGGACTTCCTCGTACTTGGCTTCTTGGTCGGCGGTGAGAGCTACTGCTTCCTTGGGTTTCGCCGATGGGACTGGGTCGACAAATGGAGTCTTGACTGGCCCCTCGGGTTTCGCTCGGAGTGATGCTGCAACAGATGCAGTCTGACCCTGGCTGATGTCTAATGCGGCGACTTTCTCCTCGATTTGGTTCTCGCCCGCCACAGCCACTGGTGTCTCTGGCACAGTAGCACTCATCTAATTGAAGTCAGTACAATTTGTTTGGTATGAGGGTTTCTAGAGACTGTGGATTGGCAAACCTTTTCTGTATACTCCGGAAATTAAAATAGATACAGCTTTCGAGGAAACTTCAATTGAGAGACTTAAAGGGGCTTTTGGACGAAGTTGTTGGGCAGGTACGAGTACGAGTAGCACAATTCATGTATGGGGCAGTACAATTTAACTTTCCTCGGCCTTGTCCCTCTCATACAGCCTCTCAGTGCCCGTGCGGCCCAAAAGTCTAAGGAGGAACTCGCCCATTAACGCGCTAAAACCACAACGCGTCTTCCACTTACAGCCTCGTCGCGACCACTCGAAATATTTCACGACGAGACAGCCGCACTCGAAAAGATAGCTATGGCAGACCCTGTGGTAGAGGAGCTTAGTGCTCTATTTGCGACAACATTAGTGAACAAAAAATTGGAGGCAGATGTGATCGCCGAGCTGCAATCGATTATGCGCCTCCACTCGATCCCGCCCCAGGAGCTGTTCTACAAATGGGAATCTTACAGCATGAAGATTGGGACGGACGATATGAAGCTTGACATCGAGACCGTGAGAGCCCTTAAGAAGGATATCCAAGATGGATTGGAGAGAGAGAGCAGGAACAAGTCGAACGTCAGGAGTGTGGATAAGAGGGTAGCAACCCCGCGAAATATCTCTAGCACTGGGGATGTATTCAACATGCTGGATGGTCTGGTGCCAAATACTCCTCGAACCGCGCCAGGAAGCGCCGCGAACGGGTCGAAGCGCAAGATCAACCAGTATCAGACTCCGTCCATATCACGAGTGAAACAGGAGCCCGCAAGCAGCCCGCCAGAGTTTAAGACCCCCTACAAGCCTGGAGAAAAGGAATACGGAGGACCGTAAGTTTTGCATTGCCTTGGAATCTTCTCAACTAACAAGAAACAGAACCGTCGCCTTCAACGACAGGCCCAACGCCGGCCAAACCGTCGAAATCCTCAACTCCCAGCTCCCCGCCCCCTCCCCCCCCATCGCCCCATTCTCCTCACCCCGCATCAAGCTAATCGCCAACTCGGACCTCAAAAAGCTCTCCTACAAACCCATGGCCATGAAATCCTCCGAATCCTCCGAAATCCTCGACGACCGCATCGACGAGCTCATGGCCCTCATCAAAACCCACCACACCCTCCCCGACTCCGCCTTCGGCAGCGCCGCCAGCAAATCCGTCGACGAAATCGTAGCCATCGGCCGAATCGCCTCCGACTCCGCAGACGGGAAACTCAACACCGCGTCCCTCGTCCTCGAGACCTCGCGGCGCATGGGCAACGGGCTGCGCGTCCCGCTGCGCCTCGGGGCGGTGGCTAGCTTCCAGTTCTTCCCCGGCCAGATCGTCGCGCTGCGCGGTATCAATGCTTCGGGTGAGGAATTCACAGTCAGCGAGGTCCTCGAGATCCCCCTCCTCCCCGTCGCAGCTTCCACACCCCAGGGCCTAGAAACGCACATCCAGCGCCTCCGAGGCGGCCCAGACGCGATGGACGACGACTCCGCCGCCGCCCCGCTCAACATCCTCATCGGCGCCGGTCCATACACCACAGACGACAACCTCGATTTCGAGCCCCTGCACGCCCTCTGCAGCCAAGCAGCAGACACCTACGCCGACGCACTGATCCTCGTCGGCCCCTTCCTCGACACCGAGCACCCCCTCCTCGCATCGGGAGACTTCGATCTCCCCCCCGAGGCGAACTCGGATCCAGACACCACGACGCTAAAAACCGTCTTCGAGCACCTCATCTCGCGGCCCCTCCAATCCCTCGCCGCTGCAAATCCGAGTATAACAATCCTCCTCATCCCCTCGGTACGCGACGCTATATCGGCGCATGTTTCCTGGCCGCAGGAGCCGTTTTCGCGCAAGGATTTGGGGCTGCCGAAACTGGCGAAGGTGGTGGGGAATCCGATGACGGTGTCGATTAATGAGATTGTCACCGGCATCTCGAGCCAAGATATCCTCTCCGAGTTGCGACATGAGGAAGTCACTGGTGGTGTGCCGCAGGCTGGAGGCATCCTTGCGCGGTTGCCGAAATATATTATCGAGCAGCGCCATTTCTTCCCGCTTTACCCTCCCGTCGACCGGAAATTGCTGTTGCGCACAGGGACGGTGGAGGGGTCGCCGCCGGGGGCGATGCTCGATGTCAGTTACGTCAAGCTGGGTGAGATGCTGAATGTGCGCCCCGATCTCCTTATTGTCCCTAGCGCGCTGCCGCCGTTCGCGAAGGTCGTGGAGAGTGTTTTGGTGGTTAATCCGGGAGTTGTGGCGAGGAGGAAGGCGACGGGGACGTATGCGAGGGTTAGTGTTGGGGAGGCGGGGTTGACGAAGGAGGAGAGGGGTGGGGTGTTGACGGTGGCGCATAAGTTATATGAGAGGGCTAGGGTGGAGATTGTGAAGGTGTAGGCGGGCAGGCACTCCTAATATTGGGTGTATTGGAAGTGCCGCGGCGGTTTCTGAGGTTGGCGTTTTTGGATATAGGAAGATGAGCATCACGGATAATGAAAGACATAAATTTGACAGTCGCCCGCCTGCTCCTTGCTTTGGCGAATTGATTATATTGTACACGCGCGCGCGGGGTCTAACCCACTCTCCGCCGCTTGTCGTAGTCATACCTCCCCCCATCCCTCGAAGAAGTCCTCTTCCTCCGGCTTCGGTCGTCATCTCTATCCCTCCTCGGCTCCCTTGACCTCGACCTCTCCCTCTCCCTCCTCGGCGACCTTGATCTCTCCCTCTCCCTCCTCGGCGACCTTGATCTCTCCCTCTCCCTCCTCGGCGACCTCTCCCTGCCCCCACCCCTCTCCTCCCTGCCCCCTCCCGGCCCCTGAGGCACCCTCCTCTCCCCAACCGGCAAATTATTCGCCCCGCTCCTCCCCCCCTCATCCGGCCTAAACCTCTCATCCACATCCTCCCCCATTCCCCTCCCCCCACCACCTCCTCCCACTCTCCTCTCCTCAAACCTCCCCCACATCCCCGTATCCTCACTCTTCAAATCCCTATACTTAGTCGCCCCCTTCTTCCCCAACTTCGTCATATCCCTCATCTGCAGCGCCTGCGGCAGCAGCTCGCGATTCACCACATCATCCGCCATGCGCGCGCCCATGAGGTCGCGGCGGTCGAGGCCGGCTTCTTTAGCGTCTTCTTGGAAGAAGGCGCCTTTGTGGTAGTACTTCTGCATGAACCCCATTTTGCCCTTGCCTTCGCGCTCTTCGACTTGTTTAGCGATATGCGCGTCGTCTTCAGCTTTCCTCTCCTCCGCACTCAAATTCCTCCTCCTCTCCACCTCCTCAAGTTCCTTCTCCCTCTCCTCAATCGCCACCCTCTCCCTCTTAATCCTCATCAACTCCCTCAACTTCCAAGCCGCATGCTCAGCTTCAGGGTCGAGGCCGTCAGTATCGTCAATTTCGTCTTCAGCCTCCTCATCATCATCCCAATTCTTCTTCCCCGCCTCCCTCGCCGCAACATCCTTCCTTATCTGCTCCTCCACAATCTCATCCGCCGCCTTCTTCCTCCTCTCCTCCTCCTCCGCGATTCTCTCCTCATCCGGTCTCGTATCCTCTTCTTTCCTAAGCCCGCGTTTATCCTTCTTCACGAACATCGGTCGCATCATCACCCTCCTCGGCGCCTCCTCCTCGCTGCTTTCTTCTCCACTCCCGCTCTCCTCCTCACTCCCCTCCTCCTCCTCCTCCTCGCCTGCTTCTTCGCTTTCGGTAACGAACCCCTCCTCCTCCGCTTTCCTCGCCAGCCGTTCATCTTCTACCCTTCGTTCCTCTTTCTCCCTCGCCTCGCCGCGGCGCTCGTTGAGGTCAACTTTCTTGAGGTCACTCGATATCCCCCCCGCGCCCGTGAATTTCGGCGCTGGTCCACTCGGTATCTTCTGTTCCTGCTGCTGCTGCTGCTGCTGCTGCTCTTCTTCTTCCACTTCAGAATCAGAACTCTCCACCTCCTCCACCACCTTTCCCGGCCTATACCGCGGCGCCTTGGCCGGGTTGGCTGTCATTCGCGACGACATTGTCGTTTCTCGCCTCTCAAATTATCCAAATATCGCTGTACTTCCTGGCAGTTGCGCGGTAGCGTTCGCACCACTCGATCAATCGGTCGGATTGGATCGTCGCTTCAGTTGTGTTGTTGATTTGCGATTTTGCCTTGTTGACCAAGGCCGTGGGAGGCGCGCCAGAGGCTACAGTCAATAAATTCGTGAGGCTATGTGGTAAGGCTGAGCTAGAATATCTTGGGATTAGCGGATATGCTTAAATTGTCCGCAGCCCAGCCAGCCCCTCAAAGTTCTCAAGCGAGTTTGGTGCTTACCGTCCACCATCAATAGCAAGGAGGTCAATCAGGTCTACAGTCACGATTTTACAAATGCGAGTTTTTCAAAGACAGGGCAATGGTAGTGGTAACACATAAATATGCTGTGGTAAACCCTCAATTCTGTGAGTTCCTCCCATTCTACGCTAATAAAAGCACTCACTCCCTCCCCAAGTCCATGTAAATGGTATGCCCCACCATCCAGTACTGGTGTTAAACGCCCCTTATCCCCCCAACCCCAATCCCATGACCCCCAAAAAGCCAAATGCTAATGCTAAACCCCAATTCCCGACGCCAATCCGTCCCAGGTATTCCCCATCACGCCAGGTGGTGTTTCTAATGCTCTGCTCCACTCTTCACAGCCATCCCTCCCCCTGATATTGCACAGCGGGATTACTCCCATTCACAACAGGTGCCTGCCTATGCTGCTTCCCCTGCTGCTGCTCCTCATCCTCGTTAGTCGAGCCCTCCGCATCCTGATCCTCATCCTCATCCTCGCTCGCGGGCGGATTCCACGTTTCCTCCAGCTTAAGCCCCTTCCCCGTCGACTCAGCAGCAGCACGCTGTGTCGAGCCGAAATACTTGGAAATCATAGCCGTGTGGTACTGCTCCCACTGCTGCATATCGGAGAGTGACGCCTTGTCGGGTGTATCGTACAGCCCCATGCCGACTAGGATCTCGCCCTCGTCTTCTTGGTCGTCGAGAGAGTGGTAGGGAATTGTAGTTCCAATAGCGCACGGTGGCTCGGGGTGTTGTATTGGGAGGAAGTTCTCGGGTGTGGGTGGTGCGGTGCCATCCTCGAAGCCGGTGGCGGCGAAGTTGTTCCAGTCGAAGTGAGAGTAGATGGAGGGGTTCATGCAGTCGTTGTAGGATGTTTGTTGTACCTGCTGGTGGGCGGCGAGGTGCAGTTGTAATTGGGCGTAGGCGGTGTAATCGGCCATTGGGTTGTTGAAGGATGGTTGTATGAGGGATGAGGTGTCGTAGAGCGGGTATTCTTGGTCGTAGTTGGTCCAGGGTTGTGATTCTGGGGAGAAGGTCGCGGAGGGAGAGCCGTAGTTTGATTGCAGGGCGGGTGTGTGGGGGAGGTCCTGGCTGTTGCTGTAGGACATGCTGTAATCCGTCATGCCAGTGTTGTAGACAGGCTGGAATGGTACGTCGTAGGTTGAGTATGCTGAAGGGTGCCAGCTCAATGGCCTGATCTGTGATACCGCTTGCAATGGTGTGAGGTAAGCCTGGCTTGGCTCCCCTGACGCCGACATGCCCTGGTTAACCGCCGACGGCTGGCGGCGATAGGAGTCGCCCACAACTGTCCTCCTCCGGTTCAGCGTTGTCGAGTTTCTCGGGCTGTTGTTGGTGCTGTTTGCTTTTGATATCCGCATGGATCCTCCTATCCTCGAAGCATTAGACCCCTTTGAGCGTCCGCGTGAGAGATTGGATGAGGCCATTTGTCTGGAGATGTCCTCAAGTAAGGTGAGATTGAGGTGGGTGGGCATGGTGCCAGCTGCATGTGGGGAATAAGGATGAAGGGTAGTCGGAGTATAAGTAAGGTTGGGCGTGCCGTCAAGGCTCGAGGTGATCTCTGAAAATCGATAGATGTCTGGGGGATTCAAGAGCAGGTCAAGTTGTAATGAAAGAGTGAAAGAGAGGAGAGAGAGACAGAGAGTATATGAATATGATGTAGTGTGAGAAAAGGAAGGAAGGCTCTGGGCAACCAGACTAAGGATGGAGGAATACAAATATGGACACACCCTTACCACGGAAGTAGCAGCTTGTCAATAGTGAATAGTGACCAAGACCATGAGGAAACCGTCAGGGTCCACTAGTGACGAGCGGCATGTTGTCTCTGGGGGGCTTTGTGTCATCTGCCTAAAGAGCGCCGACTGGCGACGAGACTGTAGAAGAAAGGGAGGAGGGCATTGTGGACCAGTGATAGATTGGCCATGCTTTTTGGTACTCTAAGATGTGAGCGAACCCAGTCAGTAGTGTATTCCGTATAGGAGGGAGGAGGGAGGAGGGAGGAGGGAGGAGGGAGGAGGGAGGAGGGAGGGGGGGGAAAGGGAAGGAAGAGGGTAGGGGGAGGGGGAAGTTTGTAGTTGGACGGACGGAGCAAGCCAGCCAGGCAGAGAGCAAAGAAGGCAGGAACTGACTACTGACTACTGACGACTTGGAGTGATGGATGGAGTATAGGAGTGGAAATGGAGGCGCTAGGTATGGGTGGGTGCGAGGTACGAAGGCGGAGCTAGGAGTAGGACTACTGTAATATACTACTATACTACTATACTACTATACGACTAGTAAGTAGTATAGTATAGTTGGTAGTAGAGCACGGCGGGTAGAGTCCGAGTTTGAGTCGAACAATCTGCACGGTGGCGCTGTAGTACTGTGCGTAGTCGGGCCTTGAGTTTCGTTTGATGAAAACAGGGGGTAGTAGTGGTAGATGTAGTAGAGTAGTACAAAGTGCGGGTTAAAGTAGTACCCGCACTTTGTATAGTATATCACTCAATTATATATATATATAACTTATATATATATATATATATAACTTATATATATATATATATATAATATATATAAGTTATATATACCGGCCATATTAGAGTAATATGGCCGGTATGAGTTTGGTACGGGTAGGACGGGTTAGTACAGGTAGGACGGGTTAGTACAGGTAGGACGGGTTAGTACAGGTAGGTTTGTATGGGTTTGTATTGGGTAGGCGGCTGGGTAGTATGGAGAAGCCCGGAATAAGGTAAGGAAGTCGTCACACTCTAGAGAAGGAGAGAAGGCCCCAGCCGTAGAGTAACTAGTGGAGTAGCGTAGTAGTAGTACAGTAAAAGGTCAGGTAAGATCAAGTAACAGTGGAGTAGAGAGTACGTACGGTATGTTATGTACAGTACTATTTCCGGTGCTACGCAGCCGCTATACTACTGACACTACTGACACTACTGACACTACTAACACTACTAAACTACTAAACTACTAAACTACTAAACTACTAAACTACTAAACTACTAAACTACTAAACTACTAAACTACTAAACTACTAAACTACTAAACTACTAAACTACTAAACTACTAAACTACTAAACTACTAAACTACTAAACTACTAAACTACTAAACTACTAAACTACTAAACTACTAAACTACTAAACTACTAAACTACTAAACTACTAAACTACTAAACTACTAAACTACTAAACTACTAAACTACTAAACTACTAAACTACTAAACTACTAAACTACTAACTAAACTACTAAGGCTACTATCATCGCTACTACTACTGTGAGACGACTCTAGTAGTATAGTAGAGAATAGTACAGACACTACCAGAGTCAGACCTGCACTACGCTCCACAAGAGGCGGGTTCAAGATCAGGGACCGAGACAAAGTACGGATGCAGAGGCGCTTTGCATTCCACATCAACCACCAACGCTAAGTGAGGAGAGAAGGGAATTGAAGATCAGGAGGAAGGACGGCACTTCTGTCTATACAGACTATGCTATAGTGTATACCAACTATAGTGTATACTAACTATAAACTATACTGATATACGCACAATAAGAACTACCTATACTGAATACGCATAAGAACTACCTATACTGACGCATAAGAACTACCTATACTGAATACACATAAGAACTACCTATACTGAATACACATAAGAACTACCTATATTGAATACGCATAAGAACTACCTATACTGAATACGCACAAGAACTACACAGTACCATCCATCAACAGACAAGCAGCAGCCACGGCCTCACAACCCCCCAATTGTACCAGATAAGGGGTACGCACATCGCATATGCACATCCCAATCCTATTCCTGTCTATCCATACACCAACCAAGGAGGCCTTCCTCCGTCAGTCGAACAAGGCCTGTGCCCCTACTCTCCTCTACGTAAAATAGTAAGTGTATACTGTAGAGAAAAGTAAGTGCGTGCCCGCCCGCGGGTACATACCGTGCCCACCTATGGTTCAAAGTGGCACCTCCTACAGTACTGTACGTACCTCACTGCTCCCCCCAGTACACCCCCACCAAGTCGCCCACCACCCCATTACGGACAGGACACCTCCAAAGCTACTTACAGGCTACACCTCGCTCCTGGTTCAAGCCGGCGAGACACTCTGCAAAAAAGGGGCGGGAGATGGCGAGTGGGGGGCGGCCACCACAGCAACAGGGAGGTACACCCCAAGTAGCCGAATAGACTGTGGTACGGTCGCGGCGCGTACTCGAGATGCGAGGTGAGGTATGCGGGATGGGTGGGGATGGGGATTTGTCTCACGAGGGAACGGGGATCTCCTCCTCTAGCATCATCATATATCATCATAGGAACAAGCCCGCCCAGCCTCGGTGAACTGACTGACCCCTAAACATCGTACCAAGAGCCCTGGAACATCCGCCTGCAGACTGTCCAAGCACCTCGCACCTCGCACCTCAGGCCTCAGACCTCCCCCAAGACATCCCAAGGCAAAACCCAGCCTCAGACCTCCCCCTCAAGACATCAAGGCAAAACCCAGCCTCAGACCTCCCCCCCAAGACATCCCAAGGCAACAAGACATCCGACCCGAAGCCCCATCTGCAGTCCCAGACCCATGGGGCCGTCGCGGCGTCGTCCTTTGTATGACCTGAGTCGTCGATTATGTATAGGATTTGCCTGGATTGGGGGCACGGCATGCGGCAATGGCAACAAATCATGGGATGGAACTTGCCAGATGAGGTACGTACCCAGCGCCCAGCCCCCCCCCAAAAAACCGCCGACGCTGGAGCAGGTTCTCATCCCTGGTTAGGTTCTCATTCCTGGTTAGGTTCTCATCCCTGGTTAGGTTCTCATTCCTGGTTAGGTTCTCATCCCTGGTTAGGTTCTCATCCCTGGTTGTTAGGTTCTCCATGCGCCATCCACCAATTTCATTCATTTGAGTACACATCCGTACTCAACCCTGCTCCACAACGAGCGGAGTTTACATGTGTCTCATCGAACTACCACCACACACCACTCCTAAGATAACAATATAACAATATAACACATGTGTGCCCCAGCCCGCTATGTATGTGATGATGTGCATCCCTCGCACATACTCTTCAGCGCCTCACGCAATGCTTCAGGCCACTTCGTCTCAAGCCCCTACTACGGCAGTGTGCAGCCGTTCAATCCGTACATGCCCTTCGCGCCTGCTGCGGTGCCACCACGCGACGTCGCTGATCGGCTTCTAGGTCGGCAGAGAGTCATGGTATCGACATGACCCATGGTGTACCTTCATCCATCATCCACCCATCCATCCATCCCTAGATAGATATCTGTACGCGGCTGGGCGTGGCATCTGTCGGTGACCACGCAGATCTAGCCGGAAAGTGAAGCACAGGCCGCGAAACGACTGCACGTCGGCGGTGGAAACGTCGATGTAGTAGGGCCGTGTATGTAATTGCCCGTCGTTGGACGCGGAGGCGCTAGAGATGGGTAAACACCGCCCAGCGTCGCGGCCGCCAACGGCAGGAGGCAGGGCAGGAGACAAGCAACTGTCCCCCTCGGTTACCCAATCTCGGTCCACATCCTTCCATCATCTCGCCAGCCCGCCTGAGCGCATGGTCCGTTTCGAAAAGGAGGCCTCGTACATTAGCTGAAGATGACATTTCCCAGTTCAGCGGAAGTCGACCGACGTGGGAACGGATGGTGGTGCGACGAATCGCATCGGTCTATATCCTCGCAGCGATGTGAGAGAGCTCCGCCCATCCCTCTCCGTCGGTCCTTCTCTCTGCGGCAGGCGGATATCACTCCAATTCACGCTCGTTATGCACAATACTGATAGTACGGTCATCCTCGCACAGCCCGTCCGTCCGTCCGCCGTCGCACCCATCCATCCATAACCAACCCGAGCAACAAAGATGCGGAATGCGGAATCTGATGCATGTAAACCACACAACCTTTTCCTCCTGTCTCGCTCCTCCTGTCGCTCCTCCTGTCTCGCTTTGTCTCGCTTTGTCTCGCTCCTCCTGACTTTCATACAACCACACCCATCCTCCCGCTCTTCAAATTGGAAACTCCCGTCTCCTAACCGGCGACCACCACCGCGGTCCCCACACCATGGCCCAGCACGGCGGCAAGGACATGGGAGAGGCCCCGCCCACATGGTGGCGTGTATGTACATTCTAGCGCCCTGGCCATTCCTCCATCCCCATCGCTCCTCCACTCCATGCCCTACCCCTTCCCTTCTCTTTGCCCCTCTTTCGCCGAAAAAGCGCTTTGGCACAAAATGGGATTGTGCTGAGATTTTTTTTCGCCACCGAGCCCCGCTCAACATGTGGATGGTGGAGATGCGGGTGGGCGTGGTGCTTTACTATGGGTATGGATACCTTGCATACGTAGGAGGGATGGGATGGGATGTTGCATCCATACTGGGGAGGCGGAGGATTTGAAATCCCCGTTCGAGTAAGGAGGGGGAGAGGTTAGTCAGGTCCCTTTCTTGGCGGCTGGCTGGATGGCTGGATGGGCTTCTCACTCTCCACTGCCAAGTATCCGGTAAATAGATCCGAGCGGATGCTGGCGTTTTGCAGGTCTATCGATATCCGCCCAGTACTGTGCCCGCCGTGATGTGATGTGAGCTGCACCGGTGTCTTCACATAAGTTCCAAGTTAATCATCCGCGCTGGCCAATATCAACTCACCACCCTTCGCTGGCCAGGAAACCTGTCTCCAAGTTCCTGCTCGGAAATGGTAATTCGTGCCGCCGATCGCCGACGGCTGGTGTCTCAGACATTCATCACATCACATCGAACCGCTTATCCCATTGCGGCAACCGCTGCCTGCCTGCCCTTCAAATAAAGCGCCTGGAAAGGGCGCGAGGCCGATGAAGGGGACCATGCACTGCATCTATGCATACGTACATGATCGAGATAATGCGTTCCTTGGGTAAAAAGGGCCATGAGAATCCCTGTCTTTGTTTGTCCCCCGCCGAACTCGCCCAGGGGGGGGGGTCAAAAAACAGGATTGACATGTTATTTGGTACAGTATGTACAGGGCCCTTTTTTTTATGGAACTTTGAGCAGGCATCTGGGGCAGGCATTGTTGGGATTTTGTTGGCGTGGAGGGATCGTCATGAAGGTTTTCGTGCGACGTGTTGGAAGCGGGTTTCAAAGGCCCAAGGGGGACCACCTGGGCTGCGAGCTACTCTAACTTACTCTATTGTAGGAATCTCCCCGCGTCCCATGTGATGGCTACGGAGCGGCTACTGCATGAATGCAGGAATGCGAACAAGCAGCTACTTGGACATGGTGAAAAGCTCATCACACCATGAACCTCGGTCGTGTGCGCGTTTGAGTCTCGGAGGGGCAGAAACGGGTCTTAATCATTTTGAACATTCCACCCGTTCTTTCCTGTAACTTACAGTAATGGAGTGCGGCGGACCACCGGTGCTGCGCCGCACATATAGTAAAGGTGAAACACTACAGTACGGAGTACAGGTGTGAATGAATAGTGGAGCATTGTAAAGTAAGGGAGAGCTGGTCGAGCTGGCCATCGTTGTTCCCGAACCCAGCCAAAGGGTTGCCGCATGGCTATGTATGGGTCGCTGCTTGCGACCCATACATAGGCTGCTTATTATATCATACGTACTCCGTACATAATCATATAATCATACTATCAATAGCTGGGACCCATGCCGTGCAACAAAACAGTAGTACAGTGGTAGGAGTTACCCAGCTGGCTAGTGAGACTTTGCCCTTGCGCCGCAGGCTACAGTTTGTCAGTTTCAGTAGTGGTAGGTAGTAGTAGTGTGTTGGTGGTAGTGCAGAGTCAAGGAATGCGATGGGCTCGTTGCAAATCCCCAGACGCTTCGTGTTTGGCTGGATGCGCCAGCAAATCGGTCTAACAGATTACCACTGTATCAAATAGCAGCGGCGGCAGATCATGGCGACGCGCCCAGAGAGCAGACATGTGGAGGCGCACATGTATGTCCACGTCATGGTTCAATGTTCAGTGGCATCTGAGCCATCGGATCTGATTATCGTCAAACCACCACCCCACATCTCGCACAGTATGTGTTGGAAGTAAGTCATGTTCAGCTGAGCTGGAGGGGCAAAAATGCGGCCCTCACCGCCTACCCCAAAACCGACCAGGCCCCGGCCGGCGGTGACTGGCATCTCTGCCTGCATTGCATGACCGCCTAAATGCTGCATTTCTGACTCTCGCGGTTTCGCAAACCACGAAACGGTGGCTGGCTAAGGTACCGAGTACGCAGTTCACGACTTGCACTTGCTGCAGGATGCTGCATCGAGGCTAAAAAGAAGCACAGTTCCTGCACCACTCATCGGTTTGCGCCTCTTTCGAGGGGGGACGGAGGGGGGAACGCGGGCTGACGACGCTGACGACGCTGACGACGCTGACGGCGGCATCATCGGTGCAATCTGACTTGTTTCTCGTTTCTCGGCGAGGGCTGGGTGGCGCAACCGCTGGCGCTGGGATTTCTTCGTGTGTCTGCAGTTTGGTGGTGCTTACGTCGTGCGGAAGATGGGGATTACTCCACGAACCCAGATATATCCATCCACATGTACTCTGCCGTATCGTTACCCCCTTTACACCTTACACCTTCCCCAACCATACCACACCGAGGCTTACTGAGTCTGGAATGTGGGGTGAGCTTCGTCCCACCACCCCTCCATCTCCGGCTGTAGAAAAACCATGCAGGTCATTCTCATCATACCCCGAGATTTCGTGAACGGCTCGGCCCCGAGTTCTTTTTTCTTTTCTTTCCCCCCTGCTCCTTTTTTTCCCTTGGTGCTTGTGGGGCTTGTGGGAGCACGGGCTGGACCAAACTTAGAGCACAGCGCCACGATCGCCATAAATGGAGATTACTGTACGCTTCAGGACAAGGACACGGGTCTCGGCGGTGGTGGTTGGAGCGCCCGCCAGCCCGGCCAGCCAGCCAGCGACCAGCCAGCCAGCGACCAGCCAGCCAGCGAACAAACTTCCCAGCCGCCCAACGCGCTATTGCCTATGGTGGCTTGTGATGAGCGAGAGGAATGAATGTGTGAGCGCCAGAGCCAACGCCAGCGCCAGCAGGCTTAGGACCAAGGATATTATTATAACATGCAAGGAGATGCAACGATGCATGCATGCATTACTCCGTATAATACTCCGTACGTTCCCCACTGCTCGTTCGTGCAACCCACCTTTGGACAACACCCTTGCTTGCTGCGGCTTGTGTGGTGCTGGGCATGAAACCTCCATGTCCATCGTAAATATCCCAGGAGTTGTTATGGCACTCACTCTCCCTTCCCTTCCTGTACACCACCGCCGCCCCGCTAGGTTGCTGAAGCCGTCCGTCTCCATTCATGCGATCGCTGTTCGTTGTTTGACACTATGGATGGTGTACAGTCACCTAACTTACCCCGCCGTTCGTACTTGTATCACTATACAGGTCAGACAGGAGAGTAGCAGTACAGTACTTCGTACAGGGCGAGTACCACGGTCCTCCTTCTTCCCTATTCCCTCTTCCCTCCAGGGCGACTACCACGGTCCTCCCTCTTCCCTTCCCTCTTCCCTCTTCCCTCTTCCCTCTTCCCTTCCCTCTTCCCTCTTCCCTCTTCCCTTTCCCTCTTCCCTCTTCCCTCCCTTGTAATATGATGTGCAATGATGTGCATCACCCGGCCAGACCAGCCAGACAAAAGACCAGCAGTTTCGTGTTTGGTTTGTGCGAGTCAGCGACTGAGAGACTGGGCGAGGTTTTCCTTGGTATTGCCTATAGTACGCGTCTCCTGCTTCTGGATCTCGTATTTGACGGTCGACCGGTCTCGGAAGACAAAGAGCAGGAAGGGTGTCTTCGTTGTGAACTGCCACATCTGTCCAACATCCGACGTGGTTGTGGCTTTGGTTGGTACTTCTGTGGCTTTGCCATGGCTTTATTTATCGCTGTGGCGGGGTTGTTTATCAGGCGGGGAGCTCTGGCATTCTCAGCCTTGCGGGTTGTGACCTCGCTATTGGCTAGTGGCTTGGGACGCCTCGAATGCCACCCGACGATCTGATATTGAATTTTGAAGCTTCAAGATCTGGGAGTAGGTGAGTGAGGTAAACTCTGTGCGTGAACTCCCTTTGTATGTTTAGTGACTTGTAGATAGCTTCAAGAATGCCCATTCCTGCTTCCTTTATTCCTCCCTGACCAGGAATTCGCTAAGAGCGGGATATTCGTGCAAGGCTTTCCTTTCAGTGCAGGGTGCTGCGTCATCAGAGCGCAACATATATATATCAGCAATTATACCAGCAAAAAAGAGCTGAAGGAGCAACTCCCCTCGGATATCGAATTGCCCCATTGCAGAATGTGCGCGTGCTGCCCGTAGCCATCATGTCCAACGCTGAGATCCCTCGTCGCGATGCCCGAGGGCGAGCCACGGGGCATTTACATCCAGCGCACAGCGAGGAGGTGAGCGCGTCTTTGTTCTGTTCTAGCAATACTCCTGCAGCTTGGAGTGTATCCTGCTGTATGGAGCTGCCTATCAATTAACAGCCCAGCTAACACTACCTACAGCTCCACTACTCCAGTGACGACGACTCCCAGCACCCACTCGAGGTTCGCAATTCCCCATCATGCCCCCATAAACAGGCGCATCAAGTCTAACAAAGGATCCGCAACAGGTAGTCTTCAATGGAGAGAAAATGCACCGCCGCAAATCCTCCCTCGTCGCCAGCGACCCCCAACTCCACAGGCGCACCGCATGCTTCGTGCACGCCCTCCTCGACGACCAACACGACGACGAGCACCACCACAACGGCCACCTGGACGGCATCGCCGAGGCCACGCCTCCCAATCAGCCACAGGAGCCGAAGCAGGAAGGCGACGAGGAGATAGTCGATCCCAAGCTTGTTCCTCCCCAGGTAGAGCTTCACGAACCTAGTCCGACACCTCCGAGCGTCTCGTCGCCAGGGACGCACACCCCCGGCCAGCCCGACGAGCAGCTCTGGAAGACGACGCAGTCGCGGCCTTCGATATGCGAGAACATAGCCGTGGATGCGAAAACAGCAGATGCCAAGGCGGCGGAGCTGTTGGCGGACGCGGTGTCGCATTCGCGGCTGCTGACGAAGAAGCAGTTGAGCGATATGGCGTGGGGGGTGCGGGAGCTGAGTAAGAGGCTTGGGAGCGTGAATCTCAAGTTTAAGGTGAAGAGCGTGTTTATACTTACGAAGGCGCATGATGAGTCGTTGGTGGGGAATACGAGGGAATTGGCGAGGTGGCTGTTGAGTAAGGATAGGGAGGTCGAGTATGTGGTGTATGTGGAGGATCGGTTGCGGGGGAATAAGAATTTTGGGGCTGATACGCTGGGGGAGGAGCTGGATGAGGCGGGTGGGATGAGGGCGCCGAAGCCTAGTCGGTTGAGGTATTGGACTGAGGAGATGTGTCGGTCGCGGCCGCAGACGTTCGACTTCATCATCACGCTTGGAGGGGACGGTACGGTCTTATACGCGAGCTGGTTATTCCAGCGTATCGTCCCGCCGGTCCTGAGTTTTGCGCTCGGAAGCTTAGGGTTCCTGACGAAATTCGACTTTGACGATTTCAAGGGGACGCTGACTACGGCGTTTGGAGATGGCATCAAGGTGTCGCTGCGGCTACGGTTCGAAGTCACAGTCATGAGACGCCAGAAGGGGAAGAAGAGGTTAATTCGACATGATAGTGACGACACGACCGAGGTTGTAGCTGCAGACGGGGATGATGATGAGGATTTCTCCCATCGTGACCTCGTAGAGGAGCTAGTCGGCGAGGAGAAGGATGACGAGAGGGCACACAGACCAGATGGGACCTACGAAATCCTCAACGACATCGTCGTCGACCGCGGCCCCAACCCAAGTAAGCCCCCCCCCCCAAAAAAAACATTTCCCCTCCCAATCAACCAAGCTAACCCCCACCACAGCCATGTCCTCCGTCGAGCTCTTCGGCGACGACGAGCACCTAACCTCCATCCAAGCCGATGGCGTCTGCGTCGCCACCCCCACCGGCAGCACAGCCTACAACCTCGCCGCCGGCGGCTCCCTCTGCCACCCCGAGAACCCCGTCATCCTGCTCACCGCCATCTGCGCACACACCCTCTCCTTCCGTCCCATCATCCTCCCAGACACGATCGTGCTGCGCGTCGGGGTGCCGTTTGACGCGCGGACGACGAGCTGGGCGAGCTTTGATGGCAGAGAGAGGGTGGAGCTGAGGGCGGGGGATTATGTCACGGTTAGTGCGAGTCGGTACCCGTTTGCGAATGTGATGCCTAGTGGGAAGAGGAGCGAGGATTGGATTAATAGTATTAGGGCGAAGTTGGGGTGGAATACGAGGACGAGGCAGAAGGCGTTTGATAAGAAGTGAAGAGGGGGATTATGGGGGGGGTAGATATGGGGGGTATGGGAGGATATATTTCGGGGGGGGGTTGTGGTGAAGCGCTTTGGGTTTTATGTGTAGCGTGATAAGAAATTTAGGATGTGTTTTCTTATTTGTAAGGGGTAATAAAATATCAGAGCAGTTGATAAATATTTATTGTTTCTTTACTGAAACCGCCAGGAAATATGAAGGGCTATAAAATATACAAAATACAACTAATATTTGTAATATATTATTTGATACATAAAAAGGTAAATAAACCAAGACACGCCATTACACCAAGCATATATTCCCCCCTCCTCCTCCCCCTCCTCCTCCCCTTCGTCTCAAGACTCAAATGCTGCCCATTGATATAGCAATCAATTCTCGTACCCACATCCCTCAGCGGAACATGCAATCGCCCTGGCATCATCTCCCCAAACCCATCAACCTCCAAGAACAGCACTGCCCCTTCCTCACACGCCTCCCTACCAGCCACCACAACCAGGTAACAATTATTCTTCTCCTCCCCCGGATCGCAGGGTTAGCACAAATAATCATAATAATCACGAGTATTGTGCACCGGCGCCGTAGGTGCCGGTTTGCGACTCTGCCTGCCGTAAGTGGTCATGTGATTTGGCGTTACATCACGTGATCTACGACACGTAACCCCTCCACAGTTCCACTTTCCTATAAGTTAACAACAACGGTGAAGATGTCCGCCCCCGCCCCCACCACTGAGGCTTCTGGCCTCAATGAGGCTTCTCGTGGTAAGTAAACCCCTTTCCTTTTGTTATTTGAATTGATTACTGTATGCTAACTTGTGAATAGAAGAAGAAGCTCCTGCTTCCCGCTCCCGCTACCACGACCACCACCACGATGACCCCGACCCTGACTCCGACGACTCTGAATCTGCCTAAGGCTGGCGCTGCACCAACAGCCAACGGTAAGTCCTTCCCCCCTCCGATTGATAGATTGATACTAACGACTGGATAGATGAGCCTACGGGCGCCTCTCCGCCGGCCCTGACCTCCCCCGCAACCTCCAACACGGCCGCGTCTGTGCCTCCTGGCCCTGTGCGTGCCTCCTCAGCGATCGAATGCGGTGGGCCCGTCCCCCGCGACGCCCGCATGCCCGGCTACGGCCATAAGTAAGTAACACCATTCCCCCGTCCGTAAACCGTCTGTAAACCGTGTAGATTGATACTAACAGTAAGTATAGGTCGCCCGCAGGGCCTGGTGCTCGACTCCCTGACTCCCAGCCAGCAGATGGCACTGCAGCTGCTGCGCTCTGCCCTCCTAGAGGAACCCCGTCGCTCCCGCGCCCTCGCAGCTGTCCTCGCCCTCCCTGACGCCCGCCACTTGGAATTTCGCGCCCTCGACTCCTCCGACCCGCCGAACCTCGTGAGGATGCAGAACCTCGAGGCGGCCGTAGGGTTTATAGTTGGCGAGCTTGTCCACGGCCATGTACCGACTGCGCGGCCGGATACGGCCAGTTTGCGGGGTGTGTCTGGGTGGAGGGACTCCTCCATGAGAGCTGCACCAACTGCCACTTCGGTGGCGAAGGCGCGCGCTGCTCGCTCCGTGGTAAGTTTTCTCTCTCCCTCTTGTTTTGGTTTCTGTACTAACATGGATGGAGTAGCTTCTGCGGTCCCATCGGCGCCCGGTACGGGTAGTCCTTCGGGACGTTTCACTAAGTCCCCTCCCTCCCTTGTTGTTTGCGGTCCGTAACTAACTTGTAGAAGGTCTACGTGCTCGGCGCCCTGCTGCGTCAGCCGCCTCATGCGCCACCGAGGCGCTTACGGGTGGGGTGGGCCGTGGCCTAAAGCGGCCCCCCAGCTGAAAGATCCGCGCCCGTCCCGCCATGCCCGAACGTCGTCACCCGCTCGCGCTGCTGCCTCCCGCGCGCCTCCCACCCGCCGCCCCGATGACCCCTGCTATGTTGGGAATGAGGAGCACCCCACCCACACCCTCCATGCCTGGATCGATCGTTTCCGGGCTGCAAGCCCGGTGTAATGGTGGGTGCACCAGATGTGAGAATCTAGCCACCCAAGGAAGGGATGATTTTACTAAGACAACACACTGTCTTGGGAAAAAGAGCCAAAGGGTCATAGCTTAGACTATTCCACAACGTAGCAATCAGGTGTATGATGTAGTGGAGTGGTTTAGACAAGTTGTAACAAATGTTGAGTCTGAGAACTCAGGGATAAGTCAGAGGTTAGCACCTCACTGACTTTTCAAAAACAAGAAGTAACAAGATCAATGCTTGGAAGCTTGGAAAAGACGTGGAAGTATGTGATAGTCGATTTACTGTATTGTCTGCTTGCCCTTTCTTAAGGAAAGGGCAATCCTATTTATGCTACAGGAGTGTAGTTCTCTCATTTTCCAAGACTTTCCATGACTAACCAGGCTTGGTAACTGTAGTCGATGTAAGAGAATCCCATAGAACCATCTCCTAGTGTCATACTGACATTCGTTGCACTCAGTTTGCTATCAAACTCAAGAGCAAACTTGGAAATCTCCTCCTCAAACCTACAAGTCACTATACATATTTTGGCTTATCACACCAACAACAAGAGCAATACTACTCAACGATTGCTACAACCATCTATGATTCATTACACGTCATCGCTCCTTAGTTACTGGGCCGATATTACCACATAGCATATCTCTACAACCCTCTATGATTCATTACATGACATCACTCATATTACCACATGACATATCTCTACCAACTAGAGGCCTAGGAGCATGAACGATAGCTCTAAAAGCTCCTACGAACCTCTATGATTCATTACATGTCATCGCTCTTTAGTTACCCACAAGATTGGTTAAGTTATGACATAATTTGTCTGTGACATAATTTGTCTATGACATAATTTGTCTATAGGGGTACTCTGACCTTGGACCTCCTTTTACTTCCTATAGGCTACGAACCTAAGAGATGGTTCTATGGGATTCTCTTACATCGACTACAGTTACCAAGCCTGGTAAGTCATGGAAAGTCTTGGAAAATGAGAGAACTACATTCCTTTAGCATAAATAGGATTGCCCTTTCCTTAAGAAAGGGCAAGCAGACAATACAGTAAATCGACTATCACATACTTCCACATCTTTTCCAAGCTTCCAAGCATTGATCTTGTTACTCCTTGTTTCTGAAAAGTCAGCGAGGTGTTAACCCCTGACTTACCCCTGAGTTCCCAGACTCAACATTTGTTGCAACTTGTCTGAACCACTTCACTACATCACACACCTGATTGCTGGGTTGTGGAATAGTCTAAGCTACGACCCTTTGGCTCTGTTTTCTAAGACAGTGTGTTGTCTTAGTAAATTCATCCCTTCCTTGGGTGGCTAGATTCTCACATCTGGTGCACCCACCATTACAAGATGCAACCAAGACAAGTGCGTTTTTTGCGAACAAGGGCTATGAACCAAGAATGAGCTTCGATACAGAGCAGCAATCATATCACGAAGCCAAACAAGAGCACAAGAACATAGCTCAGACCATGGCAAAGGTTTGGGAGTTTCTGCAGGATGAAATCACGCTCTCGCAAGCAAAAATGGAACATTTCGCGAACAAGAAAAGGAAACCTGCACCACGCTATCAAGTGGGAGACAGAGTATGGCTTTCAACTCGAAATATAAAGACACAGAGGCCATCAAAGAAGCTAGACCACAAGCAAGTGGGACCTTTTGAAATTCTAGAGCGAATTGGGCAAGTTGCATATCGGCTCAAACTTCCAAACAGCATGAAGATTCATCCAGTATTTCATGCCAATCTATTAAGACTTGACTCGAATGATGCAATCGAAGGGCAGCAACAGGAGCCAGAGCCTCCAGTCATTGTCAATGGCGAAGAGGAGTGGGAAGTGGATGAAATCCTCGACTCAAAAGTTATTCGAAAGAAGCTTTTCTACAAGGCAGCTTGGAAGAACTATCCACCGGATGAGACATGGTATACTGCAGAGAGCTTTGAAAATTCTCCAGAAGTTACCCAAGCATATCACAGAAAATACCCTCAGAAACCAAAATGAGAGCTGGAGACAATTGTTTTTTTTTTAAAAAATGGGATTTCTTGATCAGGAGATCAACTCTGGAGTAGGGGGGGGGTAGTGTTACAATATCAAGTGCGCCTTGCAGCTCGAGTGGGGGTTCAGGGGTGTGGGGAGCTTTCCGGGGTTGGAGCGAAGTTTTCAGTTGTGGAGTGAATTCTCAGAACTGGTCTCGCTAAAGAGAATTCACTCCACAACAACATAGCTGTATATAGATCGAGCCACTGCTCGAGTGCTCCTCTTCTCTTTCCTTTCTTCTCTAGATTGAGTTTAATTCATAATACCCAACTGGCGCCCTATGCCTTGGTGAACTGTGACAGGAGTGATGTCATGTAATGAATCATAGAGGGTTGTAGAGATATGCTATGTGGTCATATCGGCCCAGTAACTAAGGAGCAATGACGTGTAATGAATCATAGAGGGTTGTAGCAATCGTTGAGTAGTATTGCTCTTGTTGTTGGTGTGACAAGCCAAAATATGTATAGTGACTTGTAGGTTTGAGGAGGAGATTTCTAAGTTTGCTCATGAGTTTGATAGCAAACTGAGTGCAACGAATGTCAGTATGACATGAAGGTCTAGTAGTTGTGATATGTCTTCTAGACAAAAAGACTTGATCACCAACTTTGAATTGTGGTGCAACCACCCCCCTGTTAAAAGCCTGAGCCTGCTCGTCTTGTGCACGCTGTATTTGGACCTTGAGATAGTCCTGGAGGCCCTTAATGTTACGATGGTCATAGAGGTCATGATGCCAGTCTAGGAAAAGTAATCTAGATTGAATCTAAAGAGAGAAGAAGAAGAAGAAGGAAGGAAGGTGAGGCTATTCCTCATAACATACAGTTGTCTGCTTAGCGGTTGTAACCTTGGTGGCTAAGGCTACACCCGTAATCCCCATAACAACCGTAACAACTGTAACTGTGAGCTGTAATCGTAACAGACGGGGCAACCGCCGTTTGTCCTGAGGAGGGCCATGTCCGAGCCAGCCCCGACGACAAGCAATAGAAGCTTGTTGTCATTTGGGGGACACACCCTTGCGTGGGGAGTGGGGGTTTACAGCCCGTTCTCATATGAGAACAGGGGGAGTTTCTAGATTGGGCTTGGGCAGGTCACGTGGGATGGAACTGGGTATATAGAATTTATTTAGGGCAAAAGTTTTATATACCTGGTAAGTTCATAAATAAGTTTTATATACCATGGTGATTCTTACTAAGCAGGAAACCACTCAACGCGCTCGGCGCATTGCCTCCCTCCCTCGCGTTGCCTCCCTCACGGTTGCTCCCCCTCGCCGTCGCCCTCCTCGCTGTCCCAGCTGACTCGCTAGCCGCTGCCCTCACTGAGGCACTCGACGACTCTTCGGAAGCCCTCGTCGCGAGGCATCGGAAGTCCTGAGCTCGGCTCAGTGTAATGGTGGGTGCACCAGATGTGAGAATCTAGCCACCCAAGGAAGGGATGAATTTACTAAGACAACACACTGTCTTAGAAAACAGAGCCAAAGGGTCGTAGCTTAGACTATTCCACAACCCAGCAATCAGGTGTGTGATGTAGTGAAGTGGTTCAGACAAGTTGCAACAAATGTTGAGTCTGGGAACTCAGGGGTAAGTCAGAGGTTAACACCTCACTGACTTTTCAGAAACAAGGAGTAACAAGATGAATGCTTGGAAGCTTGGAAAAGACGTGGAAGTATGTGATAGTCGATTTACTGTATTGCCTGCTTGCCCTTTCTTAAGGAAAGGGCAATCCTATTTATGCTAAAGGAGTGTAGTTCTCTCATTTTCCAAGACTTTCCATGATTACCAGGCTTGGTAACTGTAGTCGACGTAAGAGAATCCCATAGAACCATCTCTTAGGTTCGTAGCCTATAGGAAGTAAAAGGAGGTCCAAGGTCAGAGTACCCCTATAGACAAATTATGTCATAGACAAATTATGTCATAGACAAATTATGTCATAACTTAACCAATCTTGTGGGTAACTAAAGAGCGATGACATGTAATGAATCATAGAGGTTCGTAGGAGCTTTTAGAGCTATCGTTCATGCTCCTAGGCCTCTAGTTGGTAGAGATATGTCATGTGGTAGTATGAGTGATGTCATGTAATGAATCATAGAGGGTTGTAGAGATATGCTATGTGGTAATATCGGCCCAGTAACTAAGGAGCGATGACGTGTAATGAATCATAGATGGTTGTAGCAATCGTCGAGTAGTATTGCTCTTGTTGTTGGTGTGATAAGCCAAAATATGTATAGTGACTTGTAGGTTTGAGGAGGAGATTTCCAAGTTTGCTCTTGAGTTTGATAGCAAACTGAGTGCAACGAATGTCAGTATGACACTCAGGCCCACGAGGATGGCTTCTCTTGGCGAGCTAACCGTTCCTATGAACGGTCAGCTCTACCTCGACCTAGACGCCTGGTCGAGAGTCCTTAACGACTGGGCCGAATGAGGCCGTCGAAAGGAGCGACGGCGAGGGGGCTACGGGAGGCTACGGGGGGGGAATTGGGGGGTTTTTACTGGTCGCAGGGGGTTTCATATTATGTAGGGTATATAAAACTTATCACGTCAAATGCAGGGTATATAAAACTTGTCCCCATTTATTTATTGTTTTACTGGGTATATGGAGTTTTTGCCCAAGTTATTATTAAAGGTTTGAATTTTGCTATATAAATTTTTAGTATAGTAAATCTAAAACTGCTAATAACTTCTTTAATATATTAGCTTATAACCTAGTGTCTTTAAGTATAATGTATATATATACAAAGCTTATGAATACAAAAGCATTAAACTTTATAAAGCTCCCTTCAAAAGTTATTAATGGTTATAATATTTGTCACATGATGTGAATTTGCCTTTAAACACCACTACCCCCGTTACGCCATGACCTACGTACGGTAAACTCCTATAATAGCTTCAGGGTAAACTCCTATAATAGCTTCAGGGTAAACTCCTATAATAGCTTCAGCCCGTAAAGTCCCAAAACATTCTTGCTCCAGATAATCATCGAAGATATCACAGATAAAATACATAGAATTAAATATCTATCTCTAGAAATTATTCTTCATCTCCCTCAACCTCTCCATCACCTTAACCGGCTCCGTCTGCCCCGTCGCCTTCTGGATCTCCGCATCCCCCAACATCATAAACACATTATGCTTCTTCTCATCCGCAATCGTCCACTTCCCCGTCGTCTGCTCATTCGCCCCCGCCACCTTCACCAGCTCCGCCACACCCTTACTCTTACTCACGCTCTCCCCAAACCTCGCATTGGCCTTGGTATACTCGTGCCCCGGGTACACCTTCGTATCATCCGGCAGCGAGCCAAGAGTCTTGTTCAGCGCCTTGTCCATCTCCTCCGCCGACCCCTCGAAGAACCGCCCGCATCCGCCGTGGAATAGTGTGTCCCCTGTGAACACGACCTTCTGATCCCCGTCTTGCATAAACCAGCAGATGCTGTCTTGGGTGTGGCAGGGGGTGTGTAGGGCCTCGACGACGATGGAGCCAAAGGAGAAACCGGTGTTGTGCGCGGGGGTCTTGGTGACGGCGTCGGAGTCTTTGCCGCCGATTACGGGGAGCTTCTTGTCGGCGTATTCAGCGAGCTGGGGCTGGAGTTAGTATAGATTGTGGAAAGATGGGAGGGGGATAGCGTACAATCTTGCGGTTTCCACCGGCGTGGTCGTCGTGGCTGGATGGTGGTGTCAGAATGGAGTGAGCTGGTCGAGGTGATGGGCACTTACTGGTGGGTGTTGATGATTGCAGTGAGGTTGATCTCTCCGGACTTCACAAGAGGGCTCAGAGTAGGGATCACACTGTAATATCAGAGTCAGCACTGCCCCATTGAAAGATTGGGAAGCTGTCGGCTTACTCCTCGATGTATGCGGGGTCAATAATGACAGAGTCTTTGGTTTTTTCGTCGATAACAAGGTACGCATAGTTGTCGCCCTTCCCCCAAGCTGCAACTTATCAGACCGTATTCTATGGATATGGAACATTGGACAATGTCCGGAGTCTTACACATTGGAATTGTCTTGATATGCATGGCGCGTTTATGCGGAGACTGGTATGGGCGTAAGTTTGCTTCTCGGATCTGAATGAGAGTCACAGTCAAAACTTACATTATTGGAGAATACTCGAGCGGTACGATAGATAGGCGGTATCCGTATCACTGGGAGTCGCATGGGGGGAGTGTGAGGTTGTATTTCTATTTACTCTGGGAGCGAAGCTCGCCATTAGGACGTCATTAACCTCGGAAGGCATTGGTAATCTATCGTTATCACGTGCCCTCCTTTGCCCTTTTGCCAGATTCTATAATATTCCCACTACAGTAATCAATGCACGTCTTATCATATGGAAAGGAGTCTATTCAATCCATTTAAGATATAGCTCTCCATTAATACAAGTGAGGAGGCAAGCCTTCTCCAAATGCTTCCCAGACGAGGAGGTTTTGTCGGACGTCCTGGCAAATGCTATCCCAATCGCCGTATCGTACAGACGAAACCAACCCGCATAACCAAAGTCCTTTTTCTCACTGACCCTCGTTGGCAAGACGTTGCAAGACAGGTACTGAACTTGGTGGTACAATGCCTAGCTCTGTAACAATCATGGTGATATAGTCCGCTGGAGTCACATCGTGCAGTAGATTTAGCAGCTGCAGGTTCTTCACATCCCGCCATCCATGTAACATTCCCGCCGGAGGCTTTGTTGAGGGTATGAGTAGTTCGTCTGGGTCTGCCACCTCGTTGAAAACGATCGAGTCCAAGGCAACTCTCTCCGTGCACTTGACGCTCTCACAGAGCACAATAACTGGGACGTCGTAATCCTTTGCTTCCATGGCGATTTGAGACGTGCCAATCCGACTGTAGAGCACACCGTTACTCATCATGGCATGTGCACCCAGGAGAACTTTGGTGACCTCTTTCATGACATGGCTGACGCCGTTCATAAGGCAGTACTTGACATCCAAGCCAAAGTTAATAAGGGCCTTTGCTAGTGCTTTGCCTTCGAACAATGGCCGCGAGTCAACAACGATCACCCTAAACCGACGGCCATCGCTATGCGCCTGTACCAGTGCCTGTTGAACAACGCTGCTCTTGGCGTATGTGAGGATAACATCTCCATCCTTGATGCATTGGTTGGATGCGCTCTTGGCGATGACAGCGTCTGCGAGCGTGACACGGTCACGGATATACTCGTCGATATCCGCGCACAGTGACTCCTTGGCTTCGGCATCCGGCTCATCAGGGTCGACCTTTGCGATCTTAAGCTTGAGCCAGCGGATTGCGGTTCCCATGGAAATTGACATGGGCCGACATGAGGTCAGGTATTCGATTTGTGGTGACAGAACGTGTGTGCTCATGTGCCGTGTCAGGGTGGTTCCAGGAGGGGTTGTGTATGAATTAATAACCTGTAAGAATATTAGAAAAGTTCGGAAAAGAGAGAATCTTTATATACGCACTCTCTTGAACGCCCGTAATGTTGCTACAAGACGCGCATTGCTGCCGCAAATAACATAGTTGCTCATTTGCTGCCCAAGAGATAAGACTGCCGGGTGGACATCCTTTGCTCCAGCGATTGTCTTCGCCCTCGGCTTGTATAAGTGACGGAACAGTTCGACGGTCTTGTCTTCCGCAGGGGGTTCCGCTGGCGCATTATTCTGTTGTTGAGATGATCGAGCTGCTGCGTTCTTCGAGTCGCCAGCAGTGGACGGGGCGCGCTTATGCTGCCCTTTGCCAGATTCTTTCCCTCCCTTCGGTGCAGCCTTATTTCCTTGAGGCGACAGGATAGCTCCCGCTGGCCCAACTGGCGCACCTGGTGCTGCCCCACCTTGTCTGTTCTGTATCACCTGTTGTCGTTTCGCAGCCTTTTCTGCCTTCTTTTGTGCTTTCAATTCCAAGGCTGTCAACTTCACAGCTCCATCGCCCGATGGCACAGTTGTCGCGGCCGCAGTGGGAGGTGCACCATTGGCATTCGCGTTGTCGACGCTCGTTGTGGCTGGAACGGACGCCTTCTCCTGGACAGGGAGGTCCGCAGATGCAGTTGTGGACTGCATGGCAGTCCTTGTTTCCCTCAAGAGAATAGATGTAGATTTGAGTGATTTTATGTACGCTATTGAACGACTGTAGTCAATCTAAATATGTTGCGCGCTCGAGCCCTGCGACTGGATAGTTTATGAATCACACTGTCCCACAATCATGGATTGGCGTATATTCGGTCGTAAGGGGTCAATTTGAAGAGTTCAATAATATTAATCCCGCAGATAATGCGGTATGATGTTGAGTAAATATACAAACTCGTTGCGCGGGGTGATTGTGTCGCGGTTTTGGTTTTTGGGTGAAATATTCTGTCTTCAGATATCAATATGTTAGCCGCGATAAGCGCCCACTGACACTTTTCGTTGCTAGAGTCACTTCGAATGCTCGCCACATGCTGATTCTACAGCGTATATATGCCAAATAATGGAGGAATTATATCCTTATAGTACAGCCTTGGTTATTTTTAAATGTTTATTTGATTGGATTTTCGCAACCGTTGTGTACAGGATCTATACACCACATCCTCCTCCCATTCATCCGCAATCCCAAGCTACCCCAAGCAACCCTAATGCCCATCGTCGCAACTATAACCCCCTAGCAATATAGCCCCTAAAGATAAATGTAGCTATGCTCGTATAATGGTCATATCCATGGACCAATTCCCCGGGGTGGTTGGCGCTGAACATGCCATCTGGACTCTTCCCACTACTGCTCCCCAGCTGCTTCCCTCTCAGCCCTCCGTTGTCTCTTCTCGAGCAGGCTTGTCCTCCGGGCGGCCAAAATGGTGTGCTGTCTCTCCTCAACTCCGCTCAACCAGTATCCGAAGCTTGCTCCAACGCCGGCAAAGATTGGGTATCCAAGCATCGATTGCTTAGAGAAGAACGGGCGCATCTCAATGCCTAGTTGCCAAGCACGGACGGCAATTCCTAAATGTGAATATCGTTAGCTTTCAGTCGTAGCAAGGCAGCGATATGGCTGTCAATTGAACATGGTTGGACAGAGACATACCGAAACCACCCCAGAAGATTGCTTTGTGGACCATTTTGCCGGTTTTATGAGCGAGTATGTTCGTATTGGTCTATTCAATGCTGCTTTTCACAACTTGGAGGAGATATTGTTTTGTTTTGTCCGCAATAGCCGGGGAGAAAGGGCGATTGAGGTAGGTTATCTGTTCCGATACTGTGAGGAACCGAGTGTCGTTGGGGGTGGTGATTGAATTTGGAGGCGCCGATCGCCGAGCTTTAGCGTACTTACCCTTGACTACAACGAGAGCCGCTGTCGCGACCTGGGAAACGTTCCTACAAATTTACGAAAGCAAACAATACACCACATAATGGGTTAATCAAACATATTTATTGACGATTAATATTGTTTACACCCTTTGTTACAATGGCCGTCATGGATATCAATGTAACCCCCCCGACAAAGGCCGAAACTTTCGTTCCTGAGCGTCCAAGAAAGAAGATAAAGACTTCTGAACTCCCACTCTCCTCATCCACGAGAAGTGCTATTGAGTCACTTTCACATACTTTCAAGAAGAAGGGGAACTATGATGCACTTAGAAAGCAAGTCTGGGAGACTCTCCAAACGAGCGTGAGCATAACTTCACTCCGTGGATGAGGCTTAATACTGATTAATGTTCTTTTGTTCAGGACTTTGAAACAAAGTTAATCGACTCGATTACAAAGGTCGCGGAGAATGAGTTGGAGGTGAACCAGAGTCTTCTGTCAAGCAGTCGTGGCAAAGCAGCTATTCTGATAGAGGGTGTCATTGACCGCAGTGGGATATACCAGGAGGCTGAGGCGCATATCAAGAGACTACTTGAAGATCATGTGGGAACGATTGAAGAGGGGATACGGGCAATTCGACGTAACGATGTTGGTGAAGAAGCCGCAGCAGAAGAGGAAGCAAGAGGCAGTAAGACGGACGATCATTACGCCGAAGAGGCTGCCACCCGCCGACAAGAACGCGAAAAACTCAGAGAGGAGCTACGAGAAAAGGAGCGGGCCATCGCAGAAGAAAGGAGGAAACTCGAAAAGGCGCGAAAGAGAGAAGAGGAGCGAAAGAGAGAGGCCGAAGAAGACAAGCGACGAGAGGAGCGCGAGACAAGGCGCAAACTTGAGCGTGAATCAGACCGAGAACGGGAGCGCCTCAGAGGCGTTGGTGATTATAGTCGCGACAGATCTCGTGACGGAGGGCGCAGGAAACGGATGGATGATTCAAGAGATGAGCGCAAGCCTACCGCAAAGGCTAATCTGTCACGCGAAGAAGTCGACCGGCTCGAGCAGGAAGCACTTGCCATGCTTATGAAGGAGGGGAAACGAACATCGCAGCGATCCAGACATCAACTGGAGCCTGAAGTGGATGAAACCTTGGCTCCTCCCCCAAGGAAGGCCATGCCCGCTTCTGCAATCAAACCAATATCCCGCGATGCACAAACCAAGAAAGAGGCTAGTACGAAACCAAGTCAAAGTTCTGGCGGCGCTACCAAAAGTTCATCGCATGCCGCGGATGAGGTGGACGTAGATGGCAAGAAAAGAGCACGGGCAAGAAGTCGAAGCAGAGACCCTATCCACTCTCGTCGCGATAGTCGAGACAGAGGTGGCTATTCTCGACGCAGCAGCAGAGATCGTGATGATCACCGAAATAGGAGCAGAGACAGGGCTGATGCTAGAGATAAGGATAGATCTTCAAGGCGGGATAGCAGAGACCGTGATGATCGACGTCGACGCGACAGTCGAGACACTGAGGACCGACGAAGGCGTGACAGCAGGGAACGGAGCTCTAGAGACCATAGGGACCGAGATTCGCGCCGTGATCGAGATATATCCCGCGATCCCCGTGATGATCGAAGAAGCTATAGGGACCGAGACTTGGGCAGGGATAGTCGCTATCGTAGCCGAACGCCACCACGACGTGAATTTAAGACCGCAGAAGAGAAGAAGCAAGAAGCAGTTAAGCAGCGTGAGCTCGAGGCCAAAGCCTACCTGGCGGCCCAGCAAGAAGCCAGAGAAAAAGGCCTCCCGATCCCTGGACTCGACAAGCCCAAGTCGGATGCGTTCACACGGCCAAATTGGCGTAGTCGTGACGAGCTCCCAGATACTCGCAAGCGAGATGCCGACTCCGCGGGCTTAGGCTCTTCGAGCCTCCCAAGAAAGAGGGAGTCGAGCGCCAGAAGCCCGTCGCGGGCATCAAGCGTCAGGCGTGACAGAAGCCCCGCTGTCGTCTCGAGCCGAAGTCCGGTCATAAAGCGCGAAGCAAGCACCCTCCGCGATGCTGATCGTGATAAGGATAGAGACTCGCGCCGACATCGCAATTCTAGCCGCCGGCGGTCTAGGTCACGGAGCCGTAGCCGCACTCACCGCAGGGAGAGAAGTCGAGATACGGGCCGCGATAAGGACAGAGCTCGGAGTCGAAGCAGAAGCCGGAGCCGCCACAGGAGGAAGGAAGTCAGAAGGGATCGAAGCCGGAGCCGCGACCGTGATTCTACGAGGAGATACAGGAGTCGGAGCCGAAGCAGGGATCGGGATAGGGATGACAGGAGGTCGTCTCGCAGATACTAAGGGGAGATGTAACATTGATTGAATCACGGCTGATGAATTACGAATAGTGCCAGTGTTTGTATTAAATACTTGAAGGCTGTCATTGTAAGACTAGAACCTAATGCTAATAACAAGACGTCCGTTGAAAGGTGCATAGTGCCCTAACCCCCCGTGTGAACCAATTCTGATACTCCTCAAGGGTAAAAACCCAAACGCCGCGCTATGCAACCGTACAGAACCCAATAACCCGCCAATATCCTGGAATGTACTGTAATACCTAAACCATAACCATGCCCCCCGATGAGCCATGTACACTGGATTTCCTCCTACCCTCGTGCTGTCGTCCCGCTTGCCTTACATACGGCTTGATATGTATAGGCTCAACCAGCTCATAATCCGCTATTTCGTCAGCTTCCACTTCCGATGCTTCTCCGGAAGCATCATCTGAAGCCTTTTCTGAGGCCTTTTCGTCGTCAGCAGCAACTTCATTGTCTGACTGTGCGACTATTTCCGGTGCATTCTCGGCCACTACCTGGTCGTCTGATAGCGCGATTGATTCCGGAGCGCTCTCGGCCACTACTTGGTTGCCAGGCTGCGCAGCTGTTGCTGAGGAATCCTCCGTCACTGCTTGGTTGCTGGTAGTGCCCTTGGCAAGGAATTCGGGATGCTGTGAGTTTATGAAGGGCATGAATTCAGAAGGTTGAGTAGCTTCTTCAACAGTAGGCGAGGAGTCAGATTTTGCTACCACCAATGATGACGCCTCGACAAGATCGTAGAAGAGCATGAAGACACCACCTTGGTTGAGGACATTATCTTCACTTACTTGCGAAACGTCGTCGTCACTGAGTCGCCACCACTGGCTTCTCCTCGGGGTCTTCTCCTTTTCAAGTACTTCAACAGCCTCTTCCTCCGCCTCTTCTGCGGCTGGGTGCTTTCTATACGCAATATAGTGGCCATTTTCATGACGGCCGTAGTGCGTAACGACAGCGCGCAGCTCATAACTAGGACCACGGATCCTAGAACGCCTGCGCTGACTGGCAATCATTGACTCAGTCGGGTCAAGAAGCCATTCTTCGACACTGTCATCTGGCGCTTTGCCACTGCTCCCAAGACACCAGGGCCCAAGATCCAGCCTGTTCTGGAACTTGACCTCGGCGTAGTTCTTCTTCAGTTCTCCAGTCATCTCGTCAAACATGCTGCGATTGACGTGGATAACTAGTGACTTTGGCGGTCTGGCAATAACAGCTTGCCGCGACTTTGTCGTAGTCATACGGTTCTTAGGCGGGATTTTGCACTTTTGCGTCAACGTCTTATCCTCGTAGTCATCATCTTCGAGTACCTCTTCCACAACCCTTAACCGTTCCAATACCGACTGGTGCCCTGCGTTGTTTGTGGACAAATCCTGTTCCTTATCCGCGAGAATTTTCAACAACCGTTCTGTCCTCAGAAGTGTGCACTTTCCGCACTGAACACCTTCTATCGACTCCAGGTCCGTGTACTCGTCCAGGCATTGAGATATGTCGTAGCTCCAGGACTTGCCCAACGGCACCGTAAGACAGTTAAAGGGGATCATAGATAGGCCTTCCGAATAACCACAGCGAGTACAGCCGACCCGTTGAGCGAGAAGGCCTTCTAAGGGATTCCTGACGGTTGAGGTTGGCATTAATTCAGAGGGTGAAGATTTCTTCTCTTTTGCCACGGGTTCTGCCTGGTCTCTGGTCGTCAGCCCAGGAGAGTTGCTGATCTGTCCCATAGCCTTCTCTATCTCTTTGTCAATCTCATCAAGGACCTTGGAGAAGTACTCCTGCGCGTCTTGTTGTTGCCAGCTGCTCATCGACTTTAGAGCTGCTGGCGTCCATATCCGCTTTCCATTATTCGAGGGATCTTTTAGTCGGGCGATGAGGTCGCGTAACGAGTCTGCCATTTTCATCTCTGAATCATCCTTGGTTTGGTCCTTTTGGGAACCGGGTCCATTGAGGTAATTCGAGAACGAATCCAGCGACGCCAGCCCTTGGAGAACGCTATTCTGGTAGCAAGAATTATCCCAGTTCCCCAGGCCCGCCGGAATCCCCCCCTGCCCTTGTGCGACTAAGTTTATCGCGGATAGGCTCGAGAGCCTTCGTCGTCCAGCTTGCGCCACCGTCCCCACCGTCCCAAGTATTCTGTTCTGTCCGTCTAATCCCATGGCTCGTCGCATGATTTCCCTCTTTGCCGCATGGGTCCTGGGGACACGTCGAGGGTTTCCGCCGGCCGTATTTGCTCGAGTCTCTTTGTCAATGATATCGACGAGCCTCGAAGGTGTAAAGTGGATAATCCAGTTCCAGAACAGTTCCGGCAGAGACAGAAGGTTGTAGTCCAAGCTATAGAGTGTGCTGTATATGATAGCGCCGATAAGGATTATTATAGGTATTCCGATATTCAAATATTTCCGCCACTGGGATTCGTCGCCGTGGTAGTCTTGGTGGTATTCGTAGCTCAGTTCATCACCATATAAGTCGCGAAGCACTTTCTCGTGGAGACTCATCGTAACGCATGGGGGCTGTCTGTTCGGTATGCGCGTAATAAATATAGTTCTCTTGCCCGCTATCTAAAGCTGGATCTGAATATCTGGCCTTTTCTAGGGCCTAATGTTGCTATCGTGAATGCATAGAGTCAATGTGGAGAAGATGGTATGTCTCGAGGTCAAGTGGATGGATTAGAGTTGGATGGCATTCCAGATCGCCCTAGCGTCTATTGGCAATCTGCAACACTAAAACAATTTTGATAACGACAGAACGAAGTGGGGGAACAAAACATCCACTGAATAAAATCACAACGAATTTTTTCGAATATGGCGAAGTCAGCTCCACCAAAAAAGAAGATCGGTGGGTGCTTCTGTTTACTCTTGTAATGCCATTTTAACTGATATTTTTAGTTGCTTCCGTGCGCTCTCGCGCAGCAAAGCGAGCATCATCGCCCAGTATCGATACCGATAAGTCGCTCAAAGATGCCAAACCACCATCCGAGACAAAAACACCTGCAGTGCTAGGTATCCATCACGGTGCCGGCATTACCAAGAAGTCCAAGCATGGCAGGAAGGCAGTGTTGAGCGCGAGGGCCAAGCGGAGACAAGAGATCTCAATGGACAGAGCTGAGGCGGCAATGGACAAGAAGTCAACGAAGATTGAGAAGAGCAAGGATCGTGCCAGGACTATACAGGGCAGGAGCAAAACTTGGGATGAGCAGAACCGCAGGATGCTCGCCAGGAAGGAAATGGAAGCTGCGATCGCAATTGAGCGCGAGCAGGGCGGCGACTGGGTTGACAAATCTGGCGATGACGAGGCTGAGAAGACGACCACTGCTGCTCCTACTGATACTGGCGATATTCAGATGGATTTGTCTTCTGCCACAGCTGGTGCCATTGCAGCGGAAGAAGACGTGGAGGAAGAATTATGATCGCAACGAGATATGTTCTGGGATGGCTTTGGAGTATGGCGTTGGTGGGATAAAATTATACCATATCGAGAAGAATATCACGATGGCAAATAATGCTCTTTGACATTAGACAACTTTGAAATTAAAATATATGCTAACAAATATTCTGGACGGATACTCGTAGAGTACATGTAATAATATTTGTTTAATTCGCTCCAATACAGAACGGTACGGCCACTAAAAACGTTTCCATTGGCAGTGAAGACCGAATATAGAAGGGAAAAAACCCTTGGAAAATAGGAAAAAAAGTGTCATACTTTCTGGCTGCTATTTCTGGCTGCTCTTTGCTCTGTTTTGCCTTCGTTGTTCTTCACCGACAAGGCTGAACGAGGCTGAAAATCTATAATTCCAGGCCATTACTGGCTTCATCAGGATTCACCTCCATCACCCAGGGCACAACTACTCAGCGGCATGGTACAATATATCATTACCCCATGGCGCGACCGCGATGAGCTCATTAAAGTGCGGCAAGCCTTCTACCAGAAGCCCTCCAATGGAGGCCCACCCGACAAGGAAGCCTGGCAAAATGCCGTAGCCCTCGTTTCCGTCTGGGCACAACGAGGCAACTGCCCTCATCTAATAGAGTCTACTGCACTCTTAATATCAGCAAGCGTCAATGATAAACCAGGCAGTTCTGCATATGCCGTGCGGGCTGCCTATTCCGCTGCGTTCTGTCGGTGGGTTGGCGCGAGACCTCGTCGAAACACTATGGCTAATCGTACGCAGTTTCGTTACCGGACTTCTCGACGGATACCAAGATAAGAAGCACAAGCTTAGCATGTTTTCAATAGCAAAGAATATTGGACTCCCGGCAACGTTTGTGGAGTTGCGGCATCAGTGTACGCATGAAGAATTGCCGTCTTTGGGCAAGTTGCGCGGCGCTTGCGAGCGGTCTCTGGATTGGATATGGGGGCAATATTGGTCGAGTCTGGAAGGCAAAGATAAATCGTCGGGATTGGACGAAGAACCGGAAAGTGTCGAGGATTTGAGTATGGTTTTACAGGAATATATGGTGTGGAAAGAAGGCACAGGGAGTTCGGATGAAGGCCAACGATTATCCTTCGTGCGTAGGCTGAGGAAATGGAACACCGATCAGATCCTAGATACTCTTCATGAGTTCAGGGAACCTGGATCTGCAGATTCCGGCATAATGCTGAAATCGATCCGACTCACAAGGGGAATCTTACACGGCACGGCTGACCCGGACGCATTTCGCCCTGTGGAAGAAGAGGATGGTAGTGTGGGCAACGGCCAAGGCGAAGCATGTACGGGTTCTAACGCGGTAGAGCAAACCTCGAGCGGTCTTGATGACGATGACGAGGAAAACCTGGGCTGGAATCTTTGGGAAGGGCCCTGGACTCCGAAGCCTATTGGAACTGTATGATAGAACGTTTCCTTATATTAAAGATACCCGGCTTATGCCACAATGCTCAATGCACTCTTCACATCCTACTTACAGCAATATCGCCAGGAGTTTACTGTCACGGGTGTGCATTGGTTGCTGCACAAGTTCAAGGTGGTATTTTGGATCAGTGATGTTTTAAAAGCAATTGTATTGTTTTGCATGAGAATATCGCTAAAAGGCACCGAACACGATCCTCAAGAGATGAGGAAAGTAGATTGGCACGATCTAGCTATCACTATTGCTTCAGTGTCCACACTCGCTCGCTCTGGGAATGGAGGCGGCGGGCTCTAGCTTATAATGAAGAAGCGTATGGTTGCCCAAAGGGCGACAAACGTAAGGAAATAAGAAATTGCAGTAACAGTATACTTTGCCTACCATGCATAGATTCTCGTTGCAAGATCTCTACACGGGCATCTCGAGTATGCGAGTTTCGATGAAGAGAAAGCTTTCCTGTCAAGAGAACTTTCCTTTAATTTGCAACCGACACGCTAGTGCGTAGTGCTTGCATTAGCGCCTGGCGGGGCAGGAGGCTGGACGTGTGCTCTGGATCTTGAAGGAGCTCGAAATAAGTGCAGTAATTCGTAAGAACCAGTCGCAATTACAGTTTTCTAGATATTAGAATATATCGTGTACTTGTGAAGCTATTCTGATGCAGTTGCCTAAACTTTTGGCTCTGACTACAGAACCTGAGTGCCTTCTCTACGCTTCCTGGCGACTCGCCCTCGGTAGCGTCGCGTCGCGCTTTTGCCCAGTCGTAGTTGCGTCACAAAAGCTAATGCGAAAAGCCAACCCCACTGTCGTCGACGCCTCGCCGAGGTGCGAAGGACCTCACAATGGTACGCTTGATATAAAACGTCGACATTACTTCCACTAACAAATCCACAGCCTGCGAAACGTCGCGCGCCGTCAGGTGGTGAGCCTTCTGCTCCCCCCAAACCCCGCCAGTCGAAGCTGGCCAAGGAACACAACATCAGCGGACATGAAGAAAACGAAATAAAGGAGGCCTTTTCTCTATTCTCGATTCCGCAGAAAGGCGAAAAGGAGGGTGTGATACCAACGCAGGATGTCAAGAAGGCCATGATTGCGCTCGGTGTCCAGCCGTCGAAGCCGGAGTTGGCGGAGTTTCTTGAGATTTTAGACCCAGACTCGGAGGGATATGCGCCGTATAGCTCGTTTGTGGCTATCTGTGCACTGAAGATGAGGGCAAAAGACAATGATACCAGTGCAAAGGATGAGGAGGTGGAGCAGGGATATCTTCTCTTTACGAATGGAACGGACGGACCCATCACAATGGCACATTTGAAGCGGACTGCGGCGATGCTGAAGGAAGATGTCAGTGAAGATCTCTTGAAGGACATGATCCTGGAAGCAAACGGAGGATCAGGTCTCACGAAGGGAGTGGGGAGGGAAGAATTTGCAGAGGTAATGAAGAGGGCTGGTGTTTGGCGATGAGACTCTTTCTGATCAGACACTTTGTGTGCTTTTTGGAGTTATGGCGTGGGGGAGGGTAGGGGGGTGTCAATAATGATGATGATATATTACATCTGGGAGACTTCAGGGACGATGAGTGTCACATGTGCCCAATAAAATGGTACGGGGTTTGGACCTGTATTTATATATACTTCTACTTTAATGCAGAACTATCTGCCAGGGTGACTTAAATCGCATCGAATTTCAAACTCTCGGAGTCGACACAATCGTCAACTCGTATCTGCACTCGCCAAGCTTCGACTTAGCGTCTAACCCTACTACTGAGAGTTTCTATGGAACTCCGCCTCTCGTATTGATACTTTCCCCCTTCCTCCTTCACATAATCCACTTCACTTCTTGTCAGAGGATTCTTCCCTCGTCTCCGCACCCACAGGCGCCTTGAAACCAGCGTGGTCAGAGTGCTTCTTGTAGAAGTAATTATCTGGCCTCGGCTTCATCTCATCTGGCAGCTCCTCTAAAACCGTTGCTAAGATGGCATCTACTGACTTCTGTTTCGACGATTCTCGGTGCCAGACGGATATTAAGTGAGAGTTGAATCGGACAGACAAGCCAACTCCGCACAACTGGTCACCTACGTTTGATCTGATTAGTTTCTCATACGTGTAATGCAAGTATCCGAGCTTTCACTCACCAGTATCAAGGCAGCTCTGCAGTTTCTCTCCAATGGCCATGAGCTGGACCCTGGTCCAAAAGTCTGGCCCCGAAGCCTTGGGGACACGGAATGTCCAGCTGCCACCATTTATGTTTCTCCTGTCCTCCCAGATTGGTTGAAAGCCTTGCTTGAAAAGGTAGATAGACTCTCGCATCTTTATTTGATCAACAGGGGTATTATTGTTGTATCGCCAGAAGTCCTGCACGCTCTCAATCTGGTGGGCGAGCTGTTCTAAGGTGGCCTCATAGTTTCCATCTGGAGCCTTCTTTGGGTCTTTCCCTTGCGGTCTGTGAGACGTCAGTGACCTGTCGGCAGCGTGGAACTTTATAACACAAGGAGATACACCGGTAGGATTGGATCTTGGAGCCTTTACCTATCAAAGTACACATTCCAGTAATGCTGGGTTGGCAGGGCCCGCATGGCCTTGAGCATGTTATTCTTGGCATCGTTTCGCTCATCAGCTGGCGATGTTAACTCTGAGTCCTCAGGCGCTGGTGCTATTCCCCTGGTGAGGAGAGACTGTCGGAGCGCCATCTACGGGAAGACTACGGTCCTAGCCGCTTTATACTAAGGTCACTGTGTCCTTGGCGCTTCAGCAAACTGTTTGCGAAGAGATAGAGTAGCAATGGAGCTTTGGCGACGGGACGATGGTATTTACTTGGAGGACAGAGTATGTAGCTACTTTTGAGAGGACGTTGGCCGAAACGGGGGACCGTGGTATTGGCGGGGGACCCTGGTATTGGCGGGGGTCATGTGGGGTCCATGCGCCTGAGAGTGGCAGCTAAATTAGTCGCTATCTCTTATCGAAATATTTCTTTGCCATCCAAGAAACACAAATTATACCGCGCCATGGCCGGAAAACCAGACACTGTCGATACCAACGGCTCTGCCGAGAAGGACCGAGAAGATGCAAGGAGTACGGACTCTGAATCTGAAGAGGACCGCCAGAACGAGACCGAAAATAAGACAAACAAAGTTATGAATGTCCAACCGATGGATCGGAAGCCAAAATTCGACTTCGCGTCTCTGAAAAGCAACTCCTCCCTTATGAACAAACTTCCGGGATTTTTGGCCGAGATGGATGCTGCAAATCGCGAGCTCGAAGCCGAAAAGAAGGCTGGTACCATTGCAGAGCGACGCCTCGAAATCGACGACGACGAAGAGGAAGGCGAGAAGGCTGAACAGTATATCGAGATGAACCTCGGACTTGGAGTTCTTGAGGAAAAGACAAGCGATTCTGAGACAAGTTCTGAGGGCGAATCCAGCGACGATGAAGACGTTATGGACAAGCTCATGGGAGCCGAAAAAGACTCCAAAGATGAAGGCGAGAAGAAGAAAGTTGGCATTGAAGAGGTCTGAACTAGAGCCTCGCAGGGATCCGCTATGTCCAGAACAGCGCCACCATGCGCCATAACGTTGTCATATTGAGAGTGCGCATTCAATTGGAGGGGCTATAAGGTATACGATACGATATCAACGAGCATTCGGAGTTGGGATGGGGGCATATGTTTCATGGGAGAAGGTTGCACGGGGGAGTTATGGGATAATGGGTGTATATTTCTGGGCCGAAGGTGTATATACTTGATATGAATGGGTACCAATGTCTGCGGAAACGCATGGCAGGAGTTTTACCAGCATTGGCGGGGCCATTTTCAGCATATGGGCATAGGATTGGTTTCGGGGAAAATCGCCATTCGACCCTACCCTGCATCATAGATGATTTGCAGGCTTTTCAACCTGCACACGACCTTAATATGAAGCTGTAAATTCTCTAGTAAGATTTCATTTTATTTTTTTCTCGTAATTGTGATTTGATATGGGTGATGACGGACTGGCTGAGAATCGGTGATAAAAGCACCGACGTATTATCACGTGATTACCCGATCTGTCAACGTTCCCGAGCTAAGAAATTTGATGTTCAGGCACGTCTCGCGATTTCCGAATACGGACCATCAATCTTTCCATTTCTTTCCTTTCTGTACCTATAGCTCTGGTCAGGATGCCAGCCTTTACCAGATCAATTGTTCCTTTCCTGCGGACCGCAAGGGCTGCTACTCAGCAACGCAATGCTGTCAGCCCATTGCACCATGCGTTGAAGCGCGGAAATGGAGTTGACTCCATGCGCATGTACGCTGCTGCTTTCGAGCGTACCAAGCCCCATGTGAACATTGGTATGATTGGCGTCTCTGCTTCAGTTTTTGAGAGTTTTGCAAGTATCTGACTTCATTAGGAACGATTGGCCACGTCGATCACGGAAAGGTATACATACGAAGACCTCCTTTTTTCAACCAACAACTAACAGTTTTCTAGACCACCCTCACAGCCGCCATAACAAAGCGTCAAGCCGAAAAGGGTCTTGCCAACTTCCTCGACTATAGTTCCATCGACAAGGCTCCCGAGGAGCGCAAGCGTGGTATCACCATCGCGACATCCCACGTCGAGTACGCCACTGAAGAGAAGCATTACTCCCACGTCGACTGCCCAGGTCACGCCGATTACATCAAGAACATGATTACTGGTGCCGCCAACATGGACGGTGCGATTATCGTTGTTGCAGCTTCGGACGGACAAATGCCCCAGACAAGAGAGCATCTGCTTTTGGCCCGCCAAGTCGGTGTCCAGAAGATCGTCGTCTTCGTTAACAAGGTCGACGCTCTCGAGGACCCGGAGATGTTGGAGCTTGTCGAGATGGAGATGCGTGAGCTTCTTACCACCTACGGATTTGAGGGTGATGAGACCCCTATCATTCTTGGCTCAGCACTTTGCGCCATGGAGGGACGTCGCCCAGAGATTGGCGAGCAGAAGATTGATGAGCTGATGAAGGCTGTCGACACCTGGATCCCAACCCCCGTCCGTGAGCTTGAAAAACCTTTCTTGATGTCTGTCGAGGATGTGTTCTCCATTCCCGGACGTGGTACGGTCGCCTCGGGACGTGTTGAGCGTGGTACCCTCAAGAGGGATGCCGAGGTTGAGATCGTCGGCAAGGGCGACACCCCAATCAAGACCAAGGTTACCGATATCGAGACCTTCAAGAAGTCCTGCGACGAGTCGAGGGCAGGAGACAACTCTGGTCTTCTCCTCCGTGGTGTTAAGCGTGAAGATATCCGCAGAGGAATGGTCATTGCTGCCCCTGGATCCCAGAAGGCTCACAAGTCTTTCTTGACTTCGATGTACGTTCTCACCAAGGAGGAGGGTGGACGCCACACCGGTTTCCACGAGAACTACCGCCCACAGATGTTCATCCGCACTGCTGATGAGTCTGCCACCTTCACCTGGCCAGAGGGAACTGAGGATTCGCACTCCAAGATGGTCATGCCAGGAGACAACGTCGAGATGAAGTGTGATATCCACACCCCTGTTGCCGTCGAGGTTGGTCAGCGCTTCAATGTCAGGTTAGTATTTCCATGCCATTATGTTTCCATGCCATTATATTTCTATGCCCTTTCCTTTTTGGGCGATACGCTTCGATCATTGCTGACTAAGCGGTACAGGGAGGGAGGCCGCACTGTCGCTACGGGACTTATCACTCGCATTCTCAAGTAGATGCAGATCTGGCTGGCTGTGTTATTAGAATTGGTGGGCGAACTGTGTTGTATAATTGGCATTTTAGCACGAAAAAGGAGTACCCGATATATGTTTGTTACGGCTGACTCGACGGCCTGTTGCAATACCTCCTCTCTACTTTCGAACATGTATTATCTTTCTGTACTATGGTGGGCTTAGAGTTCGTGTTATATCAATAAATCGCCCCGTTTTTGCATTTTGGTCATACCAATATTCAGGGGTGTGGTCCGTGCGCAAATATCTCGCAACACACATAGTCACCGAAATATCAACCAAACAGCACTCTCACTTATAAGCTTTGGAGATAGGATAATGCGGAACAAAGATTGATATGCGCAATTGTATTGATGAGATTCCTTTTCCTTATTTGATGTATGAGTACTCGTGCGGCACAAATGAGTGGCGAGTGCCAGTTCAAGTAAAGCCGTGGAAAGATGGCAGCTTGTTCGCAGTAACTTTTTCCCACAAACAAGCTTGTACTGTAGACTGCGATTGTTGTATTATGAAGGCAAAACCTATTGCTTATGCAGCCGACACAACACCCGTTATCCAAAGCATGTGTATGCCGACCTTCCAATGGCCATTCCGAACGTTACAGCACATGCTCAACATCCTTCTATTACGGGATCGACGGCCATCGTGGCGAGTGATAGCAAGACTTCAATGGCGACAGCAGACTTAAACGGTGACAGCAGACCTGAACAGTGACAGCAGACTTAAACAGTGACAGCAGAGGAAATAAGTTGTGACTGTCCTAAAAAAAATATTTCTACGCTTTGGATGCGTTGTTGCTGGCAGTGGAGGATTCACTCCAACTTTCAGTTTGTTTAGCTCGTAAAGGTAACAATTTAATGCTTACAAGGAGGCCGTCCTGGACTTCGGTGCGTGTTGTGTTCTCCATCCTCTGTGTCACGTTTGTAGTGAAATCAGCGTTTCTCACTTCTGCCACTTAATATTCGCTTGGGGAGAGGGACTACCGGCTCTTTTGCAGGGCTATAGGGTGTCAACAGATTCAGCTTATGTCCTATATGGGTATGCGAGGTTGGGAACTCGATGATTAATTCTTATACAAATATTACAATTGCCAGCCAGTATTTGCCCCTATTCGCCGTCCCCCTCGTGTCTTCGGCCGCACAAGAACATTGTAATGCTATTTTCACGGGCAAGGCCGGAATGATGTTACAGTTATACTCATACATCGCTAACAACAATTTCGTACATCAACCCACCCCTATAGGAACAGCCCCCCCTCCTCTTACTCCTCCACCTTCTTCGCCTTCCCCTCAAGATACACCGTCACCACCCCCCCCACATTCCCCTCCATAGCTTTCCACTCCCTCGCCCCCTCCACCTCCCCCACCCCCCCCTAATCCTCCTCAACGTCTCCACCGCCTCCTCCGGCGTCGCCTTCCTCTTCTTCCTCTTCCCCACCAGCACCACATCAACTCTATACCCCTTCTCCAAAAACTCCCGCATCCGCTTGAGTCGATGCTCTAAATCGTGCGGATCGATCGCCCAGTTCAGCTCCAGCGTCTTGACCGTCGCAGACGGGTTCGCGGCCTTCTTCTTCACTGATTTCGTAGGCTTGGCTGCTGCTTCTTTGGTGATGATCTTGCATACTGGGATCTCGGGAGCTGCGCGCCCTGACCCCTCTTCGCTGCTCGGAGCCGCCTCGGGCGGAGCTTCCCAGCGCGAGCGTAGTCGCGGCGGCGGGAGCGCGACGGTGTGAAGGGATTGCGTTTTTCGGTCTAGCGTAGCAAGAACATCTGCTACGCGCTGCGGCGGCGACAGCTTCCCCGCCTCATCGACGAGGTGTACGAAGGGGAAATTCTGTTTCGCAATTTGCTCGTCGCGGGGGAGAGCAGAGGCATAGCCGCGGTTCTGGAATAGGGCGCTGGTGGTGGATTTGGTGAGCGGAGAGGGCCGGAGCTGGGGGCCGAATTGGGAGAGGAGAGGCCGCGAGGCGGGGAGGATAAAGACCCTGTGTAGAGCGGCAACGGCGCTAAAGGTGCAACGTGGGTTTCGCATTCTGGGAATGCTGGGAAGGTGAAGTTGTCGTGAGTCGGTTGGGGGTGTCATTGGGGGTTTGTTTGTATAAAAGCATGGCTGGTACATTGCGATTATGTCATCCTCAGCCTCGTCTCCCACCAGGCTGAACAAACGCTTTCTCTCCGGCTTCTGATAACGCAACGCCAGCACTCCAGGAATCCGCCATCAGAGTAAAGAGCACTGTGTGACTCAGCTGCTATGATCCCGTCTTCCGCATCATGAGCTCCCGCTTTGCACGGCTCCCGGGCCGCTTCTTCAGCCAGTTCTATGGCCATCCCGCTCGCCTCCTCGGCACCACCATAAAGACCTTCTTCCTCGCGCACGTCATATGGGATTACGGCTACGAAGCGGCGGCGACAGCGGGTAGCTCCATGCTGCCGACCTTCGAGACGATAGGTGACTGGGTGATATCGTCGAAGTCGTACCGGCGGGGCCGCAGCGTGGTGGTCGGGGACCTGGTCACGTTCCGCTCGGTCTATGAGCCGGGGACGAAAGTTATCAAGAGGGTGATCGGGTTGGAGGGTGATTATGTCTTGGCATATACGCCGGAGAGTGGGAACGATACGATGATCCAGGTACGTTGGGCTCTGCGTGGGGTGGTGGTTGTAGGCTGCTTGCTAATTGAGGTAGGTGCCCAAGGGTCATTGCTGGGTTACGGGGGATAATCTGGACCAATCGTTGGATTCAAGGGCATGGGGTCCTATGCCGATGGGGCTGATCAGGGGAAAGGTGATTGCGAAGGTATTGCCATGGAGGGAACGCCGGTGGGTCGAGAATGAGCTGCGACCTCGCTCAGAATGACCGTGTTTTTTTATCTGGGTGTATACTATGGGTTGAACGTGCCACGAGCCGAGACTATTTAGCAATCCGAAAGATGTAAATATAGAAATCATGCAAACAATTCACCAACGCCATTGATTGCCTTCAAGAATTGATTTGCGCATTGTTGGGATATCTGTGGCTTTTCTATCTAATTACATTGGAATAGCGAAAAAAGGAGACCCCAAGGCGGAGGGGGGGGGGATAATAACAAAACGCAACGAGACGCTTCAAAGCAAAGAACGTAACATACACAGCCCGGAAAAGTTACCACTTGTGGTTCCATCCTAGCCGCCATCTCCTTGTCGAGATATCAACCGGCTTGATTATCTTCTATCCCAGGAATGCTCGCTCCCAAATGATGCATACCGCCCATAGATACGCCAAACACCATGAATTCCCATCCCGTATATAGACCTATTATTGGTCCGTCAAAGTGATCACCTTCATCCTTCATCCTTCAATGCGAGATGTGCCCTGGCCTAGCAATTGGAGGGACCGCTGGGCCAGCTGCACCACTTCACCCTCACCCTCTTCTTCTTCTCCGTCGTCGTCCGGCTCGATCTGCCTATCTGAGATAGTCTTGATCATCTGCACAATTTCTTCCGATTTTCCGATAAGGCTAATAAGCTTCTTATCTTCTGATTCAAGTAGTTGTAGTAAGGTCCAGATGGCAATGTGCTGGAAGGTTGCATCGCCGCTTGCCAAGAAGCGCTTTAAATACCCGTGAATTCCGCCGTTGGGCTCAGTCCAGTCTTGAATAAATATGGAGTAATCACCAACTACAAGAATTTAGTTATGTTTTAAAGAACCTGGAGTGATGTACTGACCTTTAGAAGACAAATTTCCCAGGGCGGCCGCACTATTGCCCTGAACTTCAATGCTTTCAGATGCGGTTAGTGGGATCAAGACATCGAAAACACCGAGGTTCAGCAGATGGCTCTTAAGATCATCACTGAGGGCCAAGACAGCAATGGCTGCTGTCATCTCAGACTGCACAGTGATAGGTACATCCAGAACCAGCTGTTTGCACTTCTGCACAGCACCAGCCTCGAGAACGAGCTGCTTGTTCCTATCGGAGCTTGCAGCCAGGTTTCGGAGTGTTGAAATGGCGTGGCACTGGATCTCCTCATTTTCGGTTGATCCAAGAAGATCAACAAGTGGCCTGAGGAAACCCGCCTCAATAATAGGAGATTCGTTGAGGGGGTGAATAGAGATGTTTCGGATGCAGGCGACAGCCGACAGAATCAGTGGCAAGTAGGATGACTGCAATAAGCGCAATAGTGGCTGGAGACCCCTAGCCCTTACGATTTCGATTTGATATTTCTCATCCGAAGCAAGATTTCTCAGTGCAAGTGCAGCTTGGCATTGGACCTTGGGTGACGATGAATCCATGAGGTTCACAAGCGACTGAATGAGTCTGGTCTCATTCTGAGCAAGCTTTTTCCTGTTGTTGGCATCCACAGCGATGTTGCTGAGCGCAGTTGTACAGTAATATTGGACGTCAACATCGGAGGAAGAAAGGAGGTGTACTAAGACTGGTATGGCACCAGCGTTCACAAGTTGTTGTCGGTTTTCATCTATGGTCAGGTTAGTACCTGATTCCCACTATCAAGATGTGATGTGATGTAGACTTACCTGAGTGTGTCATGTTTAACAAGGCACCTGTCGCATTTCTTTGTACCCGCATGTCTTTGGATTTCGCCAGCCGAGTAAGTGGCCCCAGCGCTCCTGACCTTGCGATCTTTGCCTTGTTATCCTCGTGTGTCGCAAGATTTGTTATGCACCCCACTGCGTTGCATTGAACTTCGACATTTGGGGACATCATTTGGCGAATAAGCGGGGTAAGACCTCCCAACAACACAATCGCAACTTTGTTCTCATCTATTTCAGATTAGTATATCTGTGGTATCGTCTCTCTGGAAGTTGTGGAGTTTTGACATACTGTTGACTGCCAGGTTTCCCAATGCAGCACTAGCCGCCCTCTGCACCTCTATGTCGGGGCTCTGGAGAAGGAATAGTATAGGCTCCAGAGTGTCTCGGTCAACTTCGCGAACGTCTGGTTCATAGAGTCAGTACTGCACGGTAATATATTTCAGATAGCAAGAGACTGCCGGTCAGAGCATGGCTGGAGCCTTGGTCATCGACTCCGATAATACTCCATGCCATCCCATTGTTTGTTTTGCCAGCTCTTTGTTTTGGATATGTGAAACACCGCCCGCGCAATCATTATCTCACCTCTTTCCGTAATTTCCGCGAACGTCAAGCTGGCGCTCCGTTGCAAATCGACATTGTCCGAGAATACCAAGGTGCTCAAAGCTCGGAGTGGCTCCCCGGAGAAGAAGTCGGTTTCTCCACGCTGCTGAACATCAGTGCTGCCTATGGGCGATAATAGATCGGAAGAAGTATCCCTACATTCTCCAAGTACTGAAGCAAGTCCGCCACTGCTTCTCTCTCGCTGTCGGCCAGGACTGGCTCGTACAGTCCATCTCGGGATCTGCCTGTACAACGTAGAAGTGTTAGCATCAACACTGGTGAGTCAAGGACTGGGAGATAAAGAAAGTGTTACTGTACCTTGGCAGCATGTCGAGCAGTAGTTCCCCATTGCCAGTTATCGATCGGCGACAGCTGGGCGATGCTGAACGTCGTGTCGTCAATGGACGTTCCTGTCCAATACAAGCGGCTCTCCGATGATTGCTCAATGTCAAGCTCTAGCTGTCGGAATCACGAACATCAATAGTCGAGGTAGGTAACTCGGTGTGACGTATAGAGTCAGCCAGCAGTGCCTATCAGCATAAAGATCGAGGAGCCAGTTTGTTGTTGTTGGATGGGGAGAGGGAGTATATTGAGAGCCAGACTAGCCAGTCGAGCCTGCCTTCGATGAAGATGCGCCTGACGGTTGGTAGAAGTGCCTCGAACGCGGCCGTCCTGTGATGCCAAGACTAGTAAGCTATCGCTCCAACAGAGAGGGAAGGCGGCAGGGAGCTGTCCGGTGGGACCCGTCTTGTCAGGTTGCAACGACGCTAGTCTCGGTAAAGCAGATGGGAAGGCTGACATGAACATCCGCGATGGCCATCAACAAGAACGACGAGGCTACCACAATGCTACTACCACAGTGAGGGCAAATGGCGAAATTTTGTGAAACGTGCCATCGATCACATGCTGAGATTCATAAAGACTAACAGTAGGAATGCCCCTATTCTTGTAATGGTGGTGATGACGAGTTTCTTGATTTTCTCTCACGACGACCCCGTCACCAGGACATAAGACATGGGCTACGTACGTGATGGTGGTTGCCGCACATTATCACTTCTCAACCGTCCATTTCCAGCCTCTTCCATGGGTATCACGTGGCTGGGAATGAGGCTTTGTAATCTGGCAGTACAAAACTCCCAAGAACAAGATATCGGGAAGGGTTGTGTAACCATGGTAGGACCTGTTGACTGGAGTATGTGGAGCGGTCGCTTGGCTGTTGATAAACGACCTTGGGAGGCGCTTTGTTGTGGCCGATAACGCTCATTCCCATCAAACTTCGAAATAATTGTAGCTTATCTACTAGTCTAGGTTAGCAACTAATTTATTTGGCTGTTTATAACAATATAATCAAATCGAAAGGATGAGAATTTACCATATAATAGCCAGTAATAGAGTAGTCGTAGCTGCCTTGTTCCTATTGTTCCCATCTTATCGGAACGGCGCTATCATTGTCCGAGGCTTCCCAACTCTCAACTAATGATGATGAGCTGCCCCCACGTTGCGATCCGCGGCTCTTGACCGATCAACCATCTGTATTCCAAAGTGCTTAAACTTCACAGCACCGGACAAAAGCCTGTGTGCTTCTCAAACGGGAGCTTCCTTGCATCTTTTCATCGGCTGAACTCCCCCCCACGATCCTTCTCACCCCCACACCAACGCGAATATACATGTCGGGGGCATTACGGAGCGCTGAACCAAAGCAAGCGACCTGCTTGTGCTTGTACAAGTCGACATCGATGCACACGTACAACTTCACCTGCCAGGGATCGTAACGACTTTCAGCCATGTCCGACACGCCAGTGACTCGGCCACCCGCGCCCGCCAAGGGCAGTGAGGGCCTCATACCACAGACACAGACACCCGCCCGGAAACCTGGTCACGAGTCGCCATACGTACAGCCGAAGACATACCTCCGCCCTGAGATCAGAAGCCCAACGATGGAACCGAAAGCCCTGAGTGTGCTGGACAGAGAGCAGATGCAAGGCCTGGTATGTCTCACACCCTAGCGGAACCATCATCCGAAGACTGCCTGCCTTTGTACATGGGCCATTGTGGGCACCTTAATGGCTGCTTGTCAGGAGCAGGCAAACGGGGAGGTGGCAGTCCACTGTGAAAACACACGCTGACACATGTTGTTTTATCCAGAAAGCAATCAGGGACTTCCTCAAAGTTCGCACAAGCTACGATGTCTTGCCCCTCTCCTTCCGTTTGATTATCCTCAATACCGATCTCTTGGTGAAAAAGAGCTTGAATATCCTGCTGCAGAATGGTACGCGCTTTTTCTATCCCTGATTGTGCTAGCCAACAAAGCTGACAAAATAGGCATTGTATCTGCTCCGTTGTGGGACTCTCACACGTCAACCTTTGCTGGCCTCTTGACCACATCGGATTATATCAATGTTATCCAGTATTACTGGCAGAATCCCGATGCACTGGGACAAATCGACCAGTTCCGCCTTAGCAGCTTAAGAGGTATAGTAATCAACAAATTATACTAAATGCACATTGCTGATATGGTGTAGATGTTGAAAAGGCCATCGGAGTCTCACCGATAGAGACCCTTTCTGTCCACCCCATGCGTCCCCTTTATGAAGCTTGCCGCCGCATGTTGGAGTCACGAGCTCGGCGAATCCCTCTGGTGGACATCGACGACGAAACCAAGCGAGAGATGGTGGTTAGCGTTGTCACCCAGTACCGTATCCTAAAATTTATCTCGGTCAATGTCGAGCAGACAGAGCTACTCAAAAAGAGTGTCTTTGAAATTGGTCTGGGGTCCTACGCGAACCTACAGACTGCCTCCATGGACACACCTGTCATCGATGTTATCCACATGATGGTCGAGCATAGAATCTCCAGCGTGCCCATTGTGGACGAAAACAACTGCGTGCTCAACGTCTTTGAAGCAGTAGACGTGATCGCCATCATCAAGGGCGGTGCTTACGACGGCCTGGACTCAAGCGTAGGCGACGCACTATCCAAGCGATCGGACGATTTTGCCGGCATATACACCTGCGGCATGGACGACCGGCTCGACACCATTTTCGACACATTACGAAAGTCGAGAGTCCACCGCTTCGTGGTCGTCGACGACCAGAACCGCCTCAAGGGCGTCCTTTCTCTCTCCGATGTCCTGAAATACGTCCTTCTCGAAGGCGAAGAATATGACTGAAGAAGGTCTTTGAAAAGCATCTGGGGATATCTGGGAGGGGTTTTATGAGAGGCGTTGCATAGCGATAAGGCGTCCAGGTAGTGTAATAGCTTGAGGGCGACATCAAGCATGATGTCGTAGATTTCATAGACGTCCATGATGAAAGATACCTTTTTTTTCTCGTATAATTGTAAGGCGTGCAGTGCATCTGCCATAACTATATTCCCCTGAAATTTTCCACACAGTCATCGGCCATGACGGCCATAAACACCTTGTGCTGAGTAACCTGTGCCTTTCTTTGAGTTCGTTAACGAGCTATTACTCATTTTCCCCTGCTCCTGCTTGTTATATGTAGGTTTGGCGCCCACATAGCCTTGAAACAAGGAAGGAGCAACCGTATTTTCGCTTCAACACCCTCTGCCCAACTTGGACTCATACCCACAATCAATGCCACATAGTGTGTATATAGCTGTACCAACCCAAGATGGGTCTTCATTCAACAGCCAGCTATGGAGCTTCTGCTATCACAGCCCGAGGGGTCTCTGGTGAAGACATGACCATTGCACAAGGCCTCTTGGCAGGGAGTGAGTGAACCCCCTCTGACCGCCCCTTGACCACCCCCTTTGAAGCTCTGCTGCAGTTGATACTGACTCACAGGCATAGACCCGCTGGGCATTCCATCAAGGAGGGGTTCAGAGCAGCATAGACCACCCAGCATGAACCAGCAGAGCGAGAACCTGCCACCGGACTATGCCCATCAACGACGATCGAGATACAACTCAACAAGCAACACTTGGACTTCTTCAAGTGAGGAGGAGACTGAAACCGATGATATTGGAGACCGCACCTTTTATATAGGGACATTCAACAAGCTTGCCCGCGATGTATGTGGAAAGCTCTGGAAGTATCGATATAGAGTTTTGTTGGCTGACTGGAGCTCCATAGTATGGCATCCCTGAGCTTGTACCAGATAACCATGAGTCCGAAAAGGTCAGTATAATCCCCAGTGGTAATGTGCGATGCCTAACAGCCCCTTTAGATAGACAAAGTCGTCATTACCGGGAAGGCAGGGAGTTGGATCATGAAGAAGATCCTGAGGAGAACCACTTCTCTGTTGTCCCTCAACAAGGCCAGGCCGGATCTGAAGCATAGAAGAAGCATCAGCGATATTTCTCTGCGTATGGGTGGAGCAAAGAAAGATGCTTTTAAGGACAGACATCTAGCAGAGCTTGTGCGTCTCTGTGGATCGAGCAACTTTGATTTGCCTCCTGAGTATGCTCATGGGACCTTGAGCCTGCCGACTTGTTTTCGTTCTACGGCACAGTATCTTGTCCAGCATGGTATGTTGCTTTATTGCTTTATTGCTTTGTTGCTTTGTTGCTTTGTGTTGCTTTGCGTTGATTATAAATGAAACCTGTTGACGCCGTTCTAGGGCCGGCCATGAAAGGAATCTTTAGAATTTCCGGGTCACACGCCACCGTGGCAGCATTATATGACCATTATGCATCGCAGGATGAAGATGGCGATGTTATAAGTGATACCGTCAGATGCCCAACTCTGCCTGAGAATATCCGGTGTGACGAGCATGACGTAGCGTCCACATTCAAAAAGTTTCTTTCGGGGCTTCCAGGAGGTATCCTAGGCAAAGTGTGGCTCTTTGAGGCCTTGGTTACCATTCATGACCAGATGGGCGTAGCCCCGGATGTGGTGAAGACGAGGCAAACCAAAGTCAGACCCCGTATGATTGCCAGTGCTATAGCCTCCCATCCGTCGAGATTCCAGCGGGATCTGATCTGTGCTGTTTTTGGTCTGTTATCTATGATTGGAAGAGCGTCAGAGACTGCACGCCGTGAAGATTCAGATGGGAGACCTCTACCTACGAATGAGTTGATGGGATATGGCCCGTTGGGAACGCTATTTGGGCCTCTCTTGGTTGGAGATCTGATCTATGAATGTAATCCTTGCCGTGGAGAAGTGACGGTTGAGATATCTCAAGGACGATCGTTGCCTAAGAAGAAGTCAAGGCATAGGAAGCCCAAAAGTGCTGAAGAAAGCCTGTTAGAGACAAAGATTGCTTCGGACAAGTTAAAAGTTGCGGGTGGTGTGGCAGAAATGCTTATAACTCACTGGCGAGATGTAGTCAAGCAGATGAGGAATCTCAGAAATATTGGGTCGTCTGTATTCCAACAATATCTTCAAGAGCAAGAGCAAGAGCGTGGAAAGGGGAAGCATCCTCTCCTGAAGTCGTCAACCTCGGAGTACTTTCTTAGACGTCCTCCTGATTGGAACTCTGTAGATCGAGATCAGTCGAATGGTTTCGGGGAAAGGAACGGTTCACCTACTCCACCGTCACGTACGTCTAGCTCGTATAGCCCTACTTTCGTTTACTAACAATTCACACCTAGTCAACCAACTGAGAGTTCGTAACAACGCAAGTAATCTTCCGTTGCACAATCAACCGCAGGACGTTCAGCAGGTCAGGAGGCAAAGGTCTAGGCCTAGGGCTCAGCCAAACCAGAAGCTATCTGGTTCAAAGTCTATGAGCATATTGACGCCGCCGAGAGAAGATAATAGCGAGCTACACTACGAGCACCTTGATTGTGGGTGCCCAGCGCCTAAAGCTACTGTCAGAGCCGTTTCTGGTGTTCCTCCTACCGAGAACGAAACAATTTCTAGTGGCGACTCATTATATCGGGATTTACTCTCGTCTCTTCAATCACCAAGTGAGAACAGCGCACCTCCGGATTTACGCGTAGCACCAACTACTTTACTTGATCAACCATTGATTGAAAACGTCAATCTCGTCAATCCTGTCAATCTCGATTTAAGACAAACTGCTATTGTGGGAAGGCCGCAGGAAGTACAGACCCCTATCAAAACACAACAAACGCAGGGTCCAAATGAGGCGTTCGCACTAAATGATAACATCACCAACACAACAACAGTAGAACATTCACAAGACGAACCTTCTACAGAAAATAGCGAAATCATCAAAGAAACTGAAGACAACGACATGATGCAGCTGAAAAAGAAACAACCCATTGCCAAGCGTGGCACTCCTAAGGTCTCAAAGGCCACAAAGGTCTCACCAGCGAATCAACAAAGCGACGTCGAGGATGGCCTTCCACCTCGCATCAGCCGCCTTCCAGGATACTCACCTTCTGAGCATTTAGAGAGGCGTAAACTTGATCAAATCAAACTCGCCGCAGCGCGTGATAGCAATGATACCTCAGTGCAGAGCCAAGAGAGTGATACAGACAGCGATCTGCCGCCACCTGTGAGACGCATTCCAGGACAGTCACCTTCTGAGCATCTAGAGAGAATTCTTTCTGCTAATATCCCCGAATCAGTTGGCAAACACAGTCCAGCTTACAAGTCCAATGGATCAGCTTTCCGATCTGGTGGCTCGTCCCGTTTCGTAGATGGCGGATCGCGTGGGTCTTTGATGATGTCTGAAGTTGAATCTGGCTCAGTGAGAGTTTCTCACGAACAAGATATGGCCTCTTTGGCTTCTCTCGCCCAGGTTCTCAACTCTGAGAGCAACGATGAATTTCAATCTCTTGATCCATCTGGGAATACCACAGAGTTTGTCACAGATTATGGGGAGATTGATTACACGCCAACCAATAGATCGACTCACAAGCACAATGAACCAGAAGGTGCTGGGTCAAAGAAGGCAAATCAGTCGGCGAAGCGTGCATCATTTGCAGCTGACTTGGAGGTTCATCCATCACGCCTTAACCATGCACCAGCAAACCTAGCGGCTTCCTCCAAGAAAAATACGGCTGGGATTCAATCATTGATCGGAAAGTTCAACACTGTGGATCAAGATGCTGTCGGATCGCTATCTCCTTCACCCACGAGATCGCCAGCCACTTTTGGTGGTAGATATAGCATCCAATTCCCAATCACGGCACCATCAACCTACGCCATGAACTCATCGCCTATTTTGTCACGCGATGCTTTGAAGTCGAGCAAGGGCTTTGGGAATGAAACCAGCCAACTGGGCTTTGATAGGGAGGTTGCTTCACCAAAGAGCCTTCCACCAACCAAGATTCCTCGTCCAATCTCGGCGTCTTTGCTCTCTATCACTCACCAGGCTGAAACCCAGCTTCCAATCAAGGCGCTGAATCCTACCAAGAAGCAGGCTGATCGCAGAAGTTTATATATGGATGGAGGCTATAGCAGCAGCCCAGTTCTGCCCAGCCTTGGTTCATTCAGAGATGGCGGTGCCAATGAGAATATGGGCACACCAGGACGCTCAGGCAGAGATAAAATGCGTTCAAAGCCGGCTGGAATTACTATTTGGGACGATTCGAACACTACCCCAAAGCCGAGATCGACCTCTGTCTCCAGCCACGAGCAGCCATCTGTTGATCCACGTTCTTCCAACAGCTTCAGCGGCCCTCAGTCATCTGCTGATCCGCGTTCATCCAACGGCTTGAACCCTGCAAACACCAAGCCAGGCCCATCGGCTACTACCCACGCGCCAATCACCCCGGCTGTGGGAACGGGGGCGCAAGGAAAGGGCACATCAGTGCTTTTCTCTCAGATCACCAATCTCCAGAGACTGCTTGAGGCTCGCACTGAGGAAGCTGATAACTTGAAAAAGCAGCTCGCTACCAAGGGTAGCTTGAATGATCTGAGCACCCTGGCCGAACAGCTTAGAGAGGCTAAGCGTGAGACTGCTACCTGGCAGAAGCGTGCTGAGATGGCGGAGAGACACCTGGAGAGGCTGTCACAGTTTAACCCAGCCACGATCAGTGAGGCTATGGCCGAAGAGTCGGCTTACTTTGAGGTGGATGCTACCCGAGTGGCAGGTGTGCATGAGTTCCCCATTGTGGGCAAGAGAGATTTCCGCTCACTGGACATCGCTGGTCCGGCGCAGCATGGCAACGTAGAGGGTGCCAGGAGCAGTGGAGATTCTACGAATACACAGGGAACGACGATTATGAGAACTATCCCAGAGTTGAGAGAGTTGAGGGATTCTTCCCCCGAGGAGTCCGTTGCTAGCTACGGGGCGTTTGGGAGACAGCCAAGAAAGTTGAGGGGAACGTCTGGGGAGGACTTAATTACCTTCTCGGAGACCGATTAGATCATCAGCATCAAAGCATACAGTTGAAGGCTCTGAAGGGAATTACATATCGACTTGAATCGGAAGTTTGGACTACTGTAAGAAATAGGATATGATGCATGTGGGAGGCGGCGAAGTTGTGGGGTGGCTTTGATTGTTTTTGTTTTTTCTTTCGTTCGATGGGCCAAGGTGGGCGGATAATAAGGAGTTTTCGGTGGAGTAATGGGTGAGGGGGGCCACGCATGTGTAGGAGTTGAGGAGGATAACTGAACTTTCGAGGGGGAGTAATGGGAGCATGGGAGCATGCAAAGTATATGAGCATAGGAGGACGAAGCGGCATAAGGGCGAGCCAAACTTGTACGGTAGTTTGATTTGAACTGGCTCTACTATAGGTTCTTAGTTCCGTAGGTGATGAATCGGATACTTTGAACTATAGCTGGATAACGTTGATGTGGTATTTTTGTGACATGAAGAGGCTCTACATTACACTATGAGCAACGAGCATAAAGTATATCAAATTTCCAATGACTTTCTGTAAATAAAATACATATCTATACACAAATACTACACCCCCATTCTAAGCAGCCGATTTGGGTTTCCTAACCAAATCACTCTGGTGATCCCTCAACAAGTTATCCAGCGCCGACTTCTCAATAATAACTCTCCCCATCTCCAACAAATCCTTCACATCAACCTCGACATCCAACAGCGCCGCTCCCTCCTCCCCCGCATGCTCAAACGCCCAGAACAAGTTCTCCCTCTCCTCTGTGGTAACAACCAAGCTCCTCCCCTCCGCAGCCCCAAACCCATTATGCGCAAACACCTTCTTCAAGTAGCTCGCACGCGCGTACTCGATATCAAACCCATCCTCGCAGATGATCAGCTGCCCACGACGGTACCGGTATGACAACGCCGTGCGCCAGGCCAGATCGTACATCTTGCGCGGCAACTCGGTCGAGAAGTCGCGCGGGCGCGGACCGAAGACTTTGGCACCGCCTTTGAGCATGGGCGATTGTCTCGTGCCGAGACGAGCCCTGCCGGAACCTTTTTGGGGACGGATCTTGCGGTGGGAACCGTGGATCTCCCAGCGTGTTTTGGTAGAGGCTGTGCCCTGGCGGGTGGCGTCGCCTTCGAAGACGACGGCGCGGTGGAGGATGTCTTTGCGTAGGGGCAGGTGGAGGTGGTTTGCTGGGTAGGTTTCGAAGCGGAGGGGCTCCATGGTTGGGAAGTTGTAGATGGTGGTTAGGACGTCGGAGGCTGGGGTGGTTAGCTGGGGTTAGGGGGTGGGATTGGGGGGATGTACCGAATGGAGATGTTCCGGATGCAGAGGAATCAAATGTCTGCTCGGTATTGCGAGAGATTCCGGATTGGAAGGTCGTCTCCGTGGCCATTGACCGAGTTAACGCTGGTGCGAGGCATTGCTAGATCCCTTGTAAATATTTTTCCCGCCAGCAATTGCGAGGATAACGGGGGAATACATACTGTAAGAGGATCTCTGGACGTCCCCAGAGACGATCGCAGAGCTTGTAGACCCCGCGACAAAGATTTCCATGCCATTGTGGGTGTGGTTGTGCAGTCGTTGTCCAGCGGCAGTAAAGATATTTGGTTGTGACCGGGTGCCAAGATGCGGCTCCGGAAATTTATCCAGTCGCTCAAGTGAACCTCGACGAATCTCGAACCGCGGACTGCACCTCATCCACCAACACCACAATGTCGGGCTACCAACGGGCTGTAAAGCCGCTCTCGAGGTGCCTGCAGAGCACGCAGCCTCAATTATACGCTCGTACATTCTCGAGCTCCTGCACGACCCGCAATGAGGCCGCCACGAAGTCCTTTGAGGAGGAACTCGCCCGAAAGCACCAGTGGAACCCTGAGATCGTCTCGTCTCGCAGGGGAGAGAAGGCTTTGATGAAGCATGGCATCTTGCCAATTGGATCGAGACGTCGTCGTGCGGCCATTCAGTCGTCGCCGAATATCCCGTTCGAGCAGCTGCCGTACCAGTGCTTCCAGGAGGCTCGCACAGTCCTGCAGGCCGACAGGGAGCAGAAGCTGACGGAGATTGCGACGGAGAGGGCTCGCATCGATAGACTCGCTGCACAGGATGTATCAGCTGTCCCGGGTGGCGAACTACAGAAGAGGAATCGTCTGGAGAGCATGAGGAAGCACCTGGAGCGTCTAAAGCTCCTTGCCGACATCAACGATCCGATGATCAAGAAGCGCTTCGAGGATGGAGAGGGTACGTCTAGCATTTTACAAACCCTAATCCCGCAACCCCTAGCTAACATATACCTCAGGCGACATGAACAAGCCGATCTACCGCCACCTCGCCCAGAAGAAATGGGAGTCCTACCAAAAACTCGTCATCGAGCAGCGTATCTCCCAACTAAGCATCGTCCCCGACACACTCGCCCACTTCTCCCCCACCGCCGAGGTGAAGCTCGCCTTTGGCCGCCGCAACGTCCAGCCGGGCGAGTTCGTCGACAGCCGCGTCAGCGAGATCCCGCCGCGGCTGCGCGTGCAGGTCTTCGACAAGGGCGAGCGCCTCGTCAGCGTCGTGGTGGTCGACACCGATGTGCCCGTGCCAGATAACGACTGGTTCACCTCGCGCTGCCATTACGTAGCATGCAACGTGCCGATTGCGCCGACGCAGACGTCGCTCCCGCTGTCGAAGGTGGATAAGGTCTCGCAGCTTGTGCTGCCGTGGCTGCCGGCCTTTGCGCAGAAGGGGACGCCGTATCACCGATACTCTGTGTTTGTGCTTGAACAAAAGCCTGGGCAGTTGTTTGATGTGGAGGCGCTAAGGGAGGGGGTGCAGAGGGATGGGTTTAATATTCGGGGGTTTGTCGATAGGCATGGTGTTAAGCCGATTGGACTGGGCTTGTTTAGGAGCACGTGGGATGAGGGGACTAGGGGGGTGATGGAGAGGCATGATATTCCGGGTGCGGATGTGGAGTTTAAGAGGATTAGGGTTGCGGCGCTGAAGCCGAAGCAGAAGGCGAGAGGTTGGGAGGCGAGGCACGCGAGTGATAAGTATAAGTCGCTCAGGCGGTGAAAGGGGGGATAGCATCTGTAGATTTTTATTGTATCATATGTACTATTTGAATAGAATTGTGGCAGGCCAAGAAAGTGAACATATTATGTCATGCAGTGTATATTTTGAGAGATTGAGCATCAACGTCTGCAGCTAAGCCTGGGTATAGTTTTATCTGTGCCAAATGAGGATTGGTATATATCCAATATTATGCTGCCTCCGTATCTCGCGTGTATATGTTGGGGTATATAGATTCGCTTTTGGGTATCTCTCGTCGTTCGGTCATAATGTCGTTCATCCCCATCCTGTTTTGCTACGGAGAAGCAAACCTCCCTACTATATCTTCGTCCCCCTCTTAACTCCCCAGCGCTACGGCCTTTCCCTCATTTAGCAAGCTGGGCATTGTTTTTGCCTTGTGCGTCGTTAGCTGGGCTCTGATAGATGGGCCAGTTAACCAACTTGCCAACGACAACCTCCCACTCATCATTCTCTAACCAGAGTTTAAACCACCACCCCCCTACACCTTCACCTTCACCCTCCCCCTCGCCCTCTCCGCCCAAGTCATCACAAGAGTCTTCTCCCTTTCCCCCCTCTCCCTCCCTACATCACTAACCGCCACTCTCTCCCTCTCCCTCTCCTTCCCCTTCACTCCATCCTGCGCAACCGCCACATCCCCACTCTCCCCCCTCCCAACAACAGGACTCCCCTCCCCCTCCACACTCGAAACACTCGACGCCATCGACACAACCGAGAAAGTCGAATGCACACTACTCAACAGTGTACTCTCCGCCGACCCATTCCCTCTCCCCACCGTCCTCACCGGCGTTGTCGGCGTCTGCACTCTCAGCGGTAGCGGCGTCGACGGGCGTACCGGGACTGGGAGTCCGCTTTGGCGCCTTAGCGGGCCGGGGGGTGGGCGTGTTGCTTCGGGGGGAAGTATATTTGGTGGCGCCGCCGCTGCTACCGTCGCCATCGTCGTGGCTTGCTGCGCCATTGTAGTCGGCTGCGGCAGCGTCATCGTGCCAATCGTCGTAGTCATCTGCATCAGCATCGGGGGGCGAACCTTCTTCACCCCTCCCCCCCGGCGCGACGGGCCTCTCAAAGCAGCAAGATCGGCTTCAAGCGCCCTATTCCTCGCCAGTGCGATATCGAGGGCGAGTTGCTGGTGCGCGAGCTGCTTCTTGTAGAGCTCAGCGACGTGATTGCGTTCTTTGACGAGGCGAGCCTCATGGGTCTCATTTGTGGTGGTGAGGGTGGCGATGAGTGCTTTATCGGCGACGCGCTCGGATTCTAGTGTCGCGAGGCGAGTGGTAGTTGCTGTGGATGAGTGAGCGAGGTGCTGGAGTTTGTTGTCTATAAGCTTCGACACATACGCCGAGCTCTTCTTACAACACCCCCCATGATACACCTGTTCAATCCCCCCCATCCCCACCAACCTCTCCCCCACCTCCTGGACACTCGGTCTCTTCTCCGGATCATACGCCAACATCGTCTCGGTCAACCCCAACAAATGCCTCGGCAAGCACGTCAACGCCTCCTCTGCCGCCCTACCCGTCTTCACCGCCCGCGGCCGCAGCTCCTCAAGGTATGCCTCGATAGTCGCCTTCCGACTCCCCGTCTTCTCGCGCATCACCTCCCCGCACCGCGCGCGCGTCTCGCCATACACCACTGTTGCGACGTTGAGGAACACGGCGCCGAGGGAATACACATCCGCGGACGCCGGGTGATGCACGCCTCTCGCCTCCACCTCCGGGGCTGCATAGCCCAGCGAGAAGCCAACGCATGAGTCCGTCACTGAGTGCATGGAGTCCTTGAGGTCTCGCGAGATGCCGAAGTCGGCGAGGTAGACCTGTCCCGGCGCGAGGAGGATATTGCTCGGTTTCAGATCCTGGTGTCTGATGCGCTGGGCGTGGATGTACGTCAGTGCCTCCGTGACGCATCCCAGGAGCGAGACGAGGTAGGCGTGGACCTGTTTCTCGAGCGCGTCGTCGTCCCCGCCCTGTCGAAACCCGAGCATCTCAATCCGCTTACCCGCATCCTCGACATCGGCCGAGGTGCCGAGGTGGAGGTCCTCAATGTCGTCAAGGAGGTGGTGTAGGTCGCATACTGCGACGGGGTAGGTGAGGATATACAGCACATTCGCACCCTGGGTGTATGTTCCCACCAGGGAGACAATATGGCGATGCACAAGCTTATCCATTATCTCCGCCTCCTCCCTCAGCCGCTCCAGCGTCGTATAGCGGTGTCGTCGGCGATCGATCTTCTTCCTCGCCATCGCGACCGCGCCATATGTGACCCTCTCGACAAAGGCGGCGCCGCCGGCGCCCAGGGGACCGTCAACGTGCACTTTGCTCTTCAGCTCGGTGTGCTTGATGTGTTTCTGGCCGGTGCCGGACCAGTATTTTTGTGAGGTGCTCCATTGCTCGATTTGGGCGCGGCTTTGGACGTCGGCCGCGGCGCGGGAGCGGTGCACTAGGTGCCAAGGGGAGTCTTGGTGGTCGTCCGTCATGGTTTTATGGGTGTGGGGGGAGGGGCGGCGGGGTTGGTGGAAGCGATGACCATGGTATGCGTATGGGATATTTGTTTTAATCAATTAATTAATCCACAGCTTCAATATTCCGCGCGGATTCTGCGCAGAGGATGAATTGAAGCAGCAGAGGAAGATATCCAAGAAGTGCTGAACGAGGCTGGAGTGGAATCGCAGTATCTGGACAATTTTGGATAATGGTGGGCATTGAGCTCAGCCGCAGATAGCTGTACAGCCTCGTTTCGGCTGGAATGGTAAGGGAGAGCGTGCGGCTCAGCACCTCGCCGCCTCACCGCTTCATCAGTTATAACCTCTCCCCTCCCCCTCCCCTTTTCTGCTCTCTCTCTTCCTCTTTCTCCCTCACTTCGCCCGAGTCTTCACCAAGAAACTGTTAGACCTCGTCTATACTGCCATGCTAATACACACTCTCTTTCATCAGCTCTGGTCGATGCACCATGGCCCGTGAACAACGATTTGCCTCATCTTGCGGAATGAGGCACAGGAGTGGTATATGACCAACACGAGAGAGAGTGAGGAGACATCTTTTCGGATTCCCGCTGGACGTTGTTACATCGGAGTCCGAGAATATATATCCCCTCTCTCCCACGTGCATCACCCAGAGACTCGCAGCTTCCATCCAACATTGCCCGAGGAGCTGGTATATTACCAACCCACCCTCCCCCCGTCCCAGCCTTGTTTCTCACCATCAACCCTACAACCCTTTGGCAGCAGGATGAATCTCTATAAGCAAGTTTCTTTTGTATCACCGATATTATACCCTCCGGTTTCAAACAGGGTTAGCCAAATAATCATAATAATCATGACTACTCCGTATTCAGATAGTCAAATATTACGTAAGCATGACTAGTCATAACTTAATCATGAATATGATTAGTTACGTGATGTTAGAATCACGTAGCCGCCTAAATAATTAGTATAGTAGAAAAGGAAACTAAATATATATTAATCTAGCTAAATACTACTTAAAGTATTAATTTAGCTATAAATTCCTCTTCTAGATCCGCTTCTTCCTTTATAAAATCCTAACTCTTAAACAAGCTATTACTCTAAAAACATCCTTTAAAAGCCTATTTCTAGTCTTTGAAATAATAAGGCTACCTATACTAAAAGAGCTCTCTATAGGAGACTAGTAGCAGGGATTTGTAAATAGTGTCTAGCTATAGTAGCTAGAATAGGAAATCGAGATTGATTTATTTTCTAATAGTCTAAAGCATCTATACTATACTACATTATAAAAGGCCAAGACCGATTGATTGACTATCATTTGTCGAAATTCAGGATTGGCTATGTTAGGTTCTAGCCCCACTTCCTACTTCTATAGGCTTAGCGCATAGAGTTTTCCCATAAACAATTTCTTGTCCGCTTATGCTTTGCTATGACTATTAATAATTCTCAAGGCCAGTCGTTTAAGCATGTAGGTGTTGATATATGGGCAGCTATGTTTAGTCATGGGTGTAATGGTGGGTGCACCAGATGTGAGAATCTAGCCACCCAAGGAAGGGATGATTTTACTAAGACAACACACTGTCTTAGGAAACAGAGCCAAAGGGTTGTAGCTTAGACTATTCCACAACGCAGCAATCAGGTGTGTGATGTAGTGAAGTGGTTCAGACAAGTTGCAACAAATGTTGAGTCTGGGAACTCAGGGGTAAGTCAGAGGTTAACACCTCACTGACTTTTCAGAAACAAGGAGTAACAAGATGAATGCTTGGAAGCTTGTAAAAGACGTGGAAGTATGTGATAGTCGATTTACTGTATTGTCTGCTTGCCCTTTCTTAAGGAAAGGGCAATCCTATTTATGCCAAAGGAGTGTAGTTCTCTCATTTTCCATGACTTTCCATGACTAACCAGGCTTGGTAAATGTATTAGAAATCAAGTGCGACCCACAACTAGCTTGCTAATCATGTAGTGAACGTAAGAGAATCCCATAGAACCATCTCTTGGGTTCCTAGCCTATAGGAAGTGAAAAGTGTCATACTGACATTCGTTGCACTCAGTTTGCTATCAAACTCAAGAGCAAACTTAGAAATCTCCTCCTCAAACCTACAAGTCACCATACATATCTTGGCTTATCACACCAACAACAGAAGCAATACTACTCAACGATTGCTGCAAACTCTTCTACTACATCTGTTTATGCTACATACATCACGGCATATCATTTGGACACTCATTGAACAAGTTATTAAGAAAATCTCCTCCTTAAGGGGGTGGGCCAATACTACCACATGGCATATCTCTACCAACTAGAGGCCTAGGAACATGAACGATAGCTCTAGAAGCTTCTACAACCCTCTATGATTCATTACACGTCATCGCTCCTTAGTTACCCACAAGATTGGTTAAGTTATGACATAATTTGTCTATAGGTACTCTGACCTTGGACCTCCTTTTCACTTCCTATAGGCTAGGAACCCAAGAGATGGTTCTATGGGATTCTCTTACGTTCACTACATGATTAGCAAGCTAGTTGTGGGTCGCACTTGATTTCTAATACATTTACCAAGCCTGGTTAGTCATGGAAAGTCATGGAAAATGAGAGAACTACACTCCTTTGGCATAAATAGGATTGCCCTTTCCTTAAGAAAGGGCAAGCAGGCAATACAGTAAATCGACTAGCACATACTTCCCCGTCTTTTACAAGCATTCATCTTGTTACTCCTTGTTTCTGAAAAGTCAGTGAGGTGTTAACCTCTGACTTACCCCTGAGTTCCCAGACTCAACATTTGTTACAACTTGTCTAAACCACTCCACTATATCATACACCTGATTGCTGCATTGTGGAATAGTCTAAGCTACAACCCTTTGGCTCTGTTTCTAAGACAGTGTGTTGTCTTAGTAAAATCATCCCTTCCTTGGGTGGCTAGATTCTCACATCTGGTGCACCCACCATTACACTCTAGTTGATAGAGATATGTCATGTGTAGTATTAGCCCAGTAACTAAGGAGTGATGTCATGTAATGAATCATAGAGGGTTGTAGAGATATGCTATGTGGTCATATCGGCCCAGTAACTAAGGAGCAATGACGTGTAATGAATCATAGAGGGTTGTAGCAATCATTGAGTAGTATTGCTCTTGTTGTTGGTGTGATAAGCCAAAATATGTATAGTGACTTGTAGGTTTGAGGAGAAGATTTCTAAGTTTGCTCTTGAGTTTGATAGCAAACTGAGTGCAACAAATGTCAGTATGACAGCGATCAGTTCCAGAAGCATTAACACAAAAGACAAGGCTAATTCGAGTTTTCTCCTTCTTTAATCCTGGAAGCGTTTGTGTTGCAAGCCCTCGAGACGGCATCATCTTCCAGTATAGGCCTGTCTCGTCCATATTATAAACGTCCTCCTGAAATTCACCGACTCGCACTCTCATATGCTATTACTGTGAGCTGGGTGCCCTGTGTCCTTACAGTATATCACTGCTTGTAAAACCTCCACGTGATTGAATTCGTTGCTGCCATATAATAAGGAGTCGCTCCACTTCTGGCCACTGTCCAACTCGTAGTCGTGATCCCGTAGGTTGTATAGCTTTGTCTAGATCTTCGAAATGTGAGCTTAAAGACTCGGAAACTGTCGACTGACTGAGTTTATGGCCGTAGTTCTGAGAGAACCATTCGATACATTGCTTTTGAGAAGGCTTCGGGTGTTGTTGATGTGCCCACTTGCGTAGAGCTCGGCGTTGCTCAATAGTTATTGCAAATCGTTTCGTCATTTCAAGGTCTGAATAGGAACACCATAGCACGGATAAAGCGATATTTGGGAAAGGGAGCACCGATATCGTGAGTATCGGTAATTGTATGGTGGTGTTGTCGGGACCAGGAAAAATATCGCAATAATGAAGTTATCGCTTAATCGAGAATCGTTATAATGGTGCTTTACTGTACACGCGTAGAAAATGTACACGCGTAGAATATGAGAGTGAATGAAGCAATGAAGTAATGCTCAACAATGGCTGAAATCTCAATACCACTACGTGCTGCAATTATTACCTTGCGTGTATACATGAACGCATCATATGGAGAGATTGAAAAGAAGCTTGGAATCTCAGCTGACTCTATTGCATATATATGGCACCAAACTGTTAAAAGGGCAGGGAATACTGAAATTCACAACCTTCTCCAACACCTCGAATCAAAGCCACGAAGCGGAAGACCACAGACAATTCAAAAGAATTCTGAAGAGTCACTACGCATACGATCTTTGCTACTTGAAAATCCATTTGACACTTTTCAACAAGTTATTAATAAGGAAAATCTACCCTACGCACGATCAATTGTCGAACGAGTTGCAAAGAATCACTCTCGTGTTGAAATTCCACAACCTATTGTATGGAAAAACATCTGCCTCAAGCCCTACTTGGATAATATCATTCCTTCAGTACGATGGAAATTCTGCAAATGGGCACTATCCGAACTTGAAGCTGGATCAATTTTTATTTTCTCAGACGAATCATATATCAATTTCAGAGGGAATCCACATAAGAAATGACGGATAACAGTTCAACGGGGTCAAACAGCAGAGAGCATGGCAATTCAACAGAAGAAATCTTTATTTCAAGTTATGTTTTGGGGAGCAATGAGTTCAGAAACCTCTATCTTATGCCCTTCTCGTTCATGGATTCCTGAAAGTATAGAAGAGAAGCAGATACATGTGCAGAAACTATGAGAGATAAATGCATATTGGAAATCAAAAGCAGAGAATGAACTTGTTAGAGCAACAACAGTTGGAACTCTTGAGTACGGATATATGGAAACTCTAAATGCAGATATTCGGAATGGCAAAAGCAAATGGAAAAAGGCACGAGTTGCTTCACAAGAGTTTGGAGATATAGAGACATGGAGTAGAGGACGGCAATCAGAAGGGCAAGAAGTTTCAAAGGGCAGGATTGATTGGTTTCTATATCGAGAGATGGTTCTTATTCCTCTTCTCTTCCCCTACTTTCAAAAAGTAAAGGCTTTACATCCTACAAAACGAGTATGGTTTGTGGATGATAATGTAAGTCTTCATTTGAAGGCTCACTGATCATTGGAAGATTATATGAAGAAGGAGGGAATCTATAGAGTGAAATTTTGGCCTCCAAACTTTCCCGATTTGCACCCTAATTGAAAATGCCTTTGATTATCTCAAGGATCAGGTTGACGGCTATACACCATTAAACGGAGGGAAGTTTGAGAGAGCTCATGCACGGGTATTTCTTGAGGAAGAATGGGGGAAAAAAATGGATGGGAAATCTACACAATTATGTGCTTCGTTTAAGGACAAGTTGGAGCGGTGTATTGCAGTCAATGGGGGGAACAACTTTCGTGGGTAGATCAGTACGAGTAGAGCATGTACATGCATTTTCTCCAAGTACTTACACGCCCCACTTATTATGCACAGACCCTGTGGAAACTTTTGGGCCGCACGAGTACCTCGCGACTGAGATTATAAGCATTTATAAGCATCTCGAATTCTCTAGAAGTTTGTAGAAGTTTGTAGAAGTTTATATAGAATTCTCTAGAAACATTTCGTTTTTCTTATCTTATCTTATTTTATCGCTTATCTAAACATATCTAAATAGGTAATAACAAAGCGTAATAAGGTATAGATTATAATCATGATTATGATTATGCGCTTTGTAAATAGTTAAATCATGATTATAATTGATTTCCCAACCCTGCTTTCAAATACGCCCGCTAAACCTCGCTGTTTAGCGGGCTATGTGAAAGCGGAGGGTATGGAGTCGCCGATACGAAGAACCGGTTTTATTACACGAGATTTGTTTCTATTACTACGCAAGGACAGCGTCACGAATACGGGATTGCAAAACAAGCCGCCGCAAAACCCCCGCATCGTGCACGTTTGGAAAGAAAGAAGCCGCCTGTGGTGAAAGCGGGGATTGGGCAGCGAAGAAGAAGCCGCCTGTGGTGAAAGCGGGGATTGGGCAGCAAGAGGAGATGGAGATACCGATGCCGCGTATTAGGACGACAAAAACTTTGGAAAACCATCCCCACAAAAGGTAAAAACAGAAAACGAATTGTTGCTCGCATACATACACTACACACTGCACACACACCCCCCTCTTGCTCTCTCCCCACCCCACTCAAACAACCATGCCCATCCCCATCCCCATGCTCATCCCCAACCCAAGCACCTCATCCATCTCCCCCCCCATCCCCCCATCCCCCCCATCCCCCCCATCTCCCCCATCATCCCATCCATCCCCCCTCCACCATCCCCATCCCACCCCCCACCATATCGTCCACAACCGGGGTAATCCCAGAATCAAACCCCCCCCGGCAGACCCCGAGAACAAATCGTCCATATCCTCGCTCCTCCTCACCTCCTCCTCCCTCTCCTCTTCTTCCTCCTCCATCTCCTCCAGCTCATTCGCATTGTACCCCTCACTCCCACTAGCACTCCCCACACTCTCCCTCCGACTCCCCATCCCCCGACCCACACTCTCATCATCATTCAACCCCAGATTCAAACCCGCAAGCGCCGCGCTCCCTACGCTCCCTCTCGCACCCCCCCACGCCCCCCCCACGCTCCCCAACCCATCCAAATAAGCCACCACCCTCTCATCCCCACAAACCCTATAATGCGGCAACAACAGCCCCCTCAACCCCTCCACCTCGCGCCTCAACCTCTCCACCTCCGCAGATTTCGCGCGATTATCCTCTCCCAACGCCTTAACGCGCTCCACCACCTCTTCAGTCTGCGTCTTCTTCTTGACGCGACACTTGTAAGCAGCTTCCCTGTTGCGCTTCAGGAATGTCTCGCGCTTGAGCGCGGCTTGTTCAGCAGTCGTGGTTTTCTTCGAGGAGCGCCGGGGTTTGCGCGGTTTCTTGACTTTGGCGGGTGCTTCTGCGGGGGGTGAGGTTTCCGTCATGCTGTTGCGACCGCCGCTGTCATGAGAGGATGTGGTGGTAGCCGTCGCTATCGAGGAGATGCTTTCTTTCCCCTTCCTACTCACCCTCCGACTCGCCCTCCCCTTCCCCGGCCCCGGACTCGTAGCCGTCTCGGGTGAGTCACCGGGGGTAACCTGCCCATGATGCACGACCGTGCGGGCATCACCCGGTTCAAAGCCCGATGTGAGGATCGCGAGGGGGGGCGCTTGCTGGGATGCTGGGGCTTGGTGGTGGTGGTGGTTGTTGTTGTTACTAATGGGATTGTTGTTATTTCCGTTGCCATTACTCCACCCATCCTGCTGCACCCCCCAAACCGGCGAATACGTCTGCTGGCCCCCTTGCCCCTGCCCCTTCATAGGCATAAACCGCTGATTCGGCACCGGCGACGAAAACGGCGAGTCAGCGAAGAAATGAGAAAGGTCGTCGTGGGGTTTGGGGAAGTCGAGCGGGGCCGTCGCTGTTAGTGCGCTGTGTGGTGCGGTGGTGTCGTCGGAGGGGTAGGATGTGGGTGCCGCGGCGCTGCTGGTGGTGGTGGTGTGCGCGCCGGAGAGGTAGGAGGGGTTGAAGAAGTCCGGGACTTGGTGGTAGTCTAGGTAGGCGTCTGGGTAGGAGAAGGAGGGCATCTCGGGGTCGAGCATGTGGAAGGCGTCGGCGGCGGACATGGTTAGTGGGTCTTCCATGTTTGCGGTGTTTGATAATGTTGGTGTGTATGTGATAATGAGATTTGCTTCGTTTGCGAGCAACTCTGATCTTGGGTAATGGGCTGATAATTGTAGGCCTCTTGAGGAATCCCCGTCGAATCCGGCGACGAGCAAGAATATGATAATGTGATGTGAAGAGCTATTATCTCTCCGCTTCGAATCGTATTAACAAAAAAACAGCAGAATGCGCCTCGTTCCTTTGTGCAAGTAGGTGGTATGTAATGTTATCGGAGCACGGCCGTATTTAATCGTTCGCCTTGTCCTTTGTGGTTATGTATGTTGTGAGAGCAAGCTCGACCAGATTAATATGTATCAACAATCCACTGCGCAGGCGCAATCTCAATGCAACTTCTTAAGAATTCGTCTTTATTCTAAGCGGAAGAGCAAACAAGGTCAGCATGTTATTCTCATAAGTGACGCCAGGCCGTCCCGTTGCTGCTGCAACAACTGAGAAACGAAGCAAGAAAGCAAGAAGCAGCCCAAGTGATAACATACCACAAGTTTCCTTCCCACGCGTATGTTCTCACAGCTAGTAATGCTGCGTCGTATTATAATAATCCTTCAATAATCCAAGCTCAGCTCTTTGGACCTCAAAAACCTGGCACCCCACAGCAGTCTTATATATAGGTAGGCAGCGGCCCAAACAACCACGACAGCTCCGTCCGAGCTAGTCGCCTCCCTAGTGCCCAGCCTTTGGGTGGTACGGTTCTGGACCTTGCTTCGCAACCTCTCTCGATCTGCTCTCGATCGGCCTAGCACGAGCCGGGCAGAAGGGCAAAGGCTACAAGAAATCGGCCGGTGGGTGTAGAGCTTGCAAGCTTACCCGGAAAACCGACCGTCTGGTCGTGATGGGTTGCCTAGAGGCGGCTGATTGGGTCGGCGGCGGCGGCAAGGCGAGGGTGGTGGTGAAGCTTGGAGACGAGGTTTGGGGCGATTGGAGGCCGAGCCGCGGTAGATGGGGGGTGGTACGTAGTTAAGTAGTGTAGTGTAGTTGTAGTGTTGTAGTAGTGAGTAGTGAGTAGTGCGAAGTGAGAAGTGAGTAGTGAGAAGTGAGTAGTGAGTAGTGAGTAGTGGCGTGTAGTTGGTAGGACCGAGGGTGGTTGAGGATCTTGGTCGAGGAAGACTGAATGGGGAAGAGCTCGCTCGGCGGGGGAAGAAGCTTGGGATTGTAGTGTTTTTTGGCGGTAGTAGATTGGCTTTGGTACACAAAGCTCGTTTTGTGTGTATGATTCTGGATTGGAAAGAGGGGGGAAGGAAGGAGGGAGGGGGGAGGGGGACGAAGAAGTTTGGGGATTTCGGAAGATAAAGACGGAGGGAGTTCCTGCTCTTCTTGTGTCCTCTTCTTGTGTTGGGTTTTCCGACTTTCTGATTTTTCTGCACTTGTTTTTGTCCCTTGAGGAAGAAATGGCCGGGATGGGGGAATGGGGAATGGGAAATGGGGAATTGGGTCGTCAGCAAGCGTCAAGCGTGAATTATTTCGGAAAGCAACCATCATAAAGCTTGGAAGGGGACATGGGAAAGCTGGGAAGATGGGAAGCTGGGAACATGGGAACATGGATCAAGAGGTTACGTATCAGAGGGCAGGCATTATGTTGGCGGAGTTGGTTTGTAGGTTGGTTTGTTAGTAGGAGTAAGTTGTATACGGATTGGTGTATATGGAGTCTAGTGTAAACAACAAGTTGTCGCGCGAAGAATGTAGGGAAAGTAGTGGTAGGGAAGCCGGACATGGTTTCTGCATTCTGTCATGGTATTCCTGTGTAATTCTGTATTTCTATTTGTTCTGGAGCGGAAGGAACAATGGAAGCTGGGCTGGTTGGCTGGTGACGGATGCATGGGAGCTGCATCTGGGGGTGTGTGGATTTGAGGGAGTGGGTATGGGCAGTATAGTGAAACATATTTTTAGTGGATATGGATGGGATAGTGCTACATATTTTTAGTGGATATGGGTATGGGAGGGTATGGGATGGGTATGGGAGGGTATGGGAGGGTATGGATGGGTATGGGAGGGTATGGGATGGGTATGGGTGGGTATGGGATGGGTATGGGCATTATAGTGAAACATATTTTTAGTGGATATGGATGGATATGGATGGATATGGATGGATATGGATGGGGATGGATGGGGATGGATGGGGATGGATATGGATCAGTCGACGCCGATCGATCGGGGTTCTCTTGTCTTGTCTTGTCTTACCACTACCACTACCACTACCACTACCACTAACACCACTAACACTAACACCACTAACACTAACACCACTACCACTAACACTAACACCACTAACACTAACACTAACACCACTAACACTAACACCACTAACACTAACACCACTAATAATAACACCACCAACACTAACCACTCCACCACTCCACCACTCCACCACTCCACCACTCCACCTACCACCTACCCACCCACCCCCAAGCCCCACAAACCAACCGTCACAACGCTGCCTAGACAATTCCCATGTCTCACCCTACCCCATGCGTGCACATCCCCATCCCGCCAGCACCGAATCCGTAACCCACCTCCGCGATCTCGATGCGTGCGGCTCGTGCTACCAACAGACCGCCCAGCCCATCGAACGATGTTAGGTGGCTTGGTGGCATCTCTCGGCTCCAGCTGCGTCTTTGGGGAGGGTAGGACACGAATGCCGAGGACAGGACTGGGAGGGTATGGTGTGGTGTGGTGTGGTTGGCAGACTGGGATATTAGGGGGGGGGAGGGGGAGGGTAGGGGAGGGGAGGGGGTGGTTGTGGTTGTGGGAGTGGTTGTGGTTGTGGTTGTTGTGGTTGTTGTGGTTGTGGTTGTGGTGGTTGTGTGTGGTTGTGGTTGTTGTGGTTGTGGTTGTGGTTGTGGTTGTGGTTGTGGTTGTGGTTGTGGTTGTGGTTGTGGTTGTGGTTGTGGTTGTGGTTGTGGTTGTGGTTGTGGTTGTGGTTGTGGTTGGTCTGTGTTGCTGTGGTTTCGGGGTTCGTGGTGGTGGAAGGCGTAGATGGATTCAACTTCCCTGTCGCCATCTGTTGTCATACGGTCACATGACCCCAATATAGTCACATGACCTCAACATAGTCACATGACCTGTCTAGTCATGTTAGTGGTGCTCCCCCCTCTGGATTTCCGCATCACTACTCCGTACCGCGGGCGGTTTCCGCATTACCGGAGTTGGGAGCTTACCCGAGCTGTGTAGTCGGTACACCAACCCATACACCAATCCATGGGTTTGGAATATCGACATCGCAATCGCAATCATGGATGGAGGGGGAGAAAGGGGATTTGGAATTCCCATCATGGCTTTTCGGGAGAAAGGGGATTTTGAATTCCCATCATGGCTTTTCGGGTCAGAGCGGGGGGGGGTCCAGATATCTTGGTTCCCCCATCCCATCCCATCTACCAACCCCCCCAATCCCATCTACCAACCCCCCCAATCCCATCTACTACCCCCCCAATCCCATCTACCACCCCCCCATCCCATCTACTACCCCCCCCAACTATCGATTATCGACCACCCACCCACCGTCCCACGCATCCCACGCATCCCACGACTGGCGACCGAACTGGCTTCCCCGCGCTTCGGGGGGTGTAGATCAATCGATCGATCGACCGGGGGTGGCGCTGTGTGCGTGCCCGTGTAGTGCTGTGGAGTGTAGGGTAGGGTGGTGGAGTGTGGTGTATCCCACGATGCGGACCTGCGTGCGGCGTTTGCTTCGCGGAGTGGATGTGGTGGGTGTAGTGGATGCCGCATGGTGGGCGGGGGCGTGTGCAGGACGTGTTGGTGTGGGTGAACCACGCCCCGAGACCGGTGCTGTTGTGCATGGCTGTGCATGCATGCATGATGCATGCAGGAACGGACCGGTTGTCACCCGCAGGTGAGACATGGCCTGATGTTGCGGGTGAGGTTTGCCAGGATGTGGGTTGGGATCCTGTTGGGATCCTGTTTGAGGCAGGAGGGGGGGGGAAGCTGTGGGGGATTACGGCCTCGACTATGACGCACCCCTCCTCTCCCCTCTTGGTGGTGGGAAGGGGATGGGGTTGGCGGCTGGCGGCTGGCGGCTGGCTGGGTTTCTTGGCTCATGACTGATTTAGTTGTAAGCATGAACGGGTGCGAGCCTTCTCGTCTATAGGCGTAGGGAAGAGAGTCAGGAGGGGCAGGAGGGGCAGGAGGAGGGGCAGGAGGGGCAGGAGGGGCAGGAGGAGGGGCAGGAGGGGCAGGAGGGGCAGGAGGGGCAGGAGGGGCAGGAGGGGCAGGAGGGGCAGGAGGGGCAGGAGGGGCAGGGAGGAGGAGCATAGGGCTGAGTTCATCAGGAAAATCCACCATCACCCCCCCCCCCTCTCCCCCTCCCCCCCCCCCTCCCCCCCCCCTCTCCCCCCCCCTCTCCCCCCCCAATCCCAGCCTCGTACGACTCGTACGACTCGTACTCGTACGACTCGTACCACCACACCTCCCTACGTAAAAATTCTCAACCACCTAGAAACTAAAAACCCGTTTTCCTCGACGTTGGGGATTTCCAATGCCGGATTTCGGGTGTTATCTGAAGAAAGAATGAATGAAGAGGAGGAATGTACACAAGGGTACTTGGGAACGTCACCGGCGCGGAGGAGTTGCTGCATCCGGATGGAGAAGAATTCGAAGGTTGACGAAAAACTTGTTCTTCGCATCATTGTATCTACTTGTAACGTACTCTGCAGTACATCGCCAACGCCGACAGACAGCGCCAATCATGCTTTCGCCATCCATCCCATCTTTATTCGGGCCATCTAAACCTTCCCCCCACTCTTCCCTCACGTTCACGCCAGAAACAGTGGCTAAAAAAAAACCGGTGACGCCGAACTGACGCTCCCCTCGGCGGTAACACTACCAAACCGAACCTGAAGCTCCGCTTTCCCGATCTCGGATTGCACCGTCCACCTGCATCGGCTAGAGCAGAGACGGAAAAGACGGAAAGTTGGCAGTGACGGCGGAACTCCCTCCCTCCACCGACCGACCGACCCGCTCCCTAATCCCTAAATCTTTACCTCCCCGGACGCACGGACGACGAGGCGAGGGGGGGGTCCACTGGGTCCACACCCCTATCGCGCACGGCATGGGGGTCGGTAGTTCTAGAGCGGTCTTTGGGCGGCGGAGCGGTCACGTCGGGGGGGGAGCCGGTGGAAGCCCTCGCCGCTGAGACGGCTGAGAGGAGTGAGAGTACGCAGTAGGGTGTGGTTTCTCGGACCGGCGGCGTGATGCTGCCAAGCTCGATGATGGGCTTGGTGTCACATGCGATTGTTTGTCCCTACGTAGGTCCGCAGACTGGGTGGGTGGGTGGAAGGGCAGTAAGCCGTAGACAGCGTTAGTTGGTGAGTGGAGGGTGAGGGTTGGCCGCAGACACTGTTTGTGGTGGAAGGGTGAGTAGGTAGTTCTGGCACCGCCCATCCACCCGCCCCTTTGCGGAACTTGCGCAGCACACACACACACACACACACTCACCCGTCGCGGAACACGCGGCGCATCCCTTTACCCCTTCAGCATTTCCCCTTTCCCCTTGCCAGCTTCCCGCTGAAGATAAGTTGACTGCGAATTGATTCCGTGAGCCAGGCACATGGAGAGAGGTGGTTTGTCGCCTCCCACACCTTGCGGAAAGCGTGGCGAATCCATTTACGCCTCTACGCCTTTCCCCTTGCCAGCCTCCTGCTGACGATAAGTGACTCTGCGAATTGAATTGAACCCGTGAGTCAGGTGCAAGGGAGGATAGGTAGTCTGTCGCCTCCCACCCTCTTGCGGGACTTGCGCAGCGCCCCTTTCGCCGCTGGCAAATCAGTGCGCCCCTTTCGCTGCTCGGGAACCATTTGCAGCGCGCCGTTTCCCCCTTTCCCTTCCTCCCAGTGAAAATAGATCAGGCGAATCAGAGGAGGGAATAGGTAAATATATAACCTCTCTAAAAAGGCTTAGCGACCTTGCGCAGCTCACTGGTGCCGGTCACGGGGTCGCGGTACTCGCGCCAGCTGACGGGGTGCATGGCGTTGCCGGCGTCGCTGGTGGCCATGAGGACGCCGAGGTCGTTTCGGGCGGTGGAGAGGTAGTAGTTTGACTGATCGCCGAGGGAGATCTGGGGGGGTTGTTAGGATGAGGTTGCGAGAGGATGGGGGGTTAAGGGGATGGTAAGTTGGGGGTGAAATAAAAAAGGGGGAGAGGAAAAGGGGGTAGAGTAAGGACCGATGGAAAAGAGGGTAGGGAGAGAGAGGAAGGGGAAAGGGGCCGGACTTTGAAATGGTGGGGAAGCATAATGTAAAAACGAGAAATGTGAAAATAGTAGAAAGGAATAAGAAAAAAATACATGCCACAATAGCCCTAACCACATCCCCCGGTCTGAAGCTCTCCGCAATCTTCACCCTATCCTTCTCCGTAGCACGCACATCCTGAACCCTCACAACGCCCTGCCACTCCCCCTCACCAACCGTCTCTCCCACCACTAGAATCGCCACACTCGCCTGCCTCGCTGTGATCCTCGTCACGCGGCACAGCACAATACTGCTGACCTCTGGAATGGCCTCTCGCTTCGCCGTCTGCACCTCGCCGGGCTTGGTATCGAGTGCCGGGCTGCGCAGGACAGAGATGGTAGGCAGGGGTGTCGGCGCGGAGGGAGTGATCTTGGTGAGACGCTTTTGAGGACCGACGGGCTTGGGGGGGTGGGTGAGGTGGATGGGTCCGAGGATTGAGGCGTGGATTTGGGAGAGGTGGAGGTGCGTTCCTGGGCCTGGGATGTATTTGGTTGAGGCGCCGAGGGGCTGGCCTGGGATGGCGATGGATGGGGGGGTGGTCGCCATTGTTGGTATTTGTTTGTGGGAGTGTTGTGAGGGGTTATGGTGAGGTTGTTGATTTGTTGATCGGTGTGGTGTTGTTGTCGAGAAAGTGAAATTTGGAAATTCTGGAGAAGGCTGAGCTAGGTTGTTTTGAGGTGGGGGCGGCAGAATTTGGGCGGTGAGAGGGGGGGAGCTCCGACGTCATGGGGGGGTGGTTCAGCTTCAACCAGGGATCGGAGGACACAAAAGGATAGTTATGGTATATTATATTTATTGATTTTGCATATGATTAAGGAATAAATAGCTGGAAAATTTCCGTGAGTTTTTAGACCGTACCTCCAGTCAATTCCTCCAGTATTCGTCTCCGCTGTCTGCTTGCTGAGGGTAACGTGGGCGGATAATATGAGAGAGCGAGTAACTGATGGATGCACAACAGAACACAGCACATAACATTAATACCTCCGGTTCGGGATTACAAGGAAGCTCCCCAAATCGGAACTTTTAGGATCTACCACATAGCTCGGCTGGAACCTTGCGCAACTCTTGTGAGACCGAATTTGTGGTCTCATCGGCATACGTGCATATTCCTACGGAGAAACAGCTAGCTAGGCATTGTGGTAACACTCTGGCTTCCACTTGCTTTATTCCAGCTTCATAATCGACCGCAAAGCCAACATCAGACAATGTCGACCAAGCACTTCTTCAACGACCCCACCCACCTCGTCAATAGTGCTCTCCTGGCAGCCTCTCTCACCAACCCTGCACTCGCTGTCGACTCGCACCACAAAATCGTCTACCTGCGTCCCTCCGATGCTCCCTCCCAAGTCTCCCTCGTCTCTGGTGGCGGCTCCGGACATGAGCCCTCCTTCACTGGGCTCGTTGGCCAGGGCCTGCTAACTGCGTCCGTCGCGGGCACGATCTTCGCCTCGCCATCTGCCGAGCAGATCAGCGCTGGCATAGTGGCGCGCGTTGACACAGACAGGGGCGTGCTTGCCATTATCATGAATTACACGGGCGATGTCCTGAATTTCGGGATGGCGGTCGAGAAGGCCAAGTCTGCTGGCGTGAAGGTCGATATGGTGGTCGTGGGAGATGATGTTGGTGTTGGGAGGGCTAAGTCTGGGAAGGTGGGCAGGAGAGGAATTGCGGGGACGGTGTTGGTTGTTAAGATTGCGGGCGCGTTGGCGGAGTTGGGTTATAGCTTGGAGGATGTGACGAAGGTCCGTCTAGGTGACTCATTGGTGATGGCACCGCCGCTAACAGAAACCTAGATTGCGAATCTGACGGCCGAGAACCTCGTGAGCGTCGGCGCCAGTTTGGATCACGTCCATGTCCCCGGCCGCGAGTTAGTTGACCAAAATGACTCCGACCGCCTGAAGTACGAAGAAACCGAAGTCGGGATGGGAATCCATAACGAGGCTGGCTCTGCACGTTTGTCCGTCACGCTCGGAGAGCTGGTCACGACGATGTTAAAGCAACTTCTCGACCAGAGCGACAAGGACCGTGCCTATCTCAAGGTCAACTCCAAGGAAGTCGTCCTCCTAGTCAACAACCTCGGTGGCGTGAGCCCCCTAGAAATGGGTGGCATCATAAGCGAAGTCGCTGCTCAACTTCGACGCAATTACCAGATCGAGCCATGCCGCATCCTCGCCGGGACATATATGACCAGCCTCAACGGCCCAGGCTTCAGCATCACGCTTCTGAACACCGTTCCCACCAGCCTTCCACCTACCCTCCTCTCCCTTCTTGACGCCCCCAGCCAAGCCACGGGTTGGGCAGCCCCAATCCTCGCTAAAACCTGGACCGCAGATAACACTGCCACGCGCGAGAAGCCGCATCAGACCGCCTCCGCTGCTCAACCCACCGGACTAACCATGGACGAGGTCTCCGCGCGGCACCGCCTCAACGCCGGCCTCGCGCGCATCATCGCTGCTGAGCCGCGTGTTACGCGTTACGACACTGTCGTCGGTGACGGTGACTGCGGCATCGGACTCAAGCGCGGTGCAGAGGCTGTGCAGGCCATGCTGTCGCGTGCACAGCCGTCCGGCGACGTCGTGGTTGATGTGCGGTCCGTGGCGGCTGTGGTGGAGGCGAGCATGGACGGGACGTCTGGTGCGCTTTACACAATTTTCCTGAACGCGCTGGTAGCGGCCCTGAGGATGCAGGGGAAGGGTGTGGCGACAGAGCAGGTGTGGGCGAAGGCGTTGGGAGAGGCGTTGTTGGCGCTCGAGAGATATACGCCTGCTAAGCCCGGGGACAGGACGTTGGTGGATGCGTTGGAGCCGTTTGTGGTTACGCTTGGCGAGACGGCGGATTTGAAGAAGGCGGCGGAGGCGGCGAAGAAGGGGGCGGAGGGGACGAGGGGTATGGAGGCCAGTTTGGGGAGGACGGTGTATGTTGGCGGACAGGGGTTCAAGGATGTGCCTGACCCAGGAGCCTACGGACTGAGTGAGTTTTTCCTTGGATTGGCGGGGATAGAGGAAGAGACGGATGGGGGGGAGGCGTAGGATGCTGCTTGAATAGTTTGGTTAGTTCCCGTATTGTGGGATGATCTTTCTGGTTAGATATACGGGGACCTCGTTCACAGGGGCGAGGGAGGATCTTAATTGTCATGGACTGTATTTTATCAACTTTTTGTATAACGCCCCGTTTGGTCCTAACCCGGAAATCTTATGATATGATGAACCCCAAGCCAACCAATAGACCCATATGAACCTTTCAAAACCACCCACGCGAAACACTCCGCTCAACTGAGCAAGACGAGAATGACTGAATCTCCTCTCAAGAACCTAGTAAATACACATTAGCAGTGCTCTCGATAATACAGACCATCTCTGCACACTCCCTGCACACTCCCTGCACCAACAAAGCCAGCACCTCCCTCCCATCACACCTCGAACCAGAAGAGAATCTCCAACTCACATCTTACTGATAAAGCGATCCTTATTCACCGGCCTCCCCTTCTTTCCACCCGCCAACCTCGGCGTCTCCGTCCACATCTCCTTCACATTCTCAAGCACCATATTGCAGTGGCGATCGAAAGCCTTGACGCGCGCCAACAGCTTGCGGTTGTTGCGGCACGAGATCAGCACCTGGGAGTGCGAGCGCACTGCCGTCTGCAGGATCGAGAGCGGGCCGCTGGTGAATTCGTGCTGCTCGAGGGCGGCGACCTCGAATTCGCTAGATGGGGGTTAGCAGGGCGTGGGGCTGGCGTATGGGGGGTGGAAGGCGTGGTGGTCTGGGGGAGTATGCTCATGGCCTGGGGAGGGGCAGGGACGTACGTGAGGTCGTTGCGTGGCTTTGCCAGCAGTTCTCTGGAGGGATATTAGCATTTTGGAATTATGATTGGGTTGTCGAGGTAAAGACATACTGGATCTTGGCTGTGTCGGCCATGGTGAATGTGTAGAGTGGTTTGGTGAGGTTTTGTTCTTTTCTTGGCCGTCACGAAGTTCACGTCTGGATGCGATTAAAGGTTGCACCACCTCAAAATCGACTAGCGCCATATCCAGCAACCAACTTTGGTGGGACGTGCACTGCATTTCAACACTTGTAGTACGGCAGCCGAGAATATCCGAGGCCCCGGCTGCATTTTTATTGACGGACGGGGGTTTGGCGTTATATTAAGGCCTTTTCTCCCTGGCATTGCAGTCTCAATGATCTCGCGTTCTCTCTATAGAAGAGCTGGTGTAGCGGTTAGCTGGAACTCTCGCGCAACGATGCCCCTCGCTTCGAAGATTCAGAACCCAGCTTTCAGGGCGCAGGTACGAGGATTGAAATACTTTCATGGGATATGGGGGCTAATGGGATGTAGATGGCGACGAAGGCGACCGATGGAGCTGTTATTAAGGAGCTCCCTGGAGACGAGTCAGAGGATGTTCTGTTCGACACGTTATATGGCCTGCGTACCATCGAATTGAACAGGCCGAAGAAGCTCAACTCGCTGAATGGGTCGATGGTACGAAAGATTGTGCCACGCATGCAGGAGTGGACCAAGTCGGACATGGCGAATATTATTCTACTGAAGGGAGCGGGAGAGAAGGCGATGTGCGCTGGTGGAGACGTGGCAGAGTTGGCGAAATGGAACTCAGAGGGACCTGAAGGACAACAACGATCAACCGACTACTTCGGCCTCGAATACAAGCTGGACCATATGATCGCGACTTACAAGAAGCCGCTGGTGGCGCTGATGGATGGTATTACCATGGGAGGAGGTGTTGGCCTCAGCATTCACACACCACTCAGGATTGCTACAGAGAGGACAGTCTTCGCCATGCCAGAGACGACAATCGGCTTCTTCCCAGATGTTGGAGCTTCGTTCTTCCTCCCAAAGATGAACGGCTCCGTCGGCACGTATCTCGCTCTTACCAGCGACAGGCTAAAGGGCGCCAACGTCTTCTACGCTGGCATCGCGACCCACTACATCCACTCTACGTCGCTACCATCTCTCGAGGCTCGTCTTGCGGAACTCCGTTTCAACGACTACGACTCTCTCGACACCCGCCTAAAGCTCATTGACTCAACGATCGATGAATTCACCACCGGCCTCCCCCACGATGAGCCGATCCAGATCGCCGGCGCTGTGCGCGAGGCTATCGACCGCTGCTTCAGCCCCAACAGCGTCCCTGAGATCATTGCTGCTCTCGAGGCTGAGACTGGCGAGACCCAAGAGTGGGCCCAGAAGACCCTCAAGACTCTTCACCAGCGCTCGCCAACGAGTGTCTACGTCACGCTCCGCCAGATGCGCCTCGGCAAGACCTGGAGCATCAAGGAGACCTTCCAACGCGAGCACCAGATCGCGGCCAAGTTCATGCGCCACCCCGATTTCACCGAGGGTGTCTCAGCGCTACTGATCCGCAAGCCGGAGCCTGGACAGCCACGCCAGCCCCCGAAGTGGCAGCCTGCATCACTCGAGGATATCAAGGCGAGTGACAATGTCGCGGAGCCGTTCTTCGAGGTTGAGGGCTCGAAGAAGCTCAGCATGCTAAGCGAGGAGGACTATACCAGCTACCCTCACGCCAAGTACAGCTTGCCGACGGAGAGCCAGGTCGCCCAGTATGTCCGCAGCGACCTGAAGTCGAGGAAGTCCATCGTCAGGGATTTCGTGCAGATGAGGAGTGGGAAGCAGGGCATCAAGGAGGTGGTTGAGGAGATTTTGTCGAGGAAGACGACTGTCCAGGATGGAAAGGCCGTCTGGATTGACTAAATGGATGGAATGGATGAAGTGGATGGAGTGGATGGATGAGGGGGTGGGCTGTGGATAAGGGGTTGATGTGGCTGTACGATATTGTGGAATAGACGGCGATGGGGCCTTGGTTGGCGGGAAGATCATATATATATATATATATGCGCGACGGCGACCTTGCTCACAGTACTCCGTACGCAAGTTTATGTCTGAACCACGGTACCGAAAATGGCAGGATTTAAAGCGACTACATATAAAACCAGGGCATGTAGCAAAGCGGTTATAATGGGCACAGGATTATTAGCACTTTACAGCAAATGACTGGCGTCGTGTTATCTGGTCTGACGAGTGCATAATTAAGCGTGGAATAGGAGTAAAGCATATGATAATACCTAGCACTGTGGACTAGGTGTAAAGAAGATGTTTTAGGCAGCATTTAACTACGACCGTCGTACAGCACTTGTTCCTATGGATGGTGATCCTCTTGCACCAGGTCGAGGTGCAACTACTCGCATTTACCGTGATGTACCGTGATGTGCTTGCAGAACACCTGCTAACTATTGCAGATGAGAACTCAATTTTATGCAAGATGGAGCCGGAATCCATCGGTCTGGGCTTATACATGATTTGGCCACCTTATTCACCAGATCTCAATCCAATTGAGAACCTGTGGTTAGTTCTGAAGCAACTTATCTACGAGCGGTATCCTGATCTTGAGCATGTAGCAGATACAGAATTTGTCAAACTCAATGCCACGTCCCGTAACTTATAGGCAGTAATTGAGGCTGAAGGCTGGTATACTAAATACTAGAATAATCAATTGTGAATACTTGCCACCTCCCACTGTACCGGATTATCTATCGCCATCGCGGCATGGATGGTGTTGGAAAATAAAATTCATTATTATTCCAGCCACCAAGGGTCATGTGATTAATAGGAGGCCCCATGGCTTTGAGTTTAGCTGACGAGCTGAGGCTGAGTCATAGGATGTTATCATCGAAGAACATCAAAAGTGCCGAGTATATATAGCCGATGAAATCCCCCCTCGGAGAAAAACCTTTCAAAGAACTTGAACCGATTTCTTCAAAGGAACGGCATATCACATTACCTTACGGAGTACTGCCATCCAAGAAAATACGGCGGGTCGACAGCAGCCATTAGCGAATCCCCCAGCTGAAATCGAGAGGCTGGAATTTGTCGGTTCGGGGACTTTTTAGGCTTTCGGGTCCACTATCTTGCGGCCCTGCGCGTCCCTGTTTAGCGTTAGCCGCTCTCAGCTTTAGCGCGATAAGTACGCGGTCTGGTGAAGCTTGATGTCGAGGTCGACGTGATTGATCTCCACATACCAATTCCTCCAATTCTTCCAATTCTTCCACCCACCATTCTTGCTACTCTCTACAATTATACTCAGTTCTACTCTATTATACCCTCGACACACCTACTACTTTATAATTGTTTTACCTCCTCACCCACCACTACAAGGCAAGGTACAACCAACGCGTTTACGAATCCACAAACAGGACGACACCTCGAAACACACCAACTCGACACCCCGCGATCGAGTCCTATCTATGCCCACAACACCGTGACCTCTTCCTCAACCGATGTGCAAGCTTCCCGGCTTATAAGACCTTACCAATCCTGGCCGCGGGCCAGTGCCGTACCCGATGTCGTCGCCGCCACTGACCGCTCGGGGCGCCAGCTCACAACCCCCTATGCCTCCGTCTCGCAACCAACCCGGCACCACCGATGGCGAGAGTGCCGGCGTGACAATCAGGTCTATGAGACGTATGCATCCTGTGCCCAGCAGCTCAGCAACCCTAGCTAACCGTGCGTGCTCCCAACAGTGAAAGTCCTCTACACCTTCGACGACCAGAATAAGACGAATTGCCTAGCGAGATGGCCGCATGTGTTACAGATCCAGGCTGTAGCTATGGACGAGAACGCCACCATCGGTGTCATCGAGCTGAAAACCTGCATCCAAGCTATCGTGCAATGCTCCCCCGAGCTAGTCGCCAAGCTGGGACAAGATTACACCGTATACGCCTACGACTACTCCGAGTACGACAACCCGCTCGTCGGCCAAGGCATGCTCTCCTGGGCCCTCGCGGCCTCTTTACCCACCCCCGAAGCACCCGCCAGCCAACCCCGCCAGCTTATTACCGGCCGCGTGTGCAAGAACATCCAGGGCCTGTTCTCGAACGGCGTAGCGGAGACGCTGGAGGTGAAGTTGCGTCTCGTTCCCGTGCCGACGGTGCTGCAGAGCGAGTATGTGCGCAGTATGGAGACGTACCGAGAGATTAGCAAGGCGATGCCGGTGGGGTTTGATCATGGCGAGTGGTTAGCGTTCTTGCAGTCGAATCCCAGCGTGGGACAGGTTGCGAATAGGGTGAATACGCCGGTGCCGATGCCGAGTCAGAGGAGTGGGATTAGTATGGAGGTTGTTAATCAGTTGCTCAGCCCGTCGCTGCAGCAGACCTCGGTGGATCCGTTTAATGTCCCGCCGAATATGGAGATGGCGGGGAGTATTAGTCGGCCGCCGAGTCCGAGGGAGAAGGCTCCTTCGCGTCCGGCGTCGCAGGCGTCGGTGAAGAGGCCTAGGAAACCTCGTGCTCCGTCGAAGCCGCTCGTCGGTGGGAATACATCGGGCTATGAGGATGGGACTGATGGCGAGGAGGCACCTACGACTAAGAAACGAGCTAAGATTACGCAGACGAACTGGAATAGCAAATCCTCTTTCGGTACTGGAACTGACTCTCTCCGCGTCGCTGCTAGCACGGCTGGATCCCTCCGACTATTTCGACCTATTGCTATAGCACCTGCTCCAGGCGGCGCGGCGGGCTCTCATCTACAGGAGATGCCTAGAGCGCCGACTCCTGTCCCGCAGTTGCCTTCTTTGAAGGCCAATCGCTCGCGCGCTACGTCCCAGAGCATGCTCCGCCGCAACTCTATCGTCTCCCAGTTCGGTGAATCGCGCCGACAGTATAACTCTCCCTACCCTCCCTCCGACGCCGGTCACGACCCACAAGATCACGTCCGCATGTCCATCGAATCCGACATGACCTCACCAGAAAAAGAAGACAGCCCCGCCGACACACCACCAGACATCAACTCCTCCCCGCCCGTGCTCCGCCGCACCGCCTCAGCACGCTCCAGCCCCCACGCGCCATCCAGCCCGATCCTACCACCCATGCCGCGGACAGACTCGGGGTTTATGAGCGGAGACATCAGTGAGTTATTCGAAGACAACGAGGAAGGACAACCTGCTGAGGAGGACCCCGTCATCGCAGCTAAGTACACGCGTCGCCGTGCCACCAAGCCCGCTGCGCCGCGCGCCGAGAAAGTCCACCATGGCTTCGCGATCGAGGAGGTCACGCCGGGGCCGCCTGAACTGCTGCCGACGAAGATGCTGCCGCGTGCGGAGGCGAAGCAGAAGGCGGGGCCGAAACCGAAGATGAAACGGACGCTGGCGAGGAGTAAGAGTACGATGTCGGAGGATGGGCTGGCGAATGGGGGGAGGATGGGGAGCGTGGCGTCGTTTGCGCCGGTTAGGCCAGGGTCCGCGATGGCGCAGGTACCGATTACTGCTGCTCCTGATGCTTCTCAGAGCGTGGAGCAAAGCCAGACGGAAGTTGCGCCGCCAAGCTTGTCTAGGAATAACAGTGCGCCGCAGAATAATTCGTTTTCGCGCCCCCCGTCGAGGTCTATGAGCCGCACCGCATCACTGGGATCACTAACACTGCCCGCCGTCGCCGCGAGCGAACCAGCCCTCCCACCCAGCAGCCTTCAACACGCACACACCTGGTCCGACGCCGCCCACCCCGCCACCGAAGCCCCAACCCAAATGGACGATGGCACGGTCGCAGAGCCCTACTCCAAACGCAGCGCGATGGGCAAGAAACAAACCATCCGCCTCCGCCTCGAAGACGCCATCTCGCGCGGCGAAATGCCCCCCTTCTGCAGCAACTGCGGCGCCATCGAGACGCCCGCCTGGCGCAAGGCGTGGGCGCAGGAATGCAAGGGCGATCCGGGGTATCACGAGTATAGCGATGAGGCGGGGCGTGTGACGGCGATTGAGATTGTGGAGAGGGATGAGGGCGGGAAGCCGGTGGCGTATCGGTTGATTAAGAAGTCGCTTGCTGCGGCGGATGATAAATCGGCGTTTACGGAGATCCTGATGTGCAACCCGTGTGGCATCTGGATGTCGAAGTATAAATCCCAGCGTCCTGAGGATCGCTGGGGGAAAGACCCGAATCAGAATGCTGGCGAGAAGAAGAAGCGGGGGGGTTCGAAACCGAGGAAGTCGGTTGCGGGACAGGCGCCGTTGCCTACGTCGGAAGCGCATTTCTACTCTGACGCCCCTGTACCCCCTGACAACTACACCTCTGCGCCCGCGCCGCAGCAGGACCTCCACGTCTCAGCAGTAACGACAATGCAGTCCCGCATCTCCCAACGCGGTGGAAGCGTGCAACCCCCCAAGAACACAACATCCCTAAAAGACACCGCCGCCGCCTCCCTCCGGCGCGTCATCCAATCCAGTCCTGCTCGCTGGATGGGAACTTCGCGACACACCCCCATCGAGCTCGAAGACGAGCTCGGCGCAACACGACGCCTCCTCTTTCCCTCCCCCCGAAAGGACGACTCCCCGAAATCCCTAAGCGACCTACCGCCTGGCTTTTCTGCTCCTAATTGCAATAAAGAGAATCACCCCCCTGCCCCAAACCCACTAGATGACGATGATGACCTCGCCGCGCTCTTTGGGGAAGACCCGTTGAGAACGTCGAGACCGACTACACCGACTCGTTTACCGCCCTCAAACCCGTTTAAGACGCCTACGCGCCCTACACCCTCACATAGACCGATCACCCGCTCCATTTCCCGCTCCGCGAAATCAGCAAGGTCGAGACGGGGTGCCATGCTCCCCGAACGCACACCCACGCGCTCCACCCCCGCTACGCGACGTAGTCCACGCCACCGCACCGGCGGCGTGCAAGAAAGCCCCTTCACAGCGACGCTAAACCGGCTCATCAGCGAGACTGGGGAAGATGGCCATGCCAACGGGGGGTACGATACCGGCCGCTCGCCGTCGCGAAATTTGGACCTCGGTCTAGATTTCTCCGCCCTCCCCGACCTCGCGCACCCACCTGACCTCCACAGCGACGCCTTATTGTTCGCCGGCGCCAGATTCGGACATGGCGGAGGCTTCGGTGGGGGAGGGGGAGCTGGGGAGTTCTTCTCAACAGACGCGGCGCCGATGCCGAGTAGTCCGCCGAGAATGTTTGAGTTATATGAGGATCCCCTGGGCATGGAGATGGGGAGTTTGGAGGCGATGGAGGAGGCTATGTGGAGGGAGTTTGGGGGGGATGGGTTAGGGATGGGATTGAGTGGGGGAGGGGGAGGGGGGTTGGTGGTTGATAGGGGGGGGAGGGCGAGTTTTAGTATGAGGATGGATGCTACGGTGGGGGGAGATGGGGGGGTGGCTATTAAGGTTGAGGATGGGGAGGGTGCGCAGGCTGTTTAGGGGGCGGATGTGGTGTTGAATAGGCGGACGGGTGTTTGGGTAGGTGTGGGGGTGATTTGCATAGCGCTGTAGACGGCATTGAGCGAGCGGATTAGCTATTGTAGCGATTGAATTGAGTATACCATCTTCTACATCTAAACTTTCCCGTGGAGCAACTGGTTGAAATCATATCTTCAGGTTGAAAGTGCAACTTGAGGTCGAGTTTGGGTAATCAGAGTTCACCCCCTGTTACGACATCTCTAAAGCATGCTATTACTACATATCCCACCCTCTTACCATACATAATTTATTACGACGCCGGCGAATCCAACAACCGCAACAACCGCAACCACCCATATCCCCACACCATCCTCCCTACCACACCTTTGGTTTATCCGCCACCACCGCCGCCTCAATTACGGAACCCTTCTGTACCTATTGGGGATATAGGCAAGCCACATTGGAAGCTGTTTGACGGCCGACCAAAGCACAATTAGCACTCACTGGGGGTTAAGCACCTAGCGGATAGATAGATAGTTTAATTGAATCTACCGTTATAAATACGTGCCATAAACCGTGCCGACTGAAACTTCTATGTGAGACCTTTCTGGTCACTTCAAGTATCCCATACAGATCGACCATAAGTCTCCGTATTCCTGGAGTATTCAAATAGTTTGATACTCCTTCCTATCCCCTTAATGTTGGATACCTGTCTGTATTTTATCGTTTTCGGGCAAATGGTTACAATACACACTTTACATGCAGTGTGGTGCCCCATCAATAACTTCGCACCCCCTATCTCCGCAGCATGCCACAGTTTGGTAGAAAACGCCTAAAGCGTCACAGATAACCTGCAGCATACTGTTGGTGTATGTGACAAATAGCGGAGAGTTTTGTGTTGAAGTACGTACAATGGCAGGATAATTACCACACCTAGTGTTGTAACCCTTCTGAGCGCAGATATATTCACCTGGGTTACAGGCTATATTTCGTAAGCCTATGCCTGGCCTATGGATGATAGTGGCTTCAGCGAAGATGATGCTAAAGGCCACGCTGAGGAGGGCGACGGGAAACTTCATATTGGATTTGATAAAGCTTTACTGAATTTTGCCTTTGTAGATTCGTGTGGGTTATAAACAGAGCAGACAAATCCTCCCTTATATAAGGAACTACATATTTCGTAACCTTTCCATACCACATGAGTGTTTATGTGTAATATTCTAAACTAACCCCCTTGCCTCCTTTCATGCACTTGATTGACTGTCTCAACTATGCCACTGGACAAGGCGTGGATCCCAACCCGTTTGCTGCCGCATACCCCTCGCCGCCTCGGGGTGATTGATGGCAAGTAAGAAATAATTTCAATAAGCTCTTGCACACATTTGGAATCCCTAAACTCCACTGGATGATGGTCTCAGTCGTGCCAACAAACATGTCATGGATTCTAGGTCCCTTGCCGGGGGCCGGCAAGGGACCAACGGTGAGCGTGATACGGGTGCACAGTAAACAGGGTAAGTAGGAATAGAATCCTAATCAGCACAAGCTCTCCATGGGACTGGAAGCGGTGCTCTGCGTGGCATGTGCACGTGTTCCATATGCAGTGAGAGCAGGGTTTATTCATAATTCGATATCAATCTTACCGACCCCGCACTCAGCTTACTGTATCGTCTGTATAGGTATATATTTGTTAGGCCTCGGGTATTGCTATATAGATCCTCTATAATACCTTATTTATTTCCATAGCTAAGGTATTAAAGAACTTTAAAACACCGTCAAGGAACACCTCTCGTTTTAATTATTAAATTCCATCAAGATTGTCCCCAATACCACCATGTCCGCCGAACGCCGCTGGGACGAGCGCCACTTCCACCTCGAAGAATCAACCACCCAAAACGGCCCGAACCATCTGCATTGAGCACATGACGCCTGGTACCACCGTCCCTCAGTCACGCCTCTCGAGATCGGCAAGACGTCCAGTGTTGAGCCGGGGGTGTACCACAAGTATCAAGTCGGCCCGGAACAGACACGCCGGGCGATGCGGACTTTGATGCATGCGGATGGGAAGATGGCGGGATTGGCGGATAGTGTGCTGCTTATGGCGGTTTCTACGGACTTGTGTGACGCCCAGCTTATTGGGCCGGCGGCGGGGATGCTGGAGGGTGTTAGGGCAGAGAAGAGGGATGAGGTTGAGGCGATGAAGAGGGAGTTGCTGGGGAAATATGATACGGAGGCGGCTTTGAGAAGGTTGCTGGCTAAATTTGAGTAAGTAGCGCATGATGCAAGGACCATGTGTATGTTATGAAATATTCACATATTTTATTATCGGTTTTTATTTGTAATTGTATCATATCGAGCGGGCGCCCCTTAATCAACCAGCCCAGTCCCTCATCTCGTCATATTTGTTCTCTCATCAATCTCCACTACCGGTTCCCCATAACCACCCTCCACCGCCCGCCCTCATCCATCCTTACTTCCTTTTTCTTCCCTTGTACACTTAACCCGGCAAACGCGCTCTCGAAATAGAGTCACGACTCTGAATAGAAGATATCCTTGTACCGGTGTGTTGCATCTACGACGGCGGCTTCGGCTGCATAGTCTGAGGTTCGTTAGCGCTGTTCTGGGGGCTATGGATAGGGTTTTCGGGGAGGCGAGGGAGGTAGAGAGAAAAGAGGAAAGTCTTACTGAAATCGGCTCCCATGTCCGTGGCTTGCAAGACCTTGATAGATAGGTCTTGGTTCACCTTCCCGACAATCTCGACGGCATTGCCGACTGTGAGATGCGCATCCTAGGTGGAGTTAGTGATGGTCTGAGGCAGAAGGTGGAGAGAGGAAGTACTCGGTTCAAATGCGCGGTAATGTGTCCGTTGGAATCGAGTGTTGCCTCTTCGCCGCGCAGCTGGATAACCTTCCCGGTAATGCGGACGGTGCGGTTGGTGAAGGAGTCGAGGTAGGTGGAGTTTATGCGGGGGGTGGAGAGAGATTCGGCCATTGTTGTGAGTTCTGGGAAGAGATTTGGGATTGGGAGGAGGAATTGGTAGGGAGTTGGTGAGAGTTGTTGGTTGATGGGATTTGGTGAAGTGGGATGGATGGTGGGGAAGTTTGGGTAAGTGGTGTTGAGACGCGTCGGAACGCGACGGCACGTGTTGATAGGTACAGTTTCAATATATGATTACCGGCACGGAAAATATAATGCTCCGTCTGTCTGTTATCGTTATTTTACGCCCCCGTTAATTTAGAGTTGACACACACAAATCGTTGGGTACCATTTTGACTCACTTGCCCCACCATCTCATAATCTATCAAAATCGACAACCTTGAAAAATCACAAATAACCCCCACAACATCTTGACAGCTCTGCGCTCCACTATTCCAACAAACACAGGATAGCACGCAATCATGGCTGGCGCAGCAGCTCCCATCGAGGAGCAAGTTGCGAACCTGCACTTGGACGAGGTCACCGGCGAGAAGGTGTCCAAGTCTGAGCTCAAGAAGCGTCAGAAGCAGCGCCAAAAGGAGGAGGAGAAGAAGAAGAAGGAGGCCGCCGCGCCCCCCAAGCCCGTGAAGGAGAAGAAGAGCAATGCCGAGGCCGATGAGAAGGAATTGAACCCCAACGTGAGTCTCAGGCCCCTGTACATCAACCCCTCGATGACGAGACTAATAGCGGGGTATAACAGCAATACTTCGAAATTCGCTCGCGCGCCATCAACAAGCTGCGCACTTCGCAAGACCCGAGCCCATACCCGCATAAGTTTGAGGTGAACACTGATATTCGCAACTTTGTAAAAGCGCATGAGAACCTCAAGTCGGGTGAGCAGCGCAAGGAGGTGGAGGTCCGCATGGGTGCCCGTATCTACAACAAGCGTGCGTCTGGAACCAAGCTCGTCTTCTACGATGTCCGATCCCAGGGCGTTAAGCTGCAGGTGATGTGCCAGCTACAGGAGTCTGCGGAGGGCGCCCCGCCGTTCGAAAACCAGCATGAGCACCTCCGTCGTGGAGATATTATTGGCATTCTCGGATACCCAGGCCGCACGGCACCAAAGAACAAGATTGAGAAGGGAGAAGAGGGAGAGTTGTCGATCTTTGCTACGGAGGTTAAGCTGTTGACCCCGTGCTTGCACCAGTTGCCAGATGAGTACTACGGATTCAAGGACCAGGAGCAGCGCCACCGCAAGAGATATCTCGATCTTATCATGAACGAGCCCACCAGGAATGTTTTCCTCACCCGCTCCAAGGTCGTCACATATATCCGCAAGTACCTGGACAACAAGGACTTCACCGAGGTCGAGACGCCTATGCTTAACGCTATTGCTGGAGGTGCCACTGCTAAGCCCTTCACGACTCACCACAACGACCTGAACATGAACATGTTCATGCGTATAGCCCCCGAGCTCTACCTCAAGATGCTTGTCGTCGGCGGTCTTGACCGCGTCTACGAGATCGGCAAGCAGTTCCGTAACGAGGGCATCGATCTCACCCATAACCCCGAGTTCACCACCGCCGAGTTCTACATGGCCTACGCGGACGTGTACGACCTCATGAACATGACTGAGGAGCTCGTCTCCAGCCTCGTCAAGGAGCTGACCGGCGGCTACACCACCAAGTTCCACACCCAGCACGGCGAGGAGTACGAGGTCAACTGGGAGGCCCCATGGCGCCGCGTCGAGATGATCCCCGCCCTCGAGGAGGCCACCGGCGAGAAGTTCCCCCCCGGACCCGAGCTGCACACCGACGAGACCAACACCTTCCTTCGCGGCGTCCTCAAGAGGATGAAAATCGAGTGCTCGCCGCCGCTCACCAACGCCCGCATGCTCGACAAAATGGTTGGTGACTTCATCGAGGAGACCTGCGTCAACCCCACCTTCATCACTGGACACCCCCAGATGATGTCCCCGCTGGCCAAGTCGCACCGCGCCAACCCCGGACTCTGCGAGCGCTTCGAGGCATTCGTGTGTAAGAAGGAGATTGTGAATGCGTACACTGAGTTGAACGATCCGTTTGACCAGCGTCTGCGCTTCGAGGAGCAGGCGAGGCAGAAGGAGCAGGGTGACGATGAGGCGCAGATGGTTGATGAGAACTTCTGTATGAGTCTCGAGTATGGTCTGCCTCCTACGGGTGGGTGGGGTATGGGTATTGATCGCCTGGTCATGTTCTTGACCGATCGTTACAGTATTAAGGAAGTTTTGGCGTTTCCCTTTATGAAGGAGGAGCAGAAGGGTGGACAGGCCAAGTTGGCTGCTGAAGTGGTGGGTATTGAGGCTCAGCCTGAGGAGGGTATTGGTGAGTAATTCCCGTCTGTGGTTTTGAGTCTACCACTAACTTTTTACAGCGCACAAGTAAATGCATGTTACCAGAGTGAGCGTCGTATAAAACGATACTACGTGTGGCCATTCAAATGGGGGATACGTCTGCCAACTGCGCACAAGCACGACAGCATGTATGCGAGAAATGTAGACAGGTCTTTTAAGGAGAGGAAAAAGTTTTAAGTCTATTAGTCGAGTTGAGATCCCGCTACTGATACACCTATCTCTGCGTGAAACGCCGCCGTGATGCCATCTGCTCCCTGATTCCCCATATTTGAACACTATCGTCACACTATTCTATACTACAGTACAATATTCACCTCTCTCCAAATACAACTTAAGCAGTTGGAGTTCCCCTCGCCGCGGCAGGGACCCTCACTTTCGGGGCACCCTGCGCGGCCTGTGCCATACTGCTCTGCACGAGTCTCAAACCCCTCTTAGGGATCCACAGCCGGCTCCCGAGGACAAGCGTCATAGTAAGTAACCCCATGCTGCACGCCTGATGCGCAGACGCCAGCGGTAGCGGCACCAGGTACAGTAGAGTCGTGATGCCGAGCGCCACCTGCGCCAAGGCGAAGTGGACGACACCCACCATACCCCTGCGAGCATTCTTGGGCATCGCCGCCGCGACGCGCGGGTTAAAGCGCGAGTAGGCCCACAGTGCGATGATTGTGGTCAGAGTGGTAGTAGCGAGGATGCGGTGATCAAGCTGTACAGTGGACGGGTTCTCGAGGATGTTGCGCCACCAGAGATCAGCCTTGTCCTCGCGACGGGAGTAGAAGTTGTTGAAGAGCTCTGTGGCAGGCGGGGCGATACGCCCCGGTCCCATGGTCGGGAACTCGTTGTAGATGAGTCCTGCGTCGAGGCCGGCAACGAGGGCGCCAGACACGGCGGTGGTGAAGACGAGAAGGGCGATGAAACCGACGGAGCGGCGGAAATGGCGGAGGGCGGGGCTGGAGCGCTCGATGATCGAGGCGTGGCCGCGAGCGGGGTCAGCGAGGAGAGCGCGGTCGCGAAGAGTCGAGAGACCACCCCAGAGCATAGTGGCGTAGCAGATGAAGGCTGTGCCGAGATGGGCGGCCAGGCGGTACTGCGAGACGCGGGGGTGGGAACCGGGGGCGAAGAGGTCGTCTTTCAGCCCGGACTTGACCATCCACCAGCCGATGAAGCCTTGGATTCCGATTATAGCGGAGATGCCGGCGAGGCCTGCGGTGAGCGGGCGCGAGACGCGGCGACGAGCGACGAAGTAGATGGCGGGGAGGACGAAGGAGAGGCCGATCACGCGGCCCCAGAGGCGGTGCGTCCACTCCATAAAATAGATGTATTTGAACTCATCAAGTGTCATGGTGGGGTTGAGCAGCTTGAATTCGGGGGAGGCGCGGTACTTGTTGAACTCGGAGTCCCAGTCTGCGGCAGAGAGGGGAGGGAGCGTGCCAGTTACTGGGCGCCATTCTGTAATACTCAGTCTGGACGTTAGTAGGTTAGCTTGGGCACATTCCTAGAGAGTGTGAGATGCGTACCCTGATTCAGTGAGACGTGTCAGCCCGCCAAAGACAACGATTCCGAACACACTGGCGGCGCTGCCGAGGAGCCAGAAAGCGACGCCGCGGGAGCTGGTATCGGGGAAGAAGGATTTCTTCGCCGTTTCCTTCTGGGAATTCGCAATTGTCTGGCTCAGAGAAGATAGGGGCGTGGCCTGGGCTCCTGGCACCGTAGCAGCTGTGCGCAGCGGCGCAGAGCTGCTATAAAAACGCGTGGGCTGGAAGACCGACAGCCCTTTGTTGGTCCGGAGCTTCGACCCTTGGATGGAGGCGGATTTGGGGCATTGGCGGCAGGTGAAGAGGTCTTTCCCTAACTTGGGCAGAGCCCGCCGTAGCGGGGGTAGTAGTGAAGCCATTGGCGTCGCTGATATCCCATGCGAGGTAGTTTTTCTGGCTTGATCGAAGGGAAGGAGGCGGTTGACACTTTTCAAAGATAGGTCCATTAAGGTTTCCGCGGCGCTTGTACCCAGCTACGCCGAACCACTTACAAGGGCTCAGGGGACTACTACAATGGGAAATTTAAGTGACGACGATCAGGAACTTCAACTTCAATTGTGCCTATTTGCTATGACCCTGTAATAATACATAATTTCACATGCCCACCTTCTCGGCGCACAATACAATCAGTTCAACACTCTTTCGACCTGCGATTCAGTACCTCTTACCAGAGGGAACCCGATCCTGGACTACACCCAGAACAGACATCGAGAGAGGGCGTCGGAGCTCTGACGAAACCGACAGGATGGCGCATTATAAGCAGCCAGAGCTGGTTCTCAGCTCGTTGCCTTTAATAAACATATCGAGGACGCCATCTCCACATATATCCACAGGCTGGACATCAGATTCGGGAGAAGACGACCTGGGTGACCTGTCTGGTGGGGGAGGCTTCTTGTCGCAACGTCAGCGACCGACCGGCTGGAAGGGCTTCTTGACACAGGGTGGATTAGGCATATATTTATTTGCTACAACGAGGGGATGGAGCGTTTATGTGGGCTTGATGTGTTTATGGCTAATGGGGACGGCCATAGGGCTCCTGGTGATCAACTGGCTGGTCCTGCTCAGTATGTCACCCTCTGTCATCTCGTCCTGCCAGTTGCAGTAAACTAACTATTGTGTCCAGCCGGTGTCTACAAATTCCCGTATCCGCTTACAACTACATTTATCGAACTCGTCGGCTGCCACTTCTTCCTCTGGGCCTTCGCTGGCTTCACCAGGCTCTTCAGCCGCTACCTCAGCAACGCTGGCCTGGCCGCACTCGTTGCGCCCTCCTACGCCGTCACCAAGCCCCCTCCGACAACCTACACGCAGCGCACACCCCGACGCTTCCCCCGCTTCATCAGCAAAATCTTCTCCAAAGCCGGCTCCGGCATTGCCGGCGGCGGCCCCTTCGAATTCGACCGGGCCGTGGCACGCAAAACCATACTCCTCGCAATCGTCTACGTCCTAAAGATCCACTTCAGCACCATCTCCTACGCCCACTCCGAACTGCCCATGTACGTCCTCACGCGCATCGGCATAGTCCCCCTCACCGCACTCGCCGACTCCCTCTTAAAAGGAACCCGACACTCGATCCCCCTCCTCTCTGCCACCCTCTCCGCAACCCTCAACCTACTCGTCGGCTCCTGCCGCTCCAACATCCGCGTAACCTGGGACAGCGTCCTCGCCGGCGTCATCTCCTCCTTTTGCGCCGCTCTCTTCCCCATCCTCCTCTACTCAACCTACCAGAACCTCTCTGCGCCGTCGCCCGAGCGCGCCCGCGACCCTACGAGCTCTCGCACCACGTACACGCTCTTGCACCACGTCTCACTACTCTCCATCATGGTCTCCCTCCCATTCGTCCTGATCTCGGGCGAGCTGCCGAATATCGCGCGCAACATCTACTTTCTCGACCGGCCGTGGCACTGGTTCATGATGCTGTGCGGCTCGCTGGGCACGTTTTGCGTCTTCACTGCTACGGTGCTGCTCGTGCTGGCGACGAGTCCGTTGACGGCGAATTTCTTGACTATCCCGGCGTATGCGTTCCTTATCCCGGTGCTGGCGAAGTTTAGGATGCCGATGTATAGCTGGGTGGGCATCGCGCTGGCGTTTGCGAGTTCGGGGTGGTTTGTGTGTGTGAGGCGGCGGGAGAGTAGGAAGGTGAGAGCGTGATTGCTCTGAGAAGACTTGGGGATGTGTGAATAGGTGGAACGGGATATTAATAATACATAATGAGCATAATGCGGCGTTTATTGATGCCAATGAAGCTGCGTAGACAAATTTATATCGTTTACTACCATAATGGCCCGGCATCGAAGTCTTGAAGTGTGTAGGGTATATTGAATAAACCTATTATTATTCAACAATATTAAGTTATTAATATTTCGATCCAGAATAAAATTATATAAAATGCCATTCTTATGGTACAATTTACAATAAAATTACAACATACCCCACCACTCACCCGTCACTCGACCTCCCCGCCGCCCTCCTTTGCTCCCTCGCAATCCTCCTATCCGTCGGAGTCAACGCCTTCTTAATCCTCATCGCCCCCCCCAAAAACATCCACGTCGCAAAGAATACGACCATGTAATTAAACCCATCGTACACCCACATGAGTCCGAAATCGCGCCAGCGATGGCGATAAAACACATTAAATCCCTTCGCGAACTGGTCCCCATTCGCATACTGGCAGTACTCGCACAACCCCCCCGCACCAACCTGCACATACCCGCCCATCCGCGCTACGAAGTTGTCGGTGTAGGACGCACAGCTCATGCCGGGTGGAGGGGGGAAGCGCGCGAACTCGGATTCGTCGCAGACGACGGGGATGTTGTTTGTGACGACGCCGAGCTGGCCTTCGAGGAAGTAGTGGAAGGGGGTTAGCCAGTACATCCAACTCCTCCAAAAGCTAGGCAGAGCCGGGTACGGGACGACGACGCCGCAGAAGGCGACGATGAAGAGGAAGAAGAACGGGATGAGGAGGGATGCGAACATGGCGTTCGGTGCCATTGCAGCGATGAACTGCCCGAAGCCGACGTAGAAGATCTCGAAGAGGCAGATCATCATGAAGACGTAGCCGGCGGGGAAGCCGAGGGGGAGCCCGACCCCGAAGTACCAGCAGCAGAAGAAGATGGCGCCGCAAAAGAGGGAGGTGGGGATTTCGGGAAGGATGGCGCCGAGGGTGAAGGCGGGCCAGGCGTAGATCTTGGATTTGGATTCGCGGGATTTGAAGACGTCGCGGAAGGAGATGTAGCGGGGTTGGAGCTGTTGGATTAGGGGCGGGGCGATGGTCATTGTCATGAATATGGTGAAGAGGCGGGATTGCATGTCGATGGTTGAGTGGCCTAGTTTCCAGAAGGTGAAGGTGTTGAAGAGGCCTGTAGGTTGCGGTGTTAGCTGATAAGTCGTCGGGTTGGGGCGTGTTCGTGCGTACCAGTAATTATATGAAGAACCAACTTCCCAAAAAAGTATTGGGGGGTTCGCCAGTATGCAATGAAGCATCTCTTAATCACGGCCAAAATCTGCGTGCTATATGGCATAGCATACTCTCTGTCATCCTTCCTGGCCCTTCCCTGTCCCGCCGTGGCCTGTCGACGGACTTGGACCAACCTCTGAATCTCACCCTGTCTATCTCTGGCATCCTTTGACCTCTCCCAAATATCTCCCCAGTCGGGGCCCTCGTAGTTGGGGTCACCAGCGCCGATTACCTCCAACATGTACTCTGCCGGGTTCTCATCCTTTGGACACTCCTTGGCGCCGTTATCTTCAAAATACTCAATCATATGCTTACTATCTTTTCCCAGTGTTCCATGGAAGACAACTCGCCCTCCAGATTTGAGAAGCAGGACCTCGTCAAATTCCTCAAAGAGGACGGCAGACGGTTGATGGATGGTGCAGAGGATTGCCTGACCAGCATCAGCCAGCTTCCGCAGAAACCTCACGATATTAAACGCCGCCTGGCTATCCAGCCCAGACGTCGGCTCATCCAAGAAAAGCAGCAATTCCGGCTTCGAGGCAAGCTCAACGCCAATCGTGACTTTCTTCCGTTGCTCTTGATTAAGCCCATACCCGACCTCTCCAATTATGGCCTCGGCTAGATCATGCATTTCAAGCAGGTCTATAATCTTCTCCACATATTCGTACTTTTCCTTCTTCGGAACCCCCTTTGGCTGGCGTAACAGAGCCGAGAACCGAAATGCTTCGCGCACAGTGGCTGTAGGCTCATGAATATCCATCTGCTCGGCGAAGCCTGTCGAGCGCTGGAACGATAGGGGAAGCGGTCTTCCATCTACTAGAAAATCGCCAGTAACGACGCCGGAATCCCCTCTTTGCGCGAGCGTGTTGAGTAAGGTTGTTTTCCCTGCACCACTTACCCCCATCAACGCTGTTAGCTCGCCGGGCCTTACATAACCATTAACGCCTTGGAGCAGCTTTCTCTCCCCTTTCTCGTAAGGGATTGTTAAGTTGACGTTCTGGAAGGTAAAGACTGTTTCGTTCCTTGCTATTCCATCCCTCACATTGCCACCAGAATCCTGTGGTCTCTCATTCGTTGTGTCGACTGAGCTATCCCTTGTAGCCTCACCTTCGGCCGTCCCTTTGGCCTCTTTCTCCTTTATAGCCTTCTCAACAGCTTTTGGAGCTCCGCCGCGCTTGAAGACTGTAACTGCACCACCACCAGAATTAGGTTTCTGCCGCTCCATTCCTAGAGCAGTGAGGGCGACGAAAAATAGCCAGAATCCAATGATGATTCCGATATTTCGCCAAAGGTGTGATCGGGTATAGTTGAAACCGGTCATGATATAATTCTTCCCGGAAACAGAGGTCTTCCCTGGTTCGGATCCCTGGAGCGCACATGACTGGAACTGAGGCCGCGCATTGGGGCCGGTTGGAACGAGCACTGGCGGAACACATTGGATTTCGAGATTGTAAAACTCGTTGGACATTAGGCCCTCGAAGCCGTATTGAACCGGATTAATCCAGCGAAGCCACGATAGCCAGGGGCGCATTTTTTTCGGGGGTATAAGATACCCCGTGTATGTGACAAAAGCTTGGATAGAGACTCCGGTAAACCGAGTTGCAACATCTAGGGACGCAGCCCAAGCCCCAATGGCACGGAAAAAAGAGAACATAGTCAGAGTCAAGGTCCAAAGAATTAGCAAAGAAATGAAAAATTGGCTTGGTGTGCGCTGGAGATTGGACATAAAATAAACCACCAGATCAAATATAGTGACCTGTATAAGAACTAATGGCAAATCAATGACAACTTGGGCTATGGCATAAGCCGCAGGACGATAGAACGAGAAGGCTTTATGCTTCATCATGATAGGCCTGCTCTGAAACGCCGCAGTTAATTCGGCCAAAGCAAGAAGAGCATTGAATAGTAACATAAAGAATATCACACCTCCCCTCTCAAACACACCTTGCGTTGTTTTCGGCATGTTGAAGAACAGCGAGCCAACAATAAGACCCTGGAAGAGGATACCGCCCCATTTCCCAATCAAAGTCTGCCGATCACCCAGCATAACGAAGAAGTGCTCGTTTGTGCAGGCTAAAACCTGTAGGTGGAATGGGAGCGTATAATTCTTCTTCGCGGTCTTCTTCGTCATCGCCTCGGCTCTCATACGGACCTGCCCCTCAACAAGACTTTGATATCCGTCCAGCTCGCGCCAATTTGCTTTCTCAATCTCGCTCCCGCGAAAGGCGGCCTCGAACTGTTCAGGGCTTTTGGGTATCTTATCCTGCCATCCCTCTCTCACCCGCCGTTCATGCTTGTCGGTGACTGAGGTGAGGAAGTCGGCCGTTGTCCATCTTTCGGGGCGCTCAAACCCGAGGTTTTCAAAGTATTCGACGGCGGCGTCTGCAGGGCCATAATAGCAGCATCGGCCTTCGTCGATTAGCAATACTTTGTCAAAGGCCTTGTATAAACTTTCTCCTGCTTGGTATAAGGCCACAGCCGTCGAGATCTTGGCCATAGTGGTCAATGTCCGGATGCTGTTGACATATTCCAGTGCCGTAGAGGCATCGAGGCCTCTTGTAGAATTGTCCCACATCTGCGTCGAAGCCTTTGTTATCATAGCTTCGGCAATGCTAACACGCTTCCTCTCTCCTCCCGATACGCCACGGACATGCTCGCTGCCGACGAATGTGTTCAGAGTGTGCTCGATCCAAAACAGTTGTGTAAGCGCCTTTGAGAATACTTTGATGTATTGGTCGCGACTCTCGCCATTCATTCTTGACTCCTTTCCTGGTGTCCTTGTCTTCAGCGCAAACTCTAGAGTCCGCTTGACGCTTAATGTCGCATAATGGAGGTCATCCTCGGGGTTGTATAGCACTTCTCCCCTGAACTCTTTGGCCATAGTTGCTGCTGATTCCCCTCCATAGCACACGTTTCCTTCAACACTCTTGAAGCCAGCTCTTTGGTTTGCAAGCACCTTTAGAAAGGTCGAGCAACCACTCCCTGGGCGGCCAAGCACCAGGAGCATCTCCCCCGGCTTGATGACACCGCTGAAGTCATTGATGATTGTCCGTATTGGGGGTCCCCCATGGGCTTTCTTAGTCCCGCCGAAAACAGCTCCAATCTTCCGCGGTAATGCCAGAAAGAGGTCACCGACGGTAGGCTGTATCTTTGCTCCAAGCCCTACGCCTTTAACTGTCAAGTGCCTGAATACCACTCCAACGTGCCTTGTCTTCTCTTCCTCGGAGTTCTCTTGCCGCCCATGCCCAAACATGCGGCTCATCAATCGCTCGATATTTTGGTCAGCCATATTGAGCACGTCGCCTCGCCTAAGGTGGTGGTTTTGATATTCTATAATTATACAAAGGATAAATGATATATTGCACTCGAGTCTCTTCAACGGACAGCGTCCATGTCCATCCGGGCTGCGATGAAGGGGCACAGCTTCCCTTATCAACAGCTACGGAAGCCATTGTTAAGCTATAGCTGCGAATGGTTGGAAGGTAATGGTTGGCCCAGGCCTAACTGATACCTCTCCGGTCATACTAAACTGTGCGTGGCAGAAGTATTTCTCTCCTGTCATTATGAGAGGCCAAAGTATCAAATGGTGGCATAAACCTGCACTACGTCCACACTAAGAAAATATACTTATATCGCACGTAAATTCGTGTGATTCTGAAGTACTTCACTGCCGCCGGTCTTATACGGCAAGACCACCACCAATCTTTGAAGTTCATAGTATGACATCAATTCACGTGATTGAGGCCTGGACATATCACGAGATTTGACCCGGTCGGTCGCCCGGAGCGGAACCGAGAATTGTGGGACCTAAGTCGCACGGACCACAACATGTTGGCTCCGAAAATGTTTTTGAGCCGGCGCTAATGCTGAATATGGGATAATGATTGGGCAGATCAATGTCTGTCGTCAGATTTACCAAAGGGCTAGATCAGCTACGTTACAGAGTTTTGATCACAAAAGCTGCATTACCACAAAAACAGAAAAAAACGGCAGTGTTTCTATATCAGAGATTTTTGAAAAGTATCTGTTCACTTGTATATTCCCAAATGTTGTAAGTTGGCGTTGGCCGCAGTTTGGAGCAGCTGGAAAAGCCAACGACGAGGTTGGAGATTTATATAAGCTTCATGAGGCTGAGAGTGCACAGTGGCCTTGCCGCCAGGAAACCATCTTCTATTGGGCAATAGAGCGCCAGGGGCATTCGGCAATGTCAGAATGTGACTCCCAATTGCCACTCCCGTTCTTCGGTGGCGCTAGAGCTACAGAGGACCCATAAATGGGCTTCTCTCTTCGTCGCTATGCCAGTTTTAGACGCTTTTAAAGAACAACCAGGCGTGGCCATGCTGCCGTCTTACCGATATCCTCACCAATCTCTGTGGATATTGCTCATATCCACTTATATTTGCCAATGAGGCATCTTCTGTCCCTGAAGCAAGTGCGGTTCAGGTCCGAAGTGCGAGGTACAGTAGAATTTCGTACCGTTATGATATTTTCTCCCTTTGGGTATATAAGGTTCCACCCAACCCACCTGCTGAAGTGTTTTCTATTATCCAATAAAGCATATAATTTGTTCTCATTTGTTCGCTTCTTTCTGTCCCCCTATCCAAGCTTCCAATCTCACAGGCAGCATGGCGGCAAAAGGGATTATAATGCCAGGGCAACCTGCCACATTCGAACCTATATCTATCGACGTACAGCGCACCAACACACGGCAATCAGGACTAGGCCGTTCTGTAACTCGCGAATCGCAAAAGGAAGTCAGAGATCCGCATCTCGATATCAATTTGCCATATCGAACATTGAGCCGAAATGCAAACCTCCGCGAGTACACCCACGACGAGCCGGATGGAGTAACAGAGACTGGAGTTTCCGCTGATGGCACCCCATATACTGTCGTTGCCTTCACACCGGATGACAAAGACAACCCAAAGAATTGGTCCAAGGCGATGAAGTGGTGGTGCACGATGTGCGTGTCTCTCACCTGCTTCGTGGTAGCCTTCTGTTCCAGCGTTATCACAGCTGATATCGAGGGGCTCGCGAAAGAATTCAACGTGTCTGAGGAGGTCGCTCTCCTCTCGATTACCGTCTTTGTTATTGGCTTCGGTATTGGACCTATGATATTCGCGCCTCTTTCGGAAATCTATGGCCGCCGTGTCATATACGGCTCGACTCTCTTCGTCGCAGTGATTTTCATTATTCCATGCGCCGTCTCAAAGAACATAGCAACACTCGTGGTCTTCAGAGCCCTCGACGGCATCGCCTTTTCTGCTCCCATGACTCTTGTTGGAGGCACCCTGGCCGATTGCTGGAAGAACGAGGAGCGTGGGGTGCCCATGGCTGCCTTCTCAGCTGCTCCCTTCATTGGTCCCGCAATTGGTCCGCTCGTTGGAGGATACTTGGCTGACGCCAAGGGCTGGCGCTGGCTCTACTGGATCCAACTGATCGTTGCCGGTACTGTTTGGGTGCTGATCACCTTCACCGTTCCTGAGACATACACACCAACCATCCTCAAGCGCCGTGCTGAGAAACTCTCCAAATCTTCTGGGAAGAGATATCTCACCGAGCAAGATCTTGATATGCGCCCATTCTCCGATCGCCTCCTGAACTTCCTTATTCGACCATTCCAACTCCTCTTCGGCGAGCTTATCGTTCTGCTCATCTCCATCTACATGTCCGTTCTCTACGGTCTGCTTTACATGTTCTTCGTCGCCTACCCAGTCGTTTACCAACAAGGCAAGGGATGGAATGCCGGAAAGACAGGTCTTATGTTCATCCCTCTCGCCGTCGGCGTCATCTGCTCATCCGCCTGCGCTCCTCTGGTTAACAAGCACTACTTGACCTTGGTGAAAAAGCACAACGGCAAGCCCCCGGCGGAGACCCGCTTAATCCCCATGATGATCTCCTGCTGGTTCGTCCCGATCGGTCTCTTCATCTTCGCCTGGACCTCCTACCCACACGTCTCCTGGGCCGGACCCGCCTTCGCCGGCTTCCCCGTCGGCTTCGGCTTCATCTTCCTCTACAACGCCGCCAACAACTACCTCATCGACTCGTACCAGCACCAGGCCGCCTCAGCGCTCGCCGCGAAAACGTGCATCCGCTCCTTCTGGGGTGCCGCGACGGTGCTCTTCACCAACCAGATGTATGCCCGTCTCGGGTACCAGTGGGCCAGTTCGCTGCTCGCCTTCTTGGCGCTGGCGTGCTGTGGCATCCCGTTCCTGTTTTACTACTACGGAGCGCAGATTAGAGCCAGGAGCAAGTACGCGTATTCTGGGGATGATGAGGAGATGCAGGAGACGAAGGTTGAGAATTGAAGGGATGGATTTGTTGGAACGGAAGGTGGTGTATGTTATAATCGGGTTTGGTGGGTGACCGTTCCCTGAAGGGAGTTTTATATCAGCCTTGTACAATCTTTTAGCGGCACGAGTACAGAGTGGTATTTGTTATTTTATTGTATATACCTTTATGTAGCGCGGTACCTTGCGAGATACCTAATATAATTTTCCTATGTAAAAAAATAAATTTCTACAACTTCATAACTTTGCACCCTCACAACAATTCACAACACAACAAACTTGACAAATTGGCACACAACGACAAACACACAACATACACCTACCTGCCTACATCATTGATGGCTGGTAGGTAGGTGCATTTCCATTCTATCTTCCCCTCAACCTTCCTTCTGCCACCCTCCCCTCGCAATGCCATCAACATGACAAGCTCCTAGTGGCTCACCCCTGGCACCCCCACGACAAGTTCCTGGCGGGCACCAGATTCTAAAAGTAGCCTGATTATCTCCAAGTCTGGAAAGGGTATCCTAGAAAGGGCTTGTTTCTCCTCGAATTGGTAAAGTACACCATCAGCTTCCGCAGAAGCCTTGAGAAGGAATGCTAGTGCTTGCCGACAGTTGATCGACTTTGGTAGTAATATATGAGTAAGGACTAGGCTGCGCACTACTCGCTCAATACTCGGCTCACTCGCTCAGTGGGTTACTCAGCTGGGTGAGTAGCTGAACCTTTTACTCGACTCGGTGAGTGAGGTTAATACTCAGTTACTCTGTAAAAACCCAGTGAGTACTCGACTATCACGTGTAAGATTTATGCATCATGTGAACAGTCCCTCATACGATTAATACTGTTTTATGGTTAAGTTAAAGTATTACATCTATCAGCATCACTCTCGCCATCTCTAGTAAGCTGTGAGAACGAATCATGTATATTCCTCTATCTAAGTACCACGATTATCAGAAGATTATCAGAACGCTATTATCTATTATATATGCTTAAGAACATCTCTCCACCTTGCTTGATGAGGCCGGCCAGACCTACTAATACCTAAAGTATTTATGGGGTCTTGACGAGTAGCTTGAAAGATATCAAGTAAATCTCTTCCAGTCTTCCGAGCATGTTGGATAGGCGTTGGTGGCGAGGACGGCATATCCTTATCTTCATCTTCATGAATAGTTGGAAGTATAGGCTTCTCATTATTACCATCTTCTCTTATATCTTCGTTATCTAGGATATCGTCATCTGGGATGTCGTATAAGGTCTCGTTAAGACGGTCAGCCCTATCTCTTTCTTCACCTTGTTGGTAGCGCATTTGTCGTTCTTCATGTGCGGCTTGTGATAAGTCTTGCTGTTGCTGTGGCCGCTGAGGGTTAAACGGAGGATATTGTACCTTTGAGTATGTCTCTCGGATATGATGTTGCCGAGTGCTTGTCTGAAACTCCCCCACTTCCTATGCCCGCCATGGAGTCTCATCTTGTCTAACTCTTGTAAGAGTTGCTGGGCCACATCGTCACAATTTTTGCAAATCCGGTTAAGTTCTTTCTCCGCCCTGACCTTCTCGTTAAGGCGGTTATTATTGGCATTTCTCACATTGTCAGCAGAGCGATAGATCTCAAGGCTTTCGGAGACCAGTTTCCTTCCAAATTCGACGAATTGAATCGCATTGGCAGCACAGCCCATTGCGGAAGTTGGATCCATCGTGGATTATCTCTGGTAGTTAACAAACGATAGGTGTGATGACAAGGACAGCTACCATTCAATGTGTTAAAGTCAAATACCGTAGTGTAATTCTCTATGGGATGTCCTATCTTTTATTTAAAATGCCATTAGAGGCTGAGCTAGACAAGGCTGGCAAGAGGCGCAGTTATGAATGGTGATGGCGATGAGTCAGCAAGGCTACAGCTTAATTAATTATCGCGTGTCCCGGTCCAAAGTCGCGTCTCCCAACCTTTAACTTATGGGAAACTGACCGCCACCAAACGATCGCCATCGACCAATGATAGTCAACAAGACCCTCGTTTCTTCGCGTATACCAAGGTTTTTATTATATTTTGAGGTTAAACTAGAGCTACTCTATAGTTACACCCTACCACCTCCCTCACAATGTCCTCACGCCGCCGCCTCGTCTCACGCACAAACCAAGACGCAGCAGCGTCCTCCCCGGCCGCACCTCGCACTCAAGCCTCCTCCTCCGCATCCCGCTCAGCCCTACCCCCGTACGAACCACCAGTCCACCCCCTCACCTTCTCAGCAAAGCAACAACTCACCACGCTCGTCGACGACGCCGACTACGGGAAGTACCGCAAGCACCTCGCCACAGCTATCACGACGCTCTCAAACGCGACGGTGGAGAGCAATGACACGCTGAGCCTGGCCAGGATGAAGCTGGAGCGGCAGGTTGAGCGGAGGAAGGTGAGGGAGTCGCAGCGGGAAGATGAGGAAGGGGAGATGGAGAAGACGGAGGAGGAGGTTGCGATTGAGGAACGAGTCGCGAAGCTGGAGGCTGAGGTGGAGAGGCTGACGCAGGAGGCGGAGATGGCGACAAGGGAGCTGATCGATTACTCCGAGGAGTTGAAGAGGCAAGAAGGCCTAATCAGAGGCGTAGCAGAGAAGGCAGCTACTGCACCGCGGCCTCAGCAGGGCAGCAACCCGAGGAGGCGCCGCGCAACAGACGGCTCGGACGACGACAACTCCGACGACCCAGACTTTGAGGTCCCGGACGCCGACGCCGACGCTGGAGCAGACACCCCCAGCGTTACGGAACTCCTCGCCGAAGCCCAAGCCGCCGCTGCAGCGCAGTACGCCGCGAAATCGATGCGCGCACGGTACGCCGACAACGCCGACTACCAGACCTTCAAGAAGCACGTTCACGATGCCTCGCACCACGGTGCCAACGCGCCACCCCTCCCGCCACCATCAGCGTGGTTTCCATCAACGACCGAGGCGAGCGCGCAGGGCCGTATTACGCGCGGCGCGGCGAACAATGGCGATGAGAGCGACGAGGACCTCGTATTTGCCGGTGCGGTGAGCAGTCTCAAGTGTCCGCTGACGCTGAAACTATTCGAGGTCCCATATAGCAACCGCGTATGCCGGCATACATTTGAGAAATCAGCATTGTTAGAGATGTTTGAACGAGGCGCCACGGTATTTTACGAGAATTCGCAGGCGAGGGGACGGAATCACGGGCCGGGGTTGAGGAAGCTGAAGTGTCCGAGCTCGGGGTGCGATGTTATGCTGGAGTTGGGGGAGTTTTATGAGGATGAGATGGTGAAGAGGCAGGTGAAGAGGGCGAAGGCTGCGGAGGCGGCGGCGGAGGGGGATAGTGAGGGGGAGAATGAGGAGGAGGAGGAAAGGCAGGCGGTGGATGTGGATATGGATTCTAAGGATCAGGAGTTTGATGGATATGAGGAGGTGCAGGTGGCGGGGACGCAGATGTAAAGATCGTATTTGGGATGGGATTTAATGGCGTTTGGGCTTGGGCCTGGCGGATGGGGACTTGATACCTTTATGGATGGATGACCGATGGTGGCGTTCGATCACTCTTGTGGTTATATGTAATATCCTATGCAATGGCGTATAGCTAATTCACATTGCACTTTGGCTGAAATGGAGTTGAATATTTCGTAATGTTTTGTATTTTCAGGTCAGTGACTAGAGTTCGCAAAAATCACCCATATGCTATGCTTTCCATACCAAAACGCCGTCAGTAACGATTTTATCGCCCCTTAAAAGATACTCTCCCCCTTATTCCCAGGGTATGAGTGCGCTTTTTTTCTCTATCCATATAAGCATGGTCTCAGATTTAACCTCCACTAAGTAATGTAAATCCTACTAAGCAACATCTCACAACCCTACACCTTATAAAAGCAAAACGCCACATAAAACTCCGCCGCCTCCATCTCCTCATCACTCACCAACAAGCCCCCACCCCCTCGTCCCCTAACCCCCATTCTTTCACTCAACGGTCCCAACACCGGATCGTCCTTCTCCGCGCGCCAGATCTCACCAAACGACTTGTGGTACTGCATCTCGAGGTTGTAGTCCTCAGCGATAGCACGGAACGCCTCCCACGGGACCACGTACTCGGGCACCTCCTCGACAGCCTCGTGGAGGAAGAAGTTGTACTTCCACCCGAAAGGGGGGCGGAACACGCCGTCGGCGGGAGTTTGATCCGCGAAGCGCACGCGGTATATGTCGTTGCCCCACTCGGCCGTCCCGGCGATCTCACCCTCGTCCAGATCCGCTGGCGCAGCGCCATCGGCAGAAACAGCAGCTGAAGGTTTCCCCTCTGCCGCGCCATCGGCCGGAGCTGGCGCTGCGGCCTTCTTAGCAGCCTGGCGCTCATTGAATTCCACTACGCGCGCACTCAGAACATCAGAGTCCGGGATACAGCCAATGAACCTCCCCCCCTTCTTGAGGGCGCCAGCCACATTCTTCAGCATTATGCGAGCCTTGTGCTCGGACTGGAAGGCATAGTGCATCGCGAACATCATGCTGACGACGTCGAACTGGCCACCGCTGAAGCGGGACGGGCCGCCTGAGGCGTCAAAGCCGACTTCCCGCACAATAGGCACTTTCTCGATGGACTCCCCGAAGCAGTCTTGCACTGCGAACTCGCCGTGGAATAGGCGGGGTGGGGGACGGTTGTTGTACCCGCCGCGTCCACCACGGCCGCCTCTGCCGCCGCCACCACGGCTAGCCATCTGGCTGTACCGCTCACGTGCCTGTCCGATAGACACATCGGCCGGGTCGAGACCGACGTAAAGATCCACAGGCTGAGGCGCCTGCTGCCACTTCCCTAGATCCCCCCCCTTTCCACACCCCATATCCAGCACCAACAGCCCCTTCACTGGTGGGGCACCATACACTGGCTGCTGTCCACCAGGAGTGAAGTCCTCACTCGGCGAGAACTTCTGGATAATGGTGCTCTTGATCCAGTTATTGAAGCTGCGAAGCCCCTTGATATGGCTGTCTGTGCGGCGCCAGTCGCGGCCACGCTCAGGCACGGCGTTATAATGCTGCGTCACCGCATCATGAACACCGCGCGCGTTGTGTGCTGCGACGGCATCACGGTGCTCCTTCTCGCGCTGCTGCTGGCGCTGCCGGATCTCGTCACGCTCGCTGTCGGTGATGCGTGCGCGGCCGGTGGGGCGTTTCTTGCGGGGACGGTCTTCGTCGTCGTCGTCGCCGGTGTTTGCTGGGTGTGCTGCGGCGACGGGTTTGGGGGAGGAGGGACGCTCGTCGCGGCGGGGGGTGGAGCGGGAGGGGGAGATGGAGGAGCGGCGGCGTTTGCGGGCTGGTTCGAGCTTGGTGGCGTCGAAGGGCTCGGGTTGGGGTTCGTAGGGACCTTTGGATTTGGAGCCGTGAGAGTTGGATTCACCTGCGGCGTGGTCTGAGTTCACATGGGTGGGTGTGGAGGTCGCGGATGAGGTTGTTCTGTTCCTTCGTTTTGCGGGTTCGAGCTTGTTCGCAGTGAAGGGTTGCGGTTGAGGTTCAGAGACCTCAACAGCGGCGTCTGAAGCCATATTGGCCTTCAGATTGGTCTGATATCTTTGGATGTATTGGTATAAGAATTAAATTGTAAGTTGTAATTGTAAATTATTTGTAGTTGTCTTGTTAGTTAGAGCATCAAAAGGTTCAGTAATTGTCGTCGAGCCTGAGGCTAGAGCAGCCTTGTGCCAGGGTTGGGACCCGGCTCCAGGAAGCGTGGACGTTTTACCTAGGAAAGGCTGTACCGTAATAATTACAGCCCCAAGAGATTAGGAGTAATTAAGAGCACTGGTTTTATATATAGTTTTCTATAAACACTTCCTGAGCTCGAAGTTACTGTTATATATAGTTTATTTCTATAACCCTGAGGGTACATACCTCCATAGCTTCGTCACTGGCAGCCTTCAAATAAAGGCATCCACAAGTGTCGACGTTTTACCCACCTCCCAGGATACGCGGCGCTAGTGTTGCCTCGCGGTGTGAGCTTGTGAGCTTCTGGCCCAAAGGCGATTATAGCATCACCAAACGCACCCACGACCTCACAATCGAACCGCGTTTCCAATCTCTACCATCCCCGACCCAACTCTCCACCTCCAGGTTCGAACTTCACCATGGGTTCCGAACCACAATACGCGAAATACCCCCTCCTCCCTCTCGCCCAGAACATCTTCACCCTCACAAACGCAGCCGCGCCAAAATCCGTACAGCAAGCTTCCCTCAAGAGCCTTCAAGATGCCATCTCCGAACACAAGATGGCGCCGCTGTACAAGTACCTCGCACATCCTACAGAGGGCGTTTTAAACGGGTCGGGCCAGAGCACGTCGTCACAATCGACCAAGCCTACGGGACGGAAACCGAGCGTGGGCATGGTAACTAGCAAGAATGCTGTGTCTCAGGTTGACCTGCCGTGGGACGAGGCTCTGTATGAGAAGCTGAAGAAGGATAATGATGAGGAGCTGGAGAAATTCCAGAAGGAGGAAGAGGATGCCGAGGAGCAGGCTGGCGAGACAGAGATCCAAGCTGCTCGGGGGAAGAGGGCAGAGTTCTACGCACGAGTTGGTGATAAGGTATAATTTTATACAGCAACACATACGAGAAGGTGCTGACTATTACATCAGGACAAGGCAATTGCAGGTTACGAAGCAGTATTCGAAAAGACGGGTGTTTTGGGCACAAAGATCGACCTGGTCCTCGCGATCATCCGCCTTGGGCTCTTCTACGGCGACAAGGTCCTCGTTAAGAAGCAAGTCGAGCGAGCATCAGCCCTGGTGGAGAGCGGCGGTGACTGGGATCGTCGCAACCGCCTAAAGGCCTACGAGGGCTTGCACCTCCTCACTGTGCGCGACTACAACCAGGCCGCTCCTCTCCTCCTCGACAGTCTCTCCACCTTCACCAGCTATGAGCTGTGCTCGTACTCCAACCTCGTCGTATACTCCGTCCTTGCCGGCTCCGTATCCCTCAAGCGCGTTGACTTCAAATCCAAGGTCGTCGACGCCCCCGAAATCAAAGCCATCCTAGGCGAAGGCGAAGACAAGCTCTCCGCGCTCTCCGGCGCTCTCTCCGCCGGCCCCGGCTCCAACAACGACGCCGACATGCACGACGCGCCTTCCAAGCACGCGAAGACAGCCGTCAACCTGACGACACTCGGTTCCGGGGCCGCCGACCACTCCGAGACCGAGGCACCGATCGACTTCTCGCCGCTGGCGCAGCTGGTCAGCAGCCTGTACACAGGCAGCTACCGCTCGTTCTTTGGTGCGCTCGCGGCCGTCGAGGAGAACTTCCTCACGCAGGACCGCTACCTGTACGAGCACCGCGGGTGGTTCGTGCGCGAGATGCGGCTGCGCGCGTACCAGCAGCTGCTGCAGAGCTATCGCGTCGTGGGGCTCGAGAGCATGGCTAACGACTTTGGCGTCTCGGTGGACTTTCTCGATCGGTAAGAACACCCACAACCCCACCCCCCCCGCGTTAATTGGGACTATTTTTGAGAGTGGATGTGCTAACGGATCTTTGATACAAGTGACCTGGCGAAGTTCATCGCGGCGGATCGCATCCCTTGTACGATCGACCGCGTGACGGGGAAGGGGGTGATCGAGACGAATAGGCCGGATGATAAGAATAAGCAGTATAATGATGTGGTTAAGCAGGGAGATCAGCTGATCACGAAGTTGCAGAAGTATGGGCAGGCGGTGAGGCTGAGGGGGAGCGAGAGGGCTTAGATGGGTGGGGTAGACGGGGTGTGTAGGGGATTAGACGGGGAATAGTGTATGATATGAAGACGTCAGAGAGACCATTGATCATTGATTGAAGCATCGTGTGGATGGAATTATGACTTGCCTCGTGTTGAAGGGTTTTTGCTTCGTGCGAGGCTTCGTGTGGGATCAGTTGTGTCCTGGAGTCATATAGGTCCGTTGTTAAGAGAGCCACTCGGATAGTTCCCGCGTTATTTTAAGTCTGACGCATCTATATGGTATTATAGACCCGTTTGTCGCTCTGCGGGAGTCATATATATCTATATATCCTTGTTCAGCAGGCGGCCATATGTAATTTGACAGGATTATATCGATTATGGGGTTTGTGGGTTGTTAGGGTAGCAGCCGCCGTCATCAACACGCGGGGCAGCGACACTTGCTTGAGTGGAGGCGGCCGCTTTCTCAATGGAACCCCTTCACCCCTTCCCGCTCTCTCCAAACCCTTATTTTTTATTCTACTTCATCCATTTTATTCTTCTCACCTCCCACCCTTTTAATTCCTTATTTCCCCAATATCCTCCCCGTCCTCCTTCCCTCGACCATCATCAACATCAATCCTCTCAATCGGCGTGCTCTCCATCTCCCAACAAAACCTCGGCCAGCAGTCGTCTGACTCGCAGCGCCAACGCCGACCGGGCCCGAAGCCTTCCTCTTCCCCTCTCACCCCAGCCGGAGATCATAGGCTACGGACTTCGCCCTCCACCTCCGCACCCTCGCACCCTGTCATCCTCCTCCGCACCCTGTCATCCTCCCCCACTACTATCCTGCCCGCCTCCAGATCTCCGCACTCCGACTCGCTGTACCGCGCCTTTTGCCTGGCCTCCAGGGCCTATTACGTCTCCCGCCTTGCTTCAGTTCCACTCCACTACTCCCCTCTGTCCGACGACAGACGACTGCCATTCGGCCACTACTCCACTGTGAAACAAAGAGTACAGCCTGCGAAAGGCCGTACTTGAGAGCGACGACCCCGCCATCATGGCCTTACCAAGAGTCTCTGCGTCTGGTGCTTGTAACCGCTTCACCACCTTATCTCGTTCCTTCTCTTCCTCCTCTACAACTTCGGCTTTGACTAGATTCGGCCTGGAGACTGTGTTACTTGGTAAGCCTCTCTTGCTTTTTCCTTATCCTTATATGCGCGCGTGCCGCTCTGTGCATCCCGGCAAGACCAGTGGTTGAGCAGTGGTTGAGCAGTGGTTGAGCTGGCGGCCCCTGCAGATAATCTGCAAGGAGGGGTATTATAACCCCTGCGGTCCGAGTTTGTCAGCTCGCACACTCATACTGTATCTATATTCCTTTTGTCCACCGCTATATACTCCCTCTCACCACGCATCTCTTATTCGACCATTCAAACTAACAGTCCGCCGCACAGGAAAACAACATCCTCCCATCCGCTCCTCATCCCTTACCTACCGCACAATGTCCACCTCCCCAAGGCTGCGAAGCCTCAACATCGACAACATAAATCCCCACGTCCGCAAAGCCGAATACGCCGTCCGCGGTGAGCTCGCCGTAAAGTCGGAAGAATACCGCGCACAGCTCGCCAGCGGAAAAGGCAGCGACCTCCCCTTCGACGATGTCATCTCAGCCAACATCGGTAACCCACAACAACTCGACCAGAAGCCCATCACCTTCTTCCGCCAGGTGCTGAGTCTCCTCGAGTACCCCCCACTACTGGAGAAGGAGGACGTCCTTCTGAACCAGCTCGGCTACAAGAAGGATGTCATCGAGCGCGCAAAGTGGCTGCTCGAGCAAGTCGGGAGCGTTGGTGCATACAGCGCCAGCACCGGTCCCCAGGGGATAAAAGAGAGCATCGCCAAGTTCATCGAGAGTACGCCCCCACTCCCCCCCCCCTTCAACCCAAACCCCAAACTAACACCACCCCCCAGAACGTGACGGCCACCCCGCAGACCCCTCCTCCATCTACCTCAGCGCCGGCGCCTCCTCCGGCGTCAACACGCTCCTTCACATCATCTGCGCGGGCCCCAAAACCGGCATCCTAGTTCCCATCCCCCAATACCCCCTCTACACCGCAACCCTCTCCCTCCTCGACGCCACCTGCGTCCCCTACTACCTCGACGAAGCCAACGCCTGGTCCACCTCCGCCGAGAGCATCACCTCCGCCCTCACCACCGCAAAGGAAGCCGGAACAGACGTCCGCGCCATCGCCATCATCAACCCCGGCAACCCCACAGGCGCGTCGCTGTCCTACAAGGACATCGAGTCCGTGATCGACCTCGCCGCCTCCGAGCACCTCGTCATCCTCGCCGACGAGGTCTACCAAACCAACGTCTTCATTGGCAAGTTCCACAGCTTCAAAGCCGTGCTGAGGGATATGCAGAAGAAGAACCCAGGGAAGTACGACACCGTCGAGCTGGTCAGTTTGCACTCCGTATCCAAGGGCATTGTAGGAGAATGCGGACACCGCGGGGGGTACTTCGAGCTCTGCGGCTTCGACCCAGAAGTCGTGGCGCAGATCTACAAGTTCGTCAGCATCTCCCTCTGCGCCCCCGTCATCGGCCAGTGCCTCGTGGAGTTAATGGTCAACCCCCCCACCGAAGGCGAGCCATCCTACGACCTCTACAAATCCGAGCGCGACGGCATCTTCGCCGGCCTCCAATCCCGCGCCACAGCACTACACAAGGCATTCCAGGCCATGGAAGGCGTAGAGTGCGGCCCTCCCCAAGGGTCAATGTACCTCTTCCCCTCCATCACCTTACCGCAGAAGGCGATCGAGGCAGCGAAGGCGGATGGGAAGACGCCCGATGCGTTTTATGCGATGAAGATGCTGGAGGCGACGGGGGTGTGTGTTGTTCCCGGTGCGGGGTTTGGGCAGAAGGAGGGGACGCTGCATTTTAGGACTACGTTTTTGGCGCCGGGGACGAGCTGGGTGGAGGGGGTGGCGAGGTTTCATGAGGGGTTTATGGGGGAGTATAGGTAGAGTGATTGAGTTGGATAGGGAAAGTTGTTGTGAGAGGTGGCGTGGTGATGATGTAGTAAGATCGGAATAGACTGGGTGGATAGACTTGGAACCGCATCTCAATCATAAATTCGATAAATTCGTATAATTGCTTTCCGCACCCTGCACCCCAGTCAACTAAAACATTTTTAGGCGCCTCCCACAACACCTCAACATACTCCGTCGGACCACCCTTCCTGCCCCCGCCCCAATCCATCACACCTCCCCCCTCCACACCTCAGCCCCCCCCCCGCCCTCACCCCATAGCAAACCGCCATCGTGAAATCCACCGCCCCCGTCCTCGAGAAGCACAGCAACGCCATCACCTTTCTACAAGCGCTCCAGCGAGTGGTTCTCCCACCCACTTCACTCTCCTTAATCGCCATGTTGGAATTTTGTCAACACCAACCAGAACCCCTGCTGGTTCCAACCAAGTTACTTCCACCCCATTCTATTTCACATCACGCCTCAACTTCCACCTCCTCCCTCCTCGGCCTTATCCAAATATTCGTCTTCATATCCGGCACCGCATTAAACATAAACCCCAGCTGCCAATCCCTCGGCCTCTCCACCTCCCTGTACTCAAACCTCTCCAAAAACTCCAACAAAAACAACTTCACCACCACCAGCGCGAGGTGTCGTCCCGGACACGCATGTTTGCCTGTAATTTCTCCATTAGCACACTATCTTTCTCCCAAGGCCGACAGTAGGGTGACTGAATGGGGGGGGGAACACATACCATGACCAAAACTCATAAACCGATCACTCGGCTGACTACTCGCCACTCTATCCTCCGCAAACCTAAACCCCCTAAACGTCCTCGCATCCTCATACACCCCCTCATCCATATGGATCCCATGCAACGGCATCTGCGTCACCGTCCCAAACGGCAAATGCACCGGTTTCGCCCCCCCAAACCCCTCCGACGGCTGTAACGTCACGCCCTTCGGATCAAGCACCTTGCGTTGACTCAACAACTGCCCAACGGGATGCAACCGCTGCGATTCCTTGATGAAAGAGTCCAGCAGCGGTAGGGACGAGAGAGCTTGCGTCGTCCACACCCCGTTGTTACCAGCGAGCACCGCGCGCGCTTGTTCCAGGATCCTGTCCGCATAAAGTGAGGGAGGGTGCGAGACAAGGTCGTGTATGCAGTGCGTCAGCGTGATAGTAGTCGTATCCACCGCCGCGAAAGAAAAATCCAGAAGCCGTCCAATAACGCCCGTGAGCACCGTCGACTCCTTCGCCTCCGCGTACCCTGGCCGCGAGAGGACGTAATTCACCATCATAGGCAGGACAGTTGGTTCGCCATCCGCATACGTCCCCGGCGTCGGCGGGTTGGCGAGGAGGGCGCGGACGTCGGGGAGGATCAAGGCGCGCAGTTTGGCGACGCGGCGGGTGGTGTTGAAGAGTGGTGCGATTAACGGGACGAGCGGGCGCCAGAGGTTCTTGAGGAAGAAGGATTGGATGATGATCCCATTTGCGAAGCCGGCGAGGGTGTCTGTCCACGCGGGGAGGGTGGTGTATTTCGCGCCGACGAGGATGCGTGTTGTGATGCGCCCGATGGCGGTGAGGGTGGAGGGGTGCACGGTTAGGGGGTACCACTCTTCTTCGCCGGAGAGGAGGGTTGGGGGGGGTGGGGGGGGAGGAAGAAGGAGAGGCTGGTGTGGATTTCGGTGGTGAGGGGAGCGATCATGGCGTCGACGGAGCGGGTGATGGAGGTGCGGACGAGGTGGATTATGTCCGTGTTGTCGTGGCCGAGGAATGGTTCGAGGACGAGGCCCTGGGGGGGGGTTAGGGTTGGTGAGGGAAAGAAAAGGGGGGGGCTCACGTCTTCATTTGCGGGCGTGGAGTTTGCCATTCGGTCGGGGATCTTGCGTATTGCTGCGAAGACGGAGGGGGGGAGGACATAGTGCCCGCCAGCCATGAACGCTTCATTGTTTTTTGAGTACTAATATTTTGTCAGTAATTCGTTTGGTTGCCTCGAATGAATCTCCGTCACCGCTGCTTTCTCATCTATTCCCCCGACCACTCCCACAATTTCATACACCTCACCCCTATCATCTCAAGCCTTCAACCACCACCCCCCTTTTCCCCATGACAAAGATTAAACCCAACAAAACCAAAAAATAATCTCACCTTCTCATAAAATTGCTCAATCAGCACACTCCCCGGCACACTCTTTCCACTTAGAAACGCCCACCAAGAGTTTGATGCCACTGGCGGCGCCTTTCTCACAACGGTCCGGAAGAGGGCGTGGAGCTGGATGTAGGCGATGTAGGTGATGAGTGCCGTTACGGCGTAGATGAGGAGGGACGGCATGGTGGCGTGTGTGAAGGTGAAAGAGGTGAGGTTGGTTAATGTTGCAGGTTGTCTTTGGCCAATATCTTGTTTGATGTTTTGAAATCTGGCCAAAGCCTCTTTGATGTTCGGAGTCGTCGGCCAATGCCTGTCTTGGTGATTGATAGTCGTCTCTGCTCAATATCTTGTAGGTTGTTGTATATCGTCTTCTTCAATTAGCCTGCTCAACAGAAGGAAGCAGGACATTCATATATGTACCACCCCAACCCTTCTCTTCTCCCCCTCCTCCTCCTCTAAACGAGGGTCGGGAATGCAACCACAACCACCTAGAAAGTCCATACTACAGCTCATTCCAGCCCACCCAACACCACCACCCGTCATACGACGCCATCCATCTCTCCCTCCCTCTCATCCCAATCCCGCCAAACAAACCCGTAGCGGTGTCGACGATCACCGCCACGATGTTGCACAGCTACCCCACCTGTGGTGCTACTTGTTACGCGACGGCGCCGTCGCATCCACACCTCGCGTAGAGTGCCGTGGCAGAGAACTTTACCATCCATCCCATCCATCCCATCCATCCTTCTCCAGCCAGTACTCGGCTACGCCGTCGTACGGCGGTGCTTAACCGAGCTTTTGTGTCGCGGGATGGGCTGGATAGGATGACGGATGGGATGACGGCACGTACCAACCAACCCAACATCACCCGTGTAACTCCGTACTGTAACCCACTCGGTTACCAGCCGAGCCGACCTCTGCACACCGACTGCTCGCTTGCGGCGCGGCGGCGGCGGCGGCGGCGGTCAACGCGCATACGGTACAGGGCAGCGAATGATGCACCGTTTAGTACTGATTATTGACTACTGGGTGGTGATCAGTGTATGCACAACTCCAAGCGATTTGCACCGTTTATTCCCGGGGCTCGGTGTTTTTTATTGGCGTGAGGGGCGGGCGCGAGAGAGATAATTGCTCAACTGTTGAGAGGAGTGAAGTTACCTTCGTAGTTATCCTACAGCCAGGTAGCTAACCCCTTTGTTTTTCGGGCTGGAAAGAAAGGGAAAAAGAAAAAGAAGAAGAAAAAACAAAATAAGACTTGTTCGCCATACTGCTGGTCACATATCCCAACATGCAAGACCCAGGGGCGACCTGGCTGACAGACTGGTTGACTGGATGTACGTGATATCTGACAACGAACTTCTGATGCGCCTTTTCAGCACGACACCCACCACCACATCTCCACTACACACCACCACAGCACAACACACGGTATCATGTCATATAGTTTCGTAGTTATAGTGTTGTATTCGTTGTATTCTCCCTCCCACCATATACCCCCTCCGGGGATTCGGCTATTTACCACCACTATACACCCCCACAGACGCATATATACCCTCCACCAGCCTGCCTACCCCTTTCCCCCTCCTCCACTCCCACCATCCATCCGCTGATTCCCTTTTCCCTTGGTATCAAAAAGCAAAAACAAAAACGGCTAAAACACGTGCAAGTAATAAACAGCAAATCGCAGTCGAATGGAGGAAGATAAAAACGATCCAATCCACCCCGGTGTGGACAATATCCCATCCATACAACCCCCAACCAAGCAAAGGAAACGAAAGCAGAAGGGAGCCGTGATTTTCTTTCTTCGTCTCGTTTCGTTGGAGAGTATTCTGCTGTGGTATCACCCCCATCTCATTCATCATTCCCGTATGCTTCCCTCATCGATGTAGACTGCCTCACTATATATCCTCCTCATCGACCATCCCAGCAACACATATTAAAAAGGACGAGAGGAGCCGAGTAAATAGTCGGGGTGAAAGAGTCTAATAGCAAAAAATTGTAAATGAAAGGGCGCCGCGCAATGCCATGCATAAAATCGATCCGAGTCGAGTCGAATCGGACTGACAATAAATCGAACAAAAGCCGCCGGAGAGAGAAGGATGTGAGTTGAGTGTAGGGCATGAACACCGGTAGGGGCGCAAAGGCGATCGAAAATCCGCCAGGTGCCCAGGGAAAGAGCGCGTCGTGCGGTGCGCAGTGTATCAACGCCACATCCGGAGGCGATCCGATCGTAATTCGCCGGATAAAATCGTAGAGTAAGTAGAGTAGAGTAGAAGCATGTCATGCTGAAGTCCACCCACACAACACCCACACCCCCTCTTCAACCCTGCGAAATCACAACCCTCGCCCCCTCCTTCCCCAACACCCCCTTCTCCTGCGGTTTCGGACTATGCCCCCTCCCCTTCTTCCTACTCAAAAACCCCAACATCCCATTTGGCTTCCCCGCCCCCGCCACCCCCTGCGCGCCGGAATCACCAACATCCTTCGCATCAGCCAGCAACGTCGTATCCCTCTTCGCCAGCTCACTCCAACTCCCCGTCTCCCCCAGCGTAACCTGCAATCCCCCCCCCTTACTCGCCATCCTCGAGCTGCTCGACTGGCTGGCTAATCGGCTCGCGCTCTCGTTAGCGCGGTTTTTTGCGCCTGCTTGGGGAGGGGGGACGTGCGGGACGTGAGGGACGTCGTAGGGGTTCGTGGTGGAGAAGACGCGGTATCCGCCGTTTTTGGAGGAGACGAGGCGGACGGGCGCGTTGAGGTTGGAGGGCGGGGATGAGCCGTGGCCGTTGGGGTTGGTGTAACCGTTGCTTGGCCCGCCACCACCGCCACTGCCGTTGCTATTGATCGGAGTTCCATTCCCATTCACAGAGATGGAGGGGGTGCGACGATGACCCGTGGGTCCGCCGCTGCCGGGCGATTTGGAGCGCATCGTTGTAGAGGGTGTGGTTTCGCTGTTGCAAGGGGTGGAGCCGGGGGTTGTGGTGCTGCTTTGCGGTGGGGGCCGGGAGCGGAAGGCTGCGTCGTCGGCTTCTTGGAAGCTGCGGGAGGGGGTTAGTGTGGGTGGTGAGGGGGTCAGGGAGGGTGCGTACCGGGTGTATGCGGCGAGGGTGTAGTCGAATGGCATGAAGCCTGTCTCGATCATGCGGTACAGCTCGTCCTCTCGGATCTCCTTATCCGTTGCGCCTTCCGCGAGCGGTTCCCTGGGTTTTTGTCTGCGTGTGCGTGCTTCCAGGGGCGCTTCTTCGAGGAGTAGCTCTTCCAAGTCGTATGTGGCGTCGAAATTGGTCTTGTCTTTTGACGGCACGAAGACGGGCTCGATCTCCTTGCGCTCTAGCGCCTCGAAGTCGACGGATCGGAAGAAGGGGTTGTCGATGAAGCTCTGCCACGTCGCTCCGAGACGCTTGGTTGGGTCGGGTTCGAGTGCTGAGCTGACGGCGTGCATGCATGGCATTGTGACTGGCGGGGAGGTGACTGGGAAGCTGGGGTTGGCGTTCATGATTAGTTCGCCGAGGCCCTTGGCGCTGTGCGTATCGAATGGTCTCTGTTGGGGAGTTAGAAACTGCTAGATATATAACGTTGCGACTTTCTCACCTTGTTGTATATGCACTCATAGAAGAGGACGCCCAACGACCACCAATCCGCAGCCGGGCCGTATCCTGTACCTGCCCAAACTTCGGGCGATAGATATGGTTGTGACCCAGACTTGCTCGTCAGGGGTTTTCGGGGCGTATAATCCGATGCAACATTCTAAAAAGCCAGTCAGTTGTGCCCCTCATTAAGATCGCCAATTCCACATACAAAATCAGCCAAATGGATATGGCCCTCCGAATCCAGTAACACGTTGTCTGGCTTCACATCCCTATGTATGATCCCCTGCTTATGGATATACTTCAGCGCGCAGCCCAACTCTGCGATCCAGAACTTGACTGCGTCTTCGGTAAACGACTTGCGCGCAATGTGAAATCGCAGATCGCCTCCGCTCATTAAATCCACAACGAGGTACCTTCAAACAAGTCAGCGTTCTGTTTTCATTGACCTAGCATATCCCTAGATTACTCACATGTATTGGGTATCTTGAAACGAGTATCGTAAATTGCATATGAATGGGTGATTCAGGTGTTCCAGCATTCGGCGCTCTCGTATTATATTCCTCACGCTCTCGGTTCGTACAACTATATCTCAATCAGCAAGGTATCCAGTGGTATCATCGAGTGTGCACTGACTGTCGTCTTTTCGGATATACTTCAGCGCAAACGTCAGTTTCGTGTATTTATGTTCCACGATGCGGACTTTGCCGAAAGCACCCTTTCCTACAACACGTCCGAGGGTGAAGTGATTGAGGCCGACTACAAGATGAAGTGTTAGCAGTGACTATAACAGGGGACAATGGGCAAATATGATGCCACAGGGGGAGGCTATAACATACCATCGTCGCCCGGGGCATAAGTCGTAGACTGACTCGCTCCCATCGTCGCAAAGGTAACCTGGACAGGCTGGCAGAGCCGGCAGGAATAGCGGCACTTGATAAAAAACGCTCAGATAAGTAGCATTCGGCGACTGCACATTCTAGTTTGCAGAGCTCGTAGATATGTGGTATGATCCGCTGGCACTGAGCAGATCGGTGGTGCGCTGGGAGCGAGGCTGTTTGGAGCGGGGGGTCGCGGTCGTAGTTGTAGCTGTAGATATCGGGGGCATGTGAGACAAGAGCGCGTAGTCGCCGATCAGACGGGTTTCAACGGCGGTGAGGCGTGGAGCGGGCGTGAGGTGGTTCGAGAAGCGGGAGGTGTGCAGATCTTGGGTCGCAGAAGTCGTTTGTTCGTAGTTCGTGGTTCGCACCAGCCACGGCCGTGGCAACGTGGAGAATCTTGGAAGAACGCAGAGGGCGAGATGGGAGTGTCGGTTTGCGAGAACTAATTGCAATTGTAGAGGATGGGGGTATATGGGAAGGAAATTCCAGGCTCAGACAGATGGGAATAAACGGAAATGGCGGCGGTATGGGCGGTATGGGCGGTATGGGGGAGAAGATTGTCGGCGCCGTCGGTTTAGTCGGTTTAGTCGGTTTAGTCAGTTTAGTCGGTTTAGTCAGTTTAGTCGGTTTAGTTGGTTTGTTTAGTTGGTTGAGCAGGTTAGCGATGGCTTAGTCAATTGAATTCGTTTGGTGGATGGTCGGGGGAAGTTTGTGCCCCATAAAGAAGAGCAGAGTCGGAGTAGAGTAAGATCAAAGTGAATTTGTTGTCCTCTATACTCTGTTCTGTCCTGTCTGTTGTGTAGAATATGAGGCCGGCAGGGTCTTTGAGGGTTGTTGACTTTACTGGACAAGGAGCGGTACTTGCATTCTAGGCAAGTCTACTGTGCAAATGCAAGTCACGTTTCGTACGACAAGGAAACGGGTAACATGTGTTTGCCATGCCTTCTCCATCCACCTGGCCCAGTCGCATCCAGTCGTATCCAGTCGTATCCAGTCGCATCCATTTCCCATCCATTTCCCATCCATTTCTCATCATTTCCCATCCATTTCCCATCCATTTCTCATCATTTCCCATCCATTTCCCATCCCAAATGCCGTGATGGCCATAGGACATAGCAGCGAGACAGCACGAAGAACAAAAACAGTACTCGATGGACCCGAGATCGATGGACCCGAGATCAATGGACCCGAGATCAATGGACCCGAGATCGATGGACCCGAGATCGATGGATAGCCATCCACAACATCAAACTTCATCCTCGGCACCCCCGCTGACATCTCCGGTACATGTGTGTTCGGCACCGCTCATTCCACTCAGCCAAGTCAGCCCCCGCCCCCTTGGAAAGGCGTGGCACTTGTGGCAGGATCTCTGAGACACGCAGGGACCAACAAGAGTTTGCCTGCATCGCATCGCACATGGCAAGACAGGGATCGAAGTTGCCGTGATATTGGCTGGTCCAGTCCAGTGCACACTTACATAAAAACGTAAAAACCCGGCCGCCCCCCCCGCCACCACGCCGATGCCCAACCCTCTTCTTCACCCTGGGGGTTCCGCGCCAGTTCCACAGCGGCACATATCAAGTCCCCCCCTTCCCTCCACGCCCTCCAGCGCGCCGATCACACGCCGATGTAACTCCCCATCCTCTCCTGCTCCTGACCACGCTTCCACGCTTCTCCACGCTTCAACTAGCTCGTAACCTGCTTCCTCACCCCAACTCCAACTCACCACAAAACAAACAGGTTTCCCCGAAGTTCCCGCACCCCCGCCAACACCCCCCCAATCTCCCCGCCCTCACCGAAGCAGCCACGATCGGCAGCGGTCATCTGACCTGCCCGCCCCTGCTAGGCCTCGGCGATCAGATAGGTAGTAGGGTTAGGTCAGAATGACCAATCATTCTTGCCAAGACTCGCTTAGTGTAAAGGTGGGCCTTTATACTAAGCAAGCCTTGGCAATTCACCTTCGCCACAACCCTTTAAAATGAGCTGGTCGGATGTCGAATAGATTTGTAATACATTACCATGGAGACTACTCTCCAGAGTTATGATATACCTAAGTCCGGAGGTTCTAAGGTCAATTGAGGTTAATCCCTAGAATTCAAATGAAGACGGAATTCAAGTCTTTGACAAGCCGCCTAGACCTAAAGACTTTATTAAAGTCATTGACAACTCACTTGATAATGATGATGAAGAGGTAATATTTTATTAATATATTACGAATAACGTACATGTATAGCGAAAGCGCCAAACAAGCGAAAGTGCCAAAATATCGCGACTACCCCATAAGAATTGCGATAAATCCACCACAACAATATAAATTAATTAAAACTACTTAGAATCCTCTTCCTCAGACGTGCTATTACAATCTGACAAGTGCGCGCATTGCGTCCAGTCTCACCACACTTGCCATAGCGACGTGCATGGGTTTCTTCCCTTAGCTTCCGACCACTACTTGCCCTTATTTCTTGCTTTACTTGCTACACAACATCCCTCTCGTCCTGTAGCTCCTGTGCTACCTGTTGACTAAGTGATCCTCCTTGCTATAGTCATGTTTTTTTTGCTCTCTGGCGCTTGCTTAGCACTTCATTTGCCTGTCGCAGGTTTTGGTTCTCTGCTTTTAACAATGCTAATTAATGAATTATTTGCGATGCACCCTTTGTAAACTGGTCAACAGCTGCATAGATTGAGGTTAGAGAGCTATTTTGATGATGCGCAATTCAGTTTTTAATGAAAGTAGACTGTGATACAGCTTCAGTTGGGTTATTTGGTGTCTAAGAAACCCATGGTTGAGCGGTGTTTAGGCGAGAGGTTGGAGGTGTTGGCATCTTATGTCACGGTTCACCAAGGCATAGGGCGCCAGTTGGGTATTATGAATTAAACTCAATCTAGAGAAGAAAGGAAAGAGAAGAGGAGCACTCGAGCAGTGGCTCGATCTATATACAGCTATGTTGTTGTGGAGTGAATTCTTGTAACGCTGACTTCTAAACGATAGAAGACACAGAGGTTCTCTTGCGTAAAGGTTTACTTATCAGAGGAGGCAGGGGATCAGACACAAAGGCTTCAAGTAACACGTTACTAGTATATAACAAATACTGTATTGAGTTGAGCACGAAGCTCCTATCTAAGGAAATACTATCTACTTATATAGTGGCGTCGTGCCTAGTGGACTCTTGGGAACTCACTCGAGTCCTCGGAGTCCTGGACTCTTAGGACTCTTCTCATCATCCTGCAAGTCCATCACGTGCCTAGTGGACTCCTGGGAACTCACTCGAGTCCTCGGAGTCCTGGACTCTTAGGACTCTTCTCATCATCCTGCGAGTCCGTCACGTGATACTTTCAGAACTACTATTCCCCGCTGCCCCTCCAGGTACCAGGGCCGGTCTCATGCGACCTCCCTCCTTCCTGTCCTGTAGTTGGCCAGCCTTCTTGTTCCGTCGTAACAATTCTCTTTAGCGAGACCAGTTCTGAGAATTCACTCCACAACTGAAAACTTCGCTCCAACCCCAGAAATGTTACGGCTAAGTGTAATGGTGGGTGCACCAGATGTGAGAATCTAGCCACCCAAGGAAGGGATGATTTTACTAAGACAACACACTGTCTTAGGAAAAAGAGCCAAAGGGTCGTAGCTTAGACTATTCCACAACACAGCAATCAGGTGTATGATGTAGTGGAGTGGTTTAGACAAGTTGTACAAATGTTGAGTCTGAGAACTCAGGGATAAGGGATAAGTCAGAGGTTAGCACCTCACTGACTTTTCAAAAACAAGGAGTAACAAGATCAATGCTTGGAAGCTTGGAAAAGACGTGGAAGTATGTGATAGTCGATTTACTGTATTGTCTGCTTGCCCTTTTTTCAGGAAAGGGCGATCCTATTTATGCTAAAGTAGTGTAATTCTCTTATTTTCCAAGACTTTCCATAACTAACCAGGCTTGGTAACTGTAGTCGACATAAGAGAATCCCATAGAACCATCTCCTAGGTTCCTAGCCTATAGGAAGTGAAAGGAGGTCCAAGGTCAGAGTACCCCTATAGACAAATTATGTCATAACTTAACCAATCTTGTGGGTAACTAAGGAGCGATGACGTGTAATGAATCATAGAGGGTTATAGAAGCTTTTGGAGCTATTGTTCATGTTCCTAGGCCTCTAGTTGATAGAGATATGTCATGTGTAGTATTAGCCCAGTAACTAAGGAGTGATGCCATGTAATGAATCATAGAGGGTTGTAGAGATATGCTATGTGGTCATATCGGCCCAGTAACCAAGGAGCAATGACATGTAATGAATCATAGAGGGTTGTAGCAATTGTTGAGTAGTATTGCTCTTGTTGTTGGTGTGACAAGCCAAAATATGTATAGTGACTTGTATGTCATACTGACATTCGTTGCACTCAGTTTGCTATCAAACTCAAGAGCAAACTTAGAAATCTCCTCCTCAAACCTACAAGTCACCATACATATCTTGGCTTATCACACCAACAACAGAAGCAATACTACTCAACGATTGCTGCAAACTCTTCTACTACATCTGTTTATGCTACATACATCACGGCATATCATTTGAACACTCATTGAACAAGTTATTAAGAAAATCTCCTCCTTAAGGGGGTGGGCCAATACTACCACATGGCATATCTCTACCAACTAGAGGCCTAGGAACATGAACGATAGCTCTAGAAGCTTCTACAACCCTCTATGATTCATTACACGTCATCGCTCCTTAGTTACCCACAAGATTGGTTAAGTTATGACATAATTTATCTATAGGTACTCTGACCTTGGACCTCCTTTTCACTTCCTATAGGCTAGGAACCCAAGAGATGGTTCTATGGAATTCTCTTACGTTCACTACATGATTAGCAAGCTAGTTGTGGGTCGCACTTGATTTCTAATACATTTACCAAGCCTGGTTAGTCATGGAAAGTCATGGAAAATGAGAGAACTACACTCCTTTGGCATAAATAGGATTGCCCTTTCCTTAAGAAAGGGCAAGCAGGCAATACAGTAAATCAACTAGCACATACTTCTACGTCTTTTCCAAGCTTCCAAGCATTGATCTTGTTATTCTCTGTTTTTGAAAAGTCAGTGAGGTGCTAACCTCTGACTTACCCCTGAGTTCCCAGACTCAACATTTGTTGCAACTTGTCTGAACCACTTCACTACATCACACACCTGATTGCTGCGTTGTGGAATAGTCTAAGCTACAACCCTTTGGCTCTGTTTCCTAAGACAGTGTGTTGTCTTAGTAAAATCATCCCTTCCTTGGGTGGCTAGATTCTCACATCTGGTGCACCCACCATTACATTGTAGGTTTGAGGAGGAGATTTCTAAGTTTGCTCTTGAGTTTGATAGCAAACTGAGTGCAACGAATGTCAGTATGACACTAAGGAGTGATGATGTGTAATTGTCATACTGACATTCGTTGCACCCAGTTTGCTATCAAACTCAAGAGCAAACTTAGAAATCTCCTCCTCAAACCTACAAGTCACCATACATATCTTGGCTTATCACACCAACAACAGAAGCAATACTACTCAACGATTGCTGCA